CATTAGATTGCTAATGTTTAGGTTTTAATGGAGCTGCTTGAGTGAGTCTCAACACAAACTGTCCAGTACTGTTTAACTGTATCATCTTTAAATAATCTGAAACTGTCTCACTGTGTCATCCTCATAAAATCCAGAAGTGTCTCACTGTATAATCTTCCAAAAATCCAGAACAGTTTTTAATGTATCATCTTCATAAAATACATCATTGTCTCACTATATAATCTTCATGAAATCGAGAACGGTCTCAATGCATCATCTTCACAAAACCAGAACTGTCTCACTGTATCATCTTCATGAAATCCAGAACTGTCTCACTGTATTATCTTCATTAAATCTTCATGAAATCCATAACTGTCTCACTATATCATCTTCATAAAATTCAAAACTGTCTCACTGTATCATCTTCACAAAATCAGAACGGTCTCACGGTATCATCTTCATTAAATCTTCACAAAATCCAGAACTGTCTCACTGTATTATCTTCATAAAATTCAAAACTGTCTCACTGTATCATCTTCATGAAACCCAGAACTGTCTCACTGTATCATCTTCACAAAATCAGAACTGTCTCACGGTATCATCTTCATTAAATCTTCACAAAATCCAGAACTGTCTCACTGTATTATCTTCATAAAATTCAAAACTGTCTCACTGTATCATCTTCATGAAACCCAGAACTGTCTCACTGTATCATCTTCACAAAATCAGAACTGTCTCACGGTATCATCTTCATGAAATCCAGAACTGTCTCACTGCATCATCTTCATAAAATTCAAAACTGTCTCACTGTATCATCTTCATGAAACCCAGAACTGTCTCACTGTATCATCTTCACAAAATCAGAACTGTCTCACGGTATCATCTTCATGAAATCCAGAACTGTCTCACTGCATCATCTTCATGAAATCCAGAACTGTCTCACTGTATCATCTTCATAAAATCCAAAACTGTCTCACTGTATCATCTTCATAGAATTCAAAACAGTCTCACTGTATCATCTTCATGAAATCCAGAACTGTCTCACTGTATCATCTTCATAAAATCCAAAACTGTCTCACTGTATCATCTTCATAGAATTCAAAACAGTCTCACTGCATCATCTTCATAAAATCCAAAACTGTCTCACTGTATCATCTTCATGAAATCCAGAACTGTCTCACTGTATCATCTTCATGAAATCCAGAACTGTCTCACTGTATCATCTTCATGAAATCCAGAACTGTCTCATTGTATCATCTTCATGAAATCCAGAACTGTCTCACTGTATCATCTTCATGAAATCCAAAACTGTCTCACTGTATCATCTTCATAAAATCCAGAACTGTCTCACTGTATCATCTTCACAAAATCCAGAACTGTCTCACTGTATCATCTTCATAAAATCCAGAACTGTCTCACTGTATCATCTTCACAAAATCCAGAACTGTCTCACTGTATCATCTTCATAAAATCCAGAACTGTCTCACTGTATCATCTTCACAAAATCCAGAACTGTCTCACTGTATCATCTTCATAAAATCCAGAACTGTCTCACTGTATCATCTTCATGAAATCCAGAACTGTCTCACTGTATCATCTTCATGAAATCCAGAACTGTCTCATTGTATCATCTTCATGAAATCCAGAACTGTCTCACTGTATCATCTTCATGAAATCCAAAACTGTCTCACTGTATCATCTTCATGAAATCCAGAACTGTCTCACTGTATGATCTTCATAAAATCCAGAACTGTCTCACTGTCTCATCTAAACCAGACTCAGAGCTAGTGTTCACACAGCTAACATGTTTAACTGTTGTAGCTTATCCACGTTGTGTGCTCGAAATAGACGCTGAACGCAGTCAAACGTGCCATCAGAGAAGCACTAATTAAACGTCTGCTTCGGACACTGATTTCGGCCCACCAAAACAAATTCGACCTGAATGTGAAATTAGCTGAAAATTCTCGGTAGATCCCTAATTTTCATAAAATCCAGAACTGTCTCACTGTATCATCTTCATAAATTCCAGACCTGTCTCATGCTGATATAACCCAAACAATTTCACTTTCCTTAAGTCTCACTAAACTATCCTCATACACTAATTGGGAGTGTCTCACACTTATATAATGAATAAGAGCCTGTTTCATCAAGAGTTTTAGATTAAAACTACTTAAGCTCTGTACTAATACAATCTTCTACAAACACACACATCCATGTGATCAAATCTCTCAGCTGCTGATGAAGCTATCAGTGATCAATCAGCTACAAGGTTTATGACGGTTTACTGAGGGTTAATTTACAACCAATGAATGATGCCCCGGAGCAAAACCAGCCAATTGTCAGCCACTTTAACTTCGCAACAGCTGCCAAAGAAAACCAGTTTTAATTCCCCCTGAATAAAGCCACATTTGAAAACTAGCGTGGGAAAACTATCATCAACAACATTACCTCAAAGAGATCTCTCTCTCTCGACTTTGCATTAAAGGTGCTGTAAGAGATTTCCACAGTTTTGCTAAATTCAACCACACACCCTTAAAACCTCACCTCCTCCAAAAACAACATCAGTAAACCCATACATGCAAAATGATTGACAGGCAGATTTGATTTTTTTTTAAATCACAATGAAATGGAAGTAGCGACAAATCTTGTCTTCTGAATTGTGACGTACACCAGAGAGTAACAGATTATCGAAATAGAAAAAAAAAAAAGTAGGGCGGTGACTTGTTATGTGTCGTTTTTGATTGGATTTTGAGATGTGGTGGGGTTTAAGCAGACTATATGATTGGATAAGTCCTACATATGTCATCAGAGAGAAGTCTGTCGTTTTCACTGGAAGATCCAGTTATGAAATTGATTAAACATTACATGGTCAAAACAATTTTTTTTAAATTAAGCAAGTGCATGGATCACAATAAGATCTTTAATATGCATTTAGCACATTTTAATGCATTTATCAGCCAAAAGTTATTTTTGTCAATTTTTAAAAGCACACTATACTGATGGCCCTAACACAACAGACATGAACTAAAACTGTGATATGATGGGTCTTCAACGGGCCTGTCAAAGACATATACTGTATGTAAATATTCTTGTCCCTCTCCCTCAGAGTAGCATTGGCAGTCATCCTCACACATTTCATACACAACTCATCACCATGACAGCTGGCTTTGACCTCACCATGTGGCTGTTCAGATGTGTGCAAGTGTGATGGATTCAGATCATGCAAAAGCAAAACTAAAGAGGCCCTCTATTAAATCAGTCAGTAACTTAATTTCCTACAGTTGGGCAGTGGAGAACACACACACACGCACACAAACCTCCTGCTTCTGCACACACTTGCGCAACTGATCTGGAATCTCTACAGAGACAAGCCCCAGCATGGCAGCCTGACGGGTACAGGGACACACCCAAAATCAACAATACCTACAATCTCCTTTCTTTCTCTCTCACTCTCCCACAGGTCACCCATGTTCGACAACGTACTACCTGAGAACATTAGAGCAGGAGTCCCTCTGTCTCACTCCGCCTCCTCCAAACCCTGCAGGTCTCCTATCTGTTTCAGGTTAATGTACAAACCTGCTCATGGTCTTTGAGCTACACATGTGTATAAAAGAAACTCTCACGCCGAGTTCAGAACAAGAAATATCAAGTTTGTAGGACAGGAATATTTGTATTCATGTTGGTTTCAAGTATTTATTTAAAAATATTGTAACATAATTGCATTTTACATGTCTAATGTCATGTGGTGTAACCCACAAGTAAAAAGTAATAAACATTTTCCATGTACCTTGAATACACTTGAGTGTTAAACATTATTTTCCAAAAAGAGTTTTTATTTCATTATAATAATAAATAAAAAAAAAACACAAAATAAAAATGTAACCATAACTATCATTAAGGTTTCATAGGTTTACTTTATTTGACCTTATCTAACCTTAGCCTTTTTGTCTATATATATATATATATATATATATATATATTAGTGCTGCTGGGCAACAATTAATCGCAATTAATCGCATCCAAAATGAAAGTTTATGTATGCATAATATATGTGTGTGTACGGTGTATAATTATTTTGAATATTTAAATACACACATGCATGTATATATTTAAGAAAAATATTTATATTTATATATAAAATATTTATAATGTATACATTTTATTTTATACATTATTTTATTTGATAAAATTATATGTATAAATATATATACAATATATAAATGCAAATATTTAATAAATATATACATGCATATGTTTGCATTTATATGTACAAAATAATTATACACAGTACACAAACATATATTGTCTAAACATTATATATATATATATATAAACCTTACTGACATATTGACAGTCATGAGGGGGTCCTCTCCATGATATCATTTCCTGTTTATGGTTGTCACATGACAACAAATGGCTTTCTGCACACTGGTTGCACCACACTGACATTGATTTGGTAGACAAAAGTTTTAAAATATTAATCATATTAAAAAAAATAGATTATTTTCTTAAGGAAATAAAAAATGAATTATCATGGCAAACTACTTATACCAACATTTCATTTTTCAAGAATTTCGGCATTTTAATTACCCCCTCCCCCTTTTTGTCTTTGTTTTTACAATCTCCCAAAAGTTACACCTAGAAGTTTTTGACTTTAAGTCCCACAAAAATATCTAATACATTTTTATTCAGTAATTCATTGTCTGTGTGAATTGCTTTTATGTAACTTTTAAATAGATCCTCTCAAAACGTCACTGACTTAAATATAGATTTAGGAATATATGGGGTCAGAAAAATGAGAACTTGCACAAAAAGGTGAAAGAAAGAGCAAGCCACACATACAACTGAAAGTAAAACCCACATATACTACAACATACCAGGGAGCACAAACTTTTAATGATTAAACACACTGGCGCTAACTACGAGTAAATAAAGTTCTAACTTCATTAGTGAGTTTGCGTTATAGCCTACGCATTACACAAGATTTGAAGTCATGTTGGCAGACTGGGTAGGGCTGTTACCTGTAACTTCTGGATCCCTCAGTTTCCTTGTTCGGCGCTGTAAAATCCTTTACATCGGACAGTCCATATGAATCTGGTCTGGAAGGTTCAGGTGAGGCATTTCCACATTATTCCAGTTTTCTTAAGAAACTCTTGTTCTTTAGAGAGCAAGCAGTCTTGAACAGTCCATGCAGACTGTGCTCTCCTCTGCTTTCAGATACTCCTCTCTGCTGAATCCTCAGAGGCTCCAGGTGAGAATTTTAAGGGAGTTTCCATCCAAACACTGTCAGGTCCTTGAGCGCTCAGGGACGCCACCCCGTGGCCACAGGATGAACAGACACTCACACTATGGCAAGCCGAATTGGCATATAAAACTAAGTTTTGACTGTCCATAAATATATTTTGGATTATTACAATTGTATTTCGACGAGTCATAATTCTATTTTGACTAGTCAGAATGATAATTAGAGATATCTGCAATTATAATTGCACTAGTAAGAAATCTGATTCAAGATATCTCTAAATAGCCTACTTTATGACTAGTCAACTAGTCAAAACTCCATTGAAGATATCTGTAAAGACGTTATAGATATCTTCAATTGACGCGTCACACATACGCAAATGTATTTAGAGATATCTCTATTTAATTATCACTAGTTAAATTGTTATGCCTACTGCTAAATCAATTAGTGATATCTTTAATTACAATTTCTACTAGTCAACACTCATTTCAAGATATCCAGAAATATTTTCCAATGGAAGAATATGACTAGTCAAAATATCTTAATTCCAATTACGACGAGTCAAAATTGGAATTAAGATATCTGGATTTGGAACTTTGACTAATCAAAACTAAATTATGATTAGTACAGCCATGGGTATTTAATGCTAGACAGCTTGCCATACTCACACATCAGAGACATGATTACGTAACACACTGATTAAAGGCCGTGTGACTGATTTATATGTCATTAATGACTTGCAGGATGTTTTGCTAAAGAGATGCTTAGTCATCCAGGACACAATTTTCTGAATTAAATCAAATTTAAATTAAATGAATTAAATAGATAAAAATAACTTTACTATCAGGCCTACGGTGCACTTAAAAAGTGACGTGAAGTGAAGGGCAAGTATGGTAACCTATACTTGAAATTTATCCTCTGCTTTTAACCCATCCGAGTTAGTGCACACACATTAGGAGTAGTGAGTAGTGAACACACACACAAACACACACACACACACACACACACACACTGCAAATCGCTGTCACACACACCCAGAGCAGTGGGCAGACATTTTGCTGTGGCGCCTGGGGAGCAATTGGGGGTTAGGTGCCTTGCTCAAGGGCACCGCAGTCATTTCCTAAGGGTATTGAGAATTTAAACCTGCAAACCTGACTCTCAAACCATTAGGCGACGACTGTACTCAATATAATATCAAGAGATATTATATTGTATATTAGTGTCTTTCATCAGCAATTATAGGTCTAATTTTCAGTTACATGTGTGTGAGTATGTAGACAATACAGATTTAATCTAGGATTTAGTAAATCAATCTGCTATTGGCATTACCACAACATCCTCAAAGAACATGTCGTCATTCCCACCACAATCACGTTCATGATTATGTTGCATGTACAAACACAATCCCAGCATGATGAACATTGTGATCTTGTAGAAACCACTGTGAGTCAAGTTTCCTGACTAATGAAACATGCTGTTTTTTTGTGAGACTTGTAGCAGCTTGTGTAGGAGCTGAATTTTACTTTGTTCGTTCTTGAATCATCACTTTCTGGTTTTGGATGGGCAGATCCATGGGATCCATTTGGATGGGTTGCTCTGTGAAATATATTATCATTCAGACCCCATATTCTAGAAGTGCACAAATTACTTGGGACATAGGAGAGAAAATGCATAAATATCTAGATCAGATGTTTTTACAAGATTGGCTAAAATGGACCTCAAGAACATTAAGTGCCGTTCACACATTCGGAACACCTTTTTCTGAACGTGTTTCACATTTTTCTCTCTTGTCAGATAAGGTGTACAAGTTAAACATTTTATTAAAATGTTACTTTATGATTTCATATATATCATTCTTATGTACTTAATTACCAGACGACAGATACAATGTAAAATCAAAAATGAAAGCCTGGTTTCAAAGACAGGGCATAGATTCAGCCAGGATTAGGCCTTAGTTCAATTAGGGCATTTAAGTGCTTTTTAAGTGTCTTAGAAAAAAAAACATATGCATCTTTAGACAAAACAATGGCGCTGATATATTAAGATATGTCAGTGGCTAGACTAGTCTTGTCTGTGAAATTATGTGTATTATGTAAAAAGAGTGAAGCCTTCAGTCGAATTTGAAGGTTTGTTTTCAGATAACAAAGGATATGCAGAAGAACTGCAAACATTTTCTTTACTTTACCAGTTAATGTTATTGATCACAGCTTTACAGCAAAAAGACGAGGAACAGGAGAGATAAGCATCTGAGCTGAATTGGACAAAATGGCAGCACAAATTTTGCCTTATCTAAAAAAAACATCAGACCTGCAGAGAAGTTCTTTCCTTTTTGTAAAATAAAGTAGATTAAATACATTGGATTTTATTTGCAAAAGTTCCCCACTACTGAGCTTATCTTTGTTGTTATATATATATATAACTATTAAACAAATTTAATTATTTAAAATAAATACAATATTTTATAGTATATGTTAATATATAATGTATTTATTTGCAAATGTTCCTCACAACTGAGTTTATTTTTGTTGCTACAGTATATAATACAAGAACCAATGAAATGGATTGGATCTTCCATCAATGGAAAAATTTCCATCTAGTAACATCTATTCATTTGTCAAGAGAAACTTGGACTAATATAAAATAAAAAAGATTGCATTCAACAAATTTCACTCAATTCAGGTTTATTTTATAATCAATAACTCACTGCTTAACAGATTATATATTGAAAAGAGGTCTGACAGCAGTTCAGTGTATTGTTTAGCCCATGTTGTCAGTGCAAACTCACTTTTCCTACAGAGCTCAATCTCCAGCAAACATTACACCTCCCTTTAGTTCAGTGGCTTGAGGCCTCAATTTGCTCTAAACAAAGGGCATTTGACATAATAGCACAGCTGACACTTCGACCATTACACTAAACACAGCAGCTCATTAACTGCTCAAAGTGCAGCGGTTCTCAGTTATTTAAGACACTTCTTAAGTATGACCACAGACTTCAGGTAGCTAAGTTTGTTTTCACTTTAGTTTGATAGGTTTACATTTAGTAAATATCCAAACAAGAGCTTCTATGATTCACTACTGGAGAGAAATTGGGTATATTCATGGCTCAGCAAACAAGGTAATTAACACCGGCTTAAAAAATATATAAAAAAATCAAAATCATAGTGCAATATGTAGCTAAATGTGTCTAGCTAGTGTTGTTTTTTTAATTGTTTGAATGCATCTACTCAACATCCTGTAAGACTGGACTTCATTCTCTAACTGGACATTTAAATGGTTTGGTTTCCAAGCTAAACTTAATTATGGTGAACATAACAGAGATGCCAAAATCATGCTTTAATTTCAAAAGTCATTGTGTCATTCTAAAGCTGTCACTATCATTGATGAGGCATCTGACGAAGAAAAAAACAAAACAAATACACACGATATATATATAAAAAGTAAACAGCCCAAAGTGTTTGTCAGGAATCGCTGGGCAGTATCTTAAAGAATATTTCTTTCTTTAAAACAAAATAAAGATCAGTAAAACTTTTAAAAGTGCAAATCCTCATTAAAAGAAACATTTTCAAAAAGATCCAAATCAAAGCGGTGTGTGATGATACAGATTTCTTCCACTGTCACATTCTTATGTGCAAAGTGTAGTTCGTCCAATAAAAATCCTCTTTGGCTCATGTTCACATTTCTACTGCCTGAAGTAACACACGTCATCCATGGCTGCTGTGATTCTGCGAGAATGGAGAGATTTAAATCACAAATAAAATAAACCCAATGAGCTCTTTCTTTCACATCCCACAAGAAATCTTTACATAACTCGCTGGCGCAGGCAGAGGGCGCTGTTTATTATGGAAACACACTTCACAAGCACTTTAATGCTTTGTTTATGAATTTTAGACATCATAGTCTAGCGATAAGTAAAAGTGATAAAAAGGAAACCGGTGTTTTTACCTCTGGGCCTGGTATCCTCCCTCACACAGGTTCACTAAAGCATACAGGTGTCTCAGAGCGTATTCATACTGCAACAAGAGAGAAAAGATGTCTCATACACACAGTATACCACAACTAATGATGCAGAAATCCTGAATGTTTGTACCTCCTGCTTGTGCCAGTTGAAGCAGTGTTTCTTGTAGTGCTTGACAGCTGTTTTGTAACATTCATACTGTGTGAGATCTTCACGTCCATCCAGATAATCCCTCACTTCTTCTTTGTCCTGGACCACATGCTCCACGATCTTATGCATAGTGTTACCAAGCAGCTCCCGCGTCTACAAAAACAAAATCACAAAAGCTATTATAACATGATACTCTTGACTGAAATATATTAATCTGAAAAGTAGTGTCACATACACTACCATTCAAATGTTTGGGGTCTGTAAGATTTTTTTAAAATAAGTTTCATGTTCACCAAGGATGCATTTATTTGATAAAAAAAAAGTCATATTGTGAAATATAATAAAAAATAATAATAATATATTTTTTAATATTTTTAAAGTGTAATTTATTCTGAATTTTCAGCATCATTAACCCAGTCTTCAGTCACATGATCCTTCAGAAATCATTCTAATATGCTGATTTGCTGCTCAAGAAATATGCATTACTATTATACTTCTTATTGAAAACAGTTGTGCTGCTTAATATTTTTGTGGAAACTGATCAAATTCAAAATTCTTTGATGAATAGAAAGTCAAAAGAACAGCATCTATTTGAAATAGAAATCTTTTGCGACAATATAAATGTATTTACGGTCACTTTTGATCAAATGAATGCATCCTTGTTAAATAAAAGAATACATTTATTAACAATAATAATCTTACTGACCACAAACTTTTGAACGGTAGTGTACAACTTTTAACACTTAAAATAAACAATTATCTATTGAAATTAATTGGTAAAAAGCAGTGCTACAAACCTGTAGATGTGCATGGATGTCATTCATGAGACCAACAACAGTCTCAACGTCATTAGACTTGGCGAGTTTTCTCTTCATGATTGCGAGGGGCACATCAGGGCTGCTCATGAGGTCATGTTCAGTGATCACAGGCAACGAAACCGGCTCGGCTGCTTTATCAAGACCTTTAGAGTTACCCTGGAACGCCAGCACCTTCATGTGGGACAGCGTCTAAAACAAACAAACCAAAACAGTTACATTTGGCAAGTACTGACATGCAGACGCTACACAGAACACCATTTATGCTTTCATCAGACACTTCCTTGTCAATAAAGTATACATGACTTTAAATGGAAACTTCTGGAGCTAGCTGAGAATATATGACAGACGCTAGACCAAGAATGAACATGCAGCGCATGTCAATATCCATCATATAGTTAAACTAATCCATATTCAGGATGCTACTCACAGTTGCTAGAGTTTAGGGACCGTAAAGATGAGCCATGAGCACAGAAATGGTGATAATTATTTATTCATTTATTTATTTATTTTATTTCCAAAGTAACTTCCTTCCAGTCAGGGTCCTAAAATTCATTTTTGCAACAGCTGGAACTAGTAAACTGTGAATTTACCAGCCATTAATGATTATGCATTATCATTAAATGCAATGCAATTTCATGTAACATCTTTTTCTTGGCATTACATTTAAATTTGTTCCTGTGAGAATAAATAATGAATCACTTTGCAGCACAGATAATTATGCCTTTAACAGTATCACTGATGCGAATCAATCTTGCATTTCTAGTGTATAGACAGTGTGCCTTATCTGAATGCATTCCTAATCTTTACTGAATGTCTTTCATAGACAGTGTTTGTGAGTGCATTACCTTGTTTCCATACTGCATCACATGGCTAGTGTTGGTTTTGGCCTTTACGATCTTGAACTGCTTGGCCAAAGTCTCTTTGCTCAGATCCTCCTAAAGAAACAAACACACAACACCATTTAAAACACCTTCCCACGATCTGCGTGATTCCAGATTCTATTGTGAGCTGCCCTGCTCTCATTATGATCAGACGATTCATGCAGAATAAATGCTTTTCTCTTCCATTTTTCTTAAATTTGGACCTCTGTCCCAGATGTGTGTACTAACCACGTCAGAGTCTTCCATCCAGTTGACACTGTACCAGTCTCCCAGGTAGGTGTCTCTGGCCTCGTCATAGTAACAGGCATACGAGGATTCATCAGGGTTGGCAGCGGTTGTAGCGTAGACTGGGACACACACCCGGATTATACATACTATGTTATTTACACAAAGCAGCATGTGTGATAAAGTTAGAAAAAAAACTCACCATTAATGTCAACAGGCAGAGGCTTCATCATAGAGCCAGATTCACAGGCCTCAATATACAACACCATCTATGTGTTCGCAAAAGGGTTTGCAGATTTTAAAAAAAAAGACAATAACAAATAACGGGGTTTTTACAAAAATTATGGATTGTATATCTTATTAATGAACACATGTAACACTCACCTTCTTGTATTTGTTGTTTTGGTGCATGTACTTGATGGTATTCATCAGGTCATCTACAAGAAGCTAAAAGTAGAGGCATGATTTACTGCAAGTTTCTAGATATAAAAGCAGTTAATTTACACCATTCCCATTCATTTATAAACATGTCATGGATAAGGAAGTTAAGCAATAACTCCTCTCCCAAGCTGCTCACACACAACTTAAAAAGTTGTCGTTTCAGCAGGTTGTCGATATAACTCATGGCTAAACTTCCTGTGAGTTAAATGCGTTACTCATTATACGACAACCTTCTATGTCAGCTGACCTATTGCTTCAGTATCTTCAGTGGGGGCTGAAAAAGTCAGATCATTTGGGATGTTTTGGTTTAAATTAGCTTTTTTTTTTCCTATAAACTTTTCAATTATGTTGATTATATCATTTGTAATGACATCAGAAAAATATACACAATAGAAGCATTTACACAAGTGGTCTCAGACCTTTGGAGAGAACTGTCTAATGTGCGTGAGAAGAGCCTGAAAGGATCGGATTCAGCTAAAATGACCACAAGAAGTAGAAAGTGCTTACATCATCATTAGGGAAGGCCAGCAGACCTGGTGCTCCATGATCGGTGAAATACACAAACACATGATCATTTGGACCACTGCCAAGAGGAAGAACAATAGAAAAAAACATCACGAGACCTGTTTTACACATGTGTCTCAACATGCACAAACAGACAGAGAGACTAGATTTTACACGAACTGAGGGCAATAAATTAAGTAAGACAGTAACAGGTTCCACAGGCTAATTTACATTTCAATACAAATGTATCAGACACACAGAAAAATAAAACATGCTATGACCCCTAACCCCCCTCTGCCACAGTTTTTATGGTAACTTGCCTTTTCAGCACTTTTCCAGATCCTCCCTTCACACCAGTAGAATTGCCCTTCAACACTGCCAGGAAGTTCTGAGGGGTCACGTCCTGTATCACACACACAATATTAGTGAACGGATGCCAAACACACTGCTTACCACTTCAAATCTCAGAGACAGAATTACACGTATTGACTCACATCACCAATGTAGTCCTTCAGCACTCCTTTGTAAACATCGGTTCCATTGGGTCTGTTTATGATCACTCCTGGAGTTGGGTTACTGGACACACAAAAACAGTCATATGAACCCGTGTACTGAAAAGGCAAAAACTGACAAATTTGTGCTAAAACAATTATTAAAAGACAACAAACAATAATAAAAAGACCTCTTTCTGCAGCACTTATCAAAGTAGGTTTAAAAATTAACCCAAAAACATGTGACTAAGCCAACGATCAGATAACACATTTCTTTCTTTCATCTTTTAATTCAGCCGGAACACCTGACCTACATTTGAATTCATAATCAAAAGCCACTAAAGCAATAAATGTCACAGTTGCACAACTTTCAGTAAAACAATAAAATGAAGGTAAAAATTTCACCTCTTCCCTCTTTTTTATTTATTTAATAGTTAAATGCAAAGCGATTTGTGAGATTCACCCTACAAATAAACGAACACACCGCATACAAACATGACACAAACATCTTTAATGCCAGTCACAATCACAGCCATGACAGAAAAACCTGACATGCTACAATTCATGCATTTTTCATTTTGCCAGACTTTTGGCTACTGGTGGTTAAATTAGATACTTGTGACTTCTGCAAAGAACCAGACTCAAAGCTCTGTTTGTGTGTACGTACATGTGCGAACATGTGTTTGAGCTAAATCCTTTATATGTGTCTGCTTTTGGAAGACACAACTTTACCAATATCCAATAACTCTTGTGTTACCAGCTCAGATCTTTAACCACTATACCAGTGGTACTCAACCAGGGTGCCGGGCCCACTGCAAATGTCTAAGGGGTCCCAATAAGTCTTATTTAAAAACTTTACATTTAGTTTCATTTTAATTAACATGCTAAAGATACTGTATACTATACACTAAAATAATTGTGCAAGATTAAACTGACTTTTTTTTTTAGTTCATTTATTTGAGTTATAACAGAAGTAAAAACAGGTACATCAGCTTAGATAGAAGGGCCTTGGAATATTGTTTTGGACATATGGAGGCTGAGAACCACTGCATAATACAAGTCATACTCACTCGGAACTCTGAGCAAGATCATCATACATCATCACCACAATCTGCTCATCGGGAATTCCGTTCTTATGGACAATCTGATATGCATGGCACACATCAGCCTATAAACACACAAAAGAATAAATGAATATCTAAACAGACTTCAGATAAGACAACTGACTAATATTTTGGAAAACCATGTACTTTCTCCACCTCAAAGATCACTTCCTTTCTCACCTGGTGTCTGTAATTGTACCAGCCATTAGATCCGGCCACAATGACGACCCAGTGCTTCCCATTGTCTGGCTGCTCGGCAGGGAAACCACTCACTACCAGTCCCAGGCTCAGGGCGAGAACTGAAACTGCCACTCTCTGTGCGATCATCTCTGCAATTTACTGACAACGGAGATGGAAAACAAACCAGAAAAAAAGACCATGAGTGCTTTCAAAATGTTAAAGGTTGTAAACTTCCCTAAAATGGCAAAAGTATTTGCAAAACCACATAAAATACTTAATGTGATGATGACCTTCATTTTAATAATATTTATAGTTAAAAAGTTCAATTTATACATAAACATATACATTTTTACCATTTACACTATGTATTTGCTCTGAAATTATACCAAGCCTTTATAGTTATGTACATTTTAACATGTAAATTTGTGATTCTCCCTAAAAGGAAAAATACACAACATATGCTCCATTTACTAACATGACACAAACATCTTAAAAGCACGTGACCATTACAGAATGTAAATATTTCTGTATATAAATACGATGTATAGCTGTGTTGACTTTAACTCGGACACATTGTGTTTTCTTGATGTTACTGTAGGATTACAGTAAGGCTGAGATAAAAAATATAGGATGAAATTATAAAAATGTTTTTTAGAGCTTATTCCAAAATTCCTCTTACAAATGTTTATATTTATACCCCATTTCTGCCAAAACCATAGTTCCAACAGTTATTGTTACTACTGTAAAACCCTAATACAACTCCTTAAACATAATCTGTCATTTTGTTGAATTTTAGATGATAATGGTAGCAAATACCGAATTTAATTGGGTACTAAAGACTGTAGCAATTTGGCCGGTAAACGGTGTTTGCCATGATATATTTTTGCAAGTGGTCTCGTGATCATCCTATAAACAAACAAGGAAATCAGGGCTACAATAATAACACCAGGCCATAAGGGGGTTTAAACTATTCTCCATTTAGCTAAATTGAGTATTTAACCTTGAGGTGATTAATTATACAAAACACAACCAAACAAAATGAGTAGAGTTAATACAAAATAGAGATATTAATAGTTTATATGCACTTACCTGCTAATGTAGCGCTGCCCGAGCTGACGAGCTGGAGCGACGCGACGCTTTATTTCAACCTGTGAGACGGGGACGCATGTGCAGCAGCCAATCAGCGCTGACGGACTCGATGCTCTAACCAATCCGCTCAATACGGCTCAGCGCATCATCCAATCACCTTCGACCAATGGGCGGAGCCTCGACTGACCACCTGACTATTCGGTCATGTGCCATGAGTTTGACTAAAAACAAAACAAAAAGAGAGGAATCTTTGTACTTTTCTATATTATAGAAATAGATTGATGCATTGAAGTGGTCTCCCGCTCTGACAAGTAAAGTCTAACCGTTGTGAAAGTTAAGGGGGAAATGCCTCACATTTATTAGGGGATTCAATAATTTGTTAGAAAAAACTGTATTAATAATTTTACAGGAAGCTTCAGCATAGACACTCGTCTCACTTTTTCATTATCTAGGCAGAACATATGCGAGCACATGATCAGATCATCCGTTTGTCATATGACTGCTATTTCACTGCACCCACGCATTTTTTTTAAATCATTGGTCTGATCTCACCTGTTTTTACAGGTGGTGTGTGTGAGAGAAAACAGAGTATGCCATTATGTAAAGTGTCTCTGTAAGCAGAGAATTTGTAGAATTCTTTTAGAATTTAGAATGTTTAGAATTTTGATTGTAGTTTATGCTGATTCAAAACAGATCTCACTGTTGTTTTATATCAATCTATAATAATCTGTTGCTTGTACTATTTTCTGTTATCTTGGGAAACCCCTTCTACAGTTTCTAATTTACTGTGTAATTTACTACTTGTGTGACATGGTGACATCTCAGTTTTTAAGTCAATGTATAGAGAGAGAAAAGTTGAAATCCAAATTTCATCTGTTTGTAATCATAACACCACAAAGAAAGTCTAATTATTGCTCATAATAATAGACTGACTTGGATGACAAAAACCATTCAAAAGTACTCATAGATTACTGTGAAACTAAAACCTTTGACACCAAATGTGCTTTTTATGTAAGCAATAATTTATTACACCAGTATTAAAGTCCCTTCACTGGCTCTGTTAATATTAGAATTCATTGTAAATTGTTCTGCAGGTGTACACATGTTGACAGCCAGACGGGCTTGTTCCTCAAAAAATCCCTTCAGCATACAGTTTTCCCTGCTGTTCACATGATCTCTGATTCTTATAATCAGACAATGAAACCAGGCAAAGATGACCTAAGCAATTTTTTTTTTTTTTTTTTTTTACAATTTAACACCGTGTTGACAAAGTTGATATTGTGGCTTCATGTATGGTCAGATGTGTCATTATAACATTTGACCAAAATCATTCTCAAATGGAGTTACAGGGTTTTTCACCAGAGATTTTTGGACAATTTCATGCTCCCAACTTTGTGGGAACAGTTTGGGGATGGCCCCTTCCTGTTCCAACATGACTGCGCACTAGTGCACAAAGCAAGGTCCATTAAGACATCGATGAGCAAGTTTGGTGTGAAGGAACTTGACTGGCCCACAGAGTCCTGACCTCAACCCGATAGAACACCTTTGGGATGAATAGGAACGGAGACTCGCAGTCTTCTCGTCCAACATCAGTGCCTGACCTCACAAATGCGCTTCTAGAAGAATGGTCAAAAATCCCCATAAACACACTCCTAAACCTTGTGCAAAGCCTTCCCAGAAGAGTTGAAGCTGTTATAGCTGCAAAGTGTCTGTCAACTCCATATTAAACCCTACGGATTAAGAATGGGATGTCATTAAAGTTCATGTGCATGTAAAGGCAGACGTCCCAAAACTTTTGCCAATATAGTGTATTAGGGCGCTCAGTTTTTTCTGTCATTTGGCCAAAATTTCATGTTATTAAAGACGAAGTGCTACGCAGAAGCTATAAGACAGTATTAGCTATGACACTCTTCATGCTCCTCAAATACATAAACATCAGCCTTAGTGTTTCTTAGGTAAAGAAAACGCTGTACTTATTCAAAGAGCAGTTCTTTATTTACCTGTGCATTGCAAACAAGCAGAGATGGTTCAAACTGCGTGCGGCACTTCATGAGGCGGGGTGGAGTCATGAGGTTTTACTTACAGTTTGAGAAGCCAATGGAGTTACGAGATTTAGTCACAAGCACTTTTTAATACATTTTTTTTGGCTAAAAATGTGCAAAACCCACAGACAGACATAAAGGGTGACCAATAGTAATGATGTATGAAAAAGTAAAATAAAATGATGCAATATGGAGATACGAGGTTTCGCGCAACAGCGACAATAATGAATTAAAGTTTCATGACTTTCATAATAGAAATAATTAAAAAAACATTCGAATGTCTATTCATTAATTAACTTTTTAAATAATGTTTACTGCTTGCATATGAACTGTTACGAAATCTCATAAAGTAAACATAAATATCAAGAAACCTATATCAGGACATGTTTATAGTTTGTTATATTTTGACATATAAAGAAATTCAGATATTTTCTTCCAATTATTACGGTCTTATAACACAAAATCAATGAGAAATTACCTTAAAATATAAAAGGAGACTGGTTACACAGGATTCACACACCGTGACTAACATTTTCCCAAAAGCTCTTTATTTATTTTTTATTTTAAGATATCGGTTTTATTTATTTACTGCTTTTCTTTAACCTAAATCCATTGTACCGATATACAGATTATGCCAGTGATCATTTATATTAAAAAACATTACTGATTGGCAAACGGAGCCATTCCCTGTGATCCAGTCACTGGTATCGTCTCATGATGGCTATGGCCCGGAAATTTCGTTCCCAGATCAAATGAATATGAGTTCATGCCCCAGATACACCATGGACTTAATTTCATCCTTCTCATAAAAGAATATCAACAGTCACTCGAGGTACAGGACATATTTATGCATTGTCTTTATTTGTCCCGTAAATGAAAAACAATATAACAAAATGTAAATACAATAATAAATATTCAAAGCCAAATCTTTATACAGACACTTTTATATATTCATACATAACTACATGTGGTTAAAAACCACTTCTGTCCTCAAGCTAAAGAAAAAAGTCAAAATGGCAGAAAAGAATGTGTCGATTTCGCATTTTGCATTCCAAAGGCAACGGTAACCATGGCGATTTAAACCGTGGAGGAATAAATAATGTGTGATCTTAGAAAGTAGTGCACAGCTGCAAATCAAAAACAAAAATAAAACAAATCATAGTGCAAGTTAAAGTTTCTCATAACACCTGTCTCTTTGTTTTCAAATGGATCCTCAACAAAATAAATGAGGATAAAAAAATAAGGATGACATAAGAGAGCTCTGTACTGGAAGCACCTGCTTCCGTTTTATCATCATCATCATCATCCTCACCGCAATCTTCTTGGCAGCTAGTAAAACAGTCTGTCACATGATTCACTGCATGTCCAGGGCAGCACTGTGCACCTGACTTATTTTGGCAGAAAATACAAAATAAAACTTGATTATAGCTGTAATAAAAAAAAGCTGCTTTCTCTGCGTGTACATCAAGCTTGGCTTTAGTGTTCCCTGTGAGCTTGCATGTGTTTACAGACAACTGATGAGATGCATAGAAATCAAGAAACAGAATGAGACCGCAGCTGCTCATAAAGGAGAGAAAAAGAGAGAGAAGAGTTTACAGGAGCTGATCTCTCATGCAGCATATCCGAGGAACACAGAGCAAGGCAGCTTTCTGTCCAGATCCGAGCAAGTGTGCTTCTTACAGCGTGTGTGTGTGTACGTTCTCCATTTGCACGATTCCCTGGATTCCTGCGCCCGATCAGCAGCTGGAAGTAAGTGTGGCCTCATTCTTCCTCTGGACTGACATTAGATGAGTGTGTCCTCACACCTCTGCCCCCAGTTCAATCACTCCCGTCTCTATAATGGGAACCAGTTTATCATCCACCTGGACCAGCAGGATGGTCTTATCAATGTGAGACCGGCTAACCGGATCACGACTGCAAGGCACCCAACGATGAACCACCTATGGAGAGAGAGAGAGAGTAGTGGGAAATTAGGATAGGTGTAAACTTTTTTTCTTTTTTTCTCAAAATTACAATTCTTTTTTTGTTTGTTTTTTTGCACACGATAACTAAGGATTCTGGGGAAAATGTGCTTAATTGTCATCTATATATAATTATATAAGGGGTGTAACGGTACAGAGGAGTCACGGTTCGGTACTGTGATGGAATTGTAGAAGACTGATGTAATGTATCATGTCACCTTTGCCATGTTCCTATTCTATAAAAACTGTTATGTTCTTTTTGCTGGTGGGATTCTCTCTGAAATTGGTCTGAGATCTTCCCGGCCATAATTAAAGCATATTCGAAGGCATTGTCTGGAGTCTGACTAGTAGTTAATGCTGCACACCAGGTTAGTGGAACACTAGAGATCTTATTCTCAAGTGATAGTGGGCATCTTAAGCCTTGTTTATACTCGACGCGTCCGCACGAGCGCGAGTCGCCGCTGACTGCGCGCGCACCTCTCCAAACGGACGAGGCGTTTATACTTGACGCGCTCGCCGTTGTGCTATTCTGTGAAACGACAGGGGGCGACTCCGAGTATTTCTCCTCTAAAACACCAGGAATCAGCAGTGAAGAAGTAGTTTGCCGTTTATTAGTAGTTTATTAATTGCTGATTCATATAAAAAGAGTAATAAATGCAGTAGGTTGATTGTACTTTCACTGCATGTAAACTAGTTAAACAACTGAAGCCTTATTGAAGAGTGTTTAAACCTTAATTTCATCAGCAGGGCTTACTTCTGCTATTGTAGGCTTATTTTGTAAATATAAGCAGTTTAGACAAGTGCAAACTGGGTGCTTAATGCAAATGTGTTCCTATTCACAAAATGAGAGGCTTTTATGGTCGCCCATCAATACAAATGTCTCTGTGTATAGAAGGATCATAAACATGCTGGTACAGATGTACCAGTTCGGCCAGATTCGGCTCGAAGTCGTTCATCTTCGGATGCGGCGCCGCGCGCGATGTTACAAAAAGTGCCGTGCACACCGCCAGGCGAAATGGGGTCTTGCGCACCCAACGCGCACGACCGCCCACACCGCAATGACGTCATTTTTGCCTCGCGGACCTTCGCGCTCTTGCGGACGCGTCGAGTATAAACAAGGCTTTACGGGGTCAGAGTAGCTACACTTGGGCGACAACCAATGCGGTCATAGTGGGAGTCGGAAACACCTAGTTTAACTTTAGTCAGGTGCGTAGGGGAATTACTCCCACAGTACATATCTCGGTTTTGGGGTCACGGTTCGGTACAACAGGAAGAAGCAACAAATCCCCAGAGCTAGGTTTCTTTTCATTTATTTTGAACAGACAGTAGTGCAAATTACAGTTTGTTCCACCTAGCAGAATTTAGTCCCCCCTGAGGTAGTTGGTACAGTACAGCCACCTTTAGTCTATTACCTTCAAGTTGTTTAAAACCTGTATGAATTTTTTCTTCTTTTGCTGAACACAAAAGATGATGTTTTGAAGAATGTCGGTAACCAAACAGGTGATGGACCCCATTGACTTCCATAGTATTTTTTTTCCGACTGTTGAAGTCAATGAATTACATCAACTATCTGGTTACCGACATTCTTCAAAATATCTTCCTTTGTGTTCAGCAGAAGAAAGAAATTCAAACAGGTTTTAAACAGCTTGAGGGTGAGTAAATGATGACAGAATTTTCCTTTTGAAGTGAACTTCAAACTATTTTTTAATAGTTTTATTTTAAAATAAAAACACTGGTGTGTGATGTACGCACATGACCCTCCATGCCTTCTAGGGGACTCCACTCTCTCCAGAAGTTACGTCCAGATCTCAGTCTCATGCTCTCATCTGGCCACACCAGCTCCTTCCTCTTGGGATGATTCATCACGTCCAACACCTGACTCACATCAACAATCTACACACAAAAAATGCATACATTTCATGATAACAATAAATTTCACAAAGGGCCAAATACATGAAAGCCAGACGCTCACCTGCACCCTGTATGAGATGTCGTCCCTCCTCAGACAGGACAGCGAGGGGTTGTGATGATGATGGTGGATGTAGTGAAGATGATGATGGGGGTGAGGATGGATGTCCGTCCCCAGCCCTAAGGCTTCGTTTCCCAGCAGGCCTGCGAGTGTGTGGGCGTGTCGTTTGCAGGGCGGGATGGAGTGGGCAGAGAGAGAGCTGGATGGGCCGGGCGGGTCGGGGTTGGCGGCTGAAGCGTTGCCCAGGCGGAGTTGCAGGGAGGTGGGCAGCGTACGGAGAGATAGCTGGCTGCTGGAGGAGCGTCTGCAGGGCTCCAGACCTGTGACAGAGGTGCGGAGTGAAGACTGGCGGCTGCTGCTGTGGCGATACGAGGACGACTGACTCACGACAGATGCACGAGCAGGAGACTGACGCACCAAACCAGACTGAACAGACTGAGAACTCTGACTTGTACCTGAAGAGAGAGAGACTGTTACTTTCTTTATTATTTGACAAAATTTATCCATCCATCCATCTGATTCTGTCTGTGTCAATCTATCTATCCAACAAGATTGAAATTGCATAAGGCATAAATAACTTTCACAAAACGTTTGTCACAACAGCCCAGCAGGAAACATTGCAACAGCATGCAATGTTTGTTTAGATGACCTTTCCTTTTCTAGTTTTGTTCGACTGTTGCAAATGCTTCGGCAATAAACATACACTCACTAGCCACTTTATTAGGTACACCTTGCTAGTACTGGGTTGGACCCGCTTTTAACTTCAGTACTGCCTTAATTCTTCATGGCATAGATTCAACAAGGTGCTGGAAACATTCCTCAGAGGTTTTGGTCCATATTGACATGATAGCATCACACAGTTGCTGCAGATTTGTCTGCTGCACATCCATGGCTCCCGTTCCACCACATCCCAAATGAGCTCTATTGGATTGAGGTCTAGTAACTGTGAAGGCCATTTGAGTATAGTGAACTCATTGTCATGTTTAAGAAACCAGTTTGAGATGATTTGCGCATTGTGACATGACGCATTATCTTGCTGGAAGTAGCCATAAGAAGATGGGTGTGCTGTGATCATAAAGGGATGGACATGGTCAGCAACAATACTCAAGTAAGCTGTGGCGTTGCAATGCTCAATTGGTACTAAGGGGCCCAAAGTGTGCAAAGAAAATATCCCTCTCACCATTACACCACCAGCAGCAACCTGAACCATTGATACAAGGCAGAATGGATCCATGCTTATAGCTGTAAGCCATTATCAACAAAATTCTAACAAATAAAGGCTTGAAATATCTCACTTTGCATGTAATGAGTCTATATAATATATTAGTTTCACCTTTTAAGTTGAATTACTGAAATAAATTAACTTTTGCACGATATTCAAATTTTTCGAGTTTCACCTGTATGATCGGATTCCAATCGGACATGCACAAAAATCGGATTTGGACTGACAGTCTGAACGAGGCTTAAAATCACATTTCCTCCACATTCTGATGCTCAGTTTGAACTTCAGCAGATTGTCTTGACCATGTCTACATGCCTAAATACATTGAGTTGCTGCAAAGTGATTGGCTAATTAGATATTTGCATTAACGAGCAGTTGAACCAGGTGTACCTGATAAAGTGGCCGGAGAGTGTATATTATACCTATAAAGGTGTCAGACACATCATGGTAAACTGTGGATTTGCAAATATTAACTGGGTGAGGCCTCATTAGAATACAAATTCATCAAAATGATATGTGTTTAACCAGTAAATGATGTCTACACATCGACTGTGTGTTTACCCAGAGAATGAGGTGTGTAAGCGTGCAGTGCTGTAGGTCCTGAGCTGTGCTGGGAATCACTTGCTCCTGTCCCAGAATTCCCAGAATTCCCACTGCCACACGACAAGCCACCTGCATCACAATCTTCAACATTCCCGCCACTATTACAGCCAGCACCGCAACCTTTACGCAGTCTGCAGTGAGAGACATAAGTGCCGTTATTGTGACAATCAAAAAACGTCCATTCTTTCTCATACAACCACACACACACACACCTGTGCCACGTGTTGACGATAAAGTTTCGTATGTTGGCGATGCTGATTGGTCCTCCCAGTATGTGTCCCAGCTGGGGGTGTGTATTACAGTAAGATGTTGTCAGGGGCGACACATATATTGGGTATCCGATTGGCTGGTCGCACGAAGAGTTGATCATGTTGCGTAGTGCTTGCTTGGCATTCTGGATGCTTCCACGCTCCGGGTTTCGGTTCCGCAAAAACACCAATTCCTGCTGCTGCCCCGCCCACAGACCGCGCACACACTCCTTATTCACCTAAGAATGCACATGCAAAAACAGAAAATTACTTATGTCCTAATAAAGTTGTCTTTCCCTGTGAGTCTATTTTCCTTTATTTTATCCTGTCTTTTTGCCCTCACCTTTATGACCCTGAAGCTGAGGTAGCGTCTGTTAAGCATGATGATCTTGTATTCGTTGGTCCCTTCGTCCAACACGTGTCTGAGGGCGAGCAGAGAGGGAGAGTTGGACAGGACAGCACTGCGCCAGGCCGGGTCGCCCTCATGAGCGATCACTAGCGTCTGCTCGTGTGAAGAAATCGCCTCAAACAACACAGATGATTCCTCATACTCATCAGGGGAGGTGAAGTGATCCTGCAGAGAGAGATTAACTCTGGTTAAATTGTATCCCAAACGCATAAAATAATACAAGTCACATTTGATATGACACAGAGAACAGATGACATAGAAATTCGTCTCACACGCATCTCACCTGGTGCAGTTTGAGTGACATGCGAATTCCAGGCACAACCACCTTCCTCAGCAGTTCCATGTCAGTAAATATCCATTCATCTCTCACAGATGAGATCCGGAAATCTCCCTTAAACAAGGAATGCAGCCCATAGAGGAACGACTCTAGATTACTGTAAGAACCCAAACACACACCATCAGAATAAACGTGCACACAATCTTTTTGGAAAATCTCCAGCACAGTAAAGGATTTTTGCACCCTCACCTGGACATATGGTGAGATGCAGTTCCCAGAGCTCTCCTTCCCAAAACACACAGACCATAACACAACAAAACCAATGGAGAGTCTTTCTCACTGTCTAGTGGCTGAAAGAAAGAGTGAGAGAGACAGTAGCAATGTAAAATTGTGTTAACAAACACTTCCATTAATACATTTAAAAAGGGTCAGTAAGATTGATATTTTGATTTTTTAAAAACAAATTAATACATTTATTCAGCAAGGATGCATTAAATTGATCACAAGCATGTGTTTACCTTCTCTCTCCGTGAGTTGCAGTACTGGATCCAGCTGAGGTAGACGGAGCAGAAACTGTCTCTAGAGATTCCAGCCAGTCTGTGATCATAGTCTTCATCAATATTGGGGTTAAAGGTTGGATCCAGGTCAACATAGTTTCTCTCTCCGCAGCTCTTCAAGCCCTCCAATAAGGCTTCGTTCGCCAGCCACTCCTCCAGTTTAGGAGACGCGATGACATAGTAAATTATGCCCTACACACATACAAACACATATACAATAAATAAATGATTTAAACACAATTTCAGAACGTTAAACCTCACCTAGCCAGTTTTTTTTTGTGTGCTGACCTTAACGTAGTAGGTGGTGAGGATTCGCCGCAGATCAAACACCTGCAGCATAGACGCGGCACTGTTATCGGTGATGCTGTAGCCCTCCAGGGCGTATTTAGTGACCAGAACCTCCCAGGCCAACCAGCGCTGTCCAAACGCAGCATTAAAGGACAGCAGATGGGGAAGGTGACCAGGCTCACAGCAACAACAGCTTTCATCTTCTTCAACTCCCTCTGTTATCGCCTCCACCTCCCTCTGCTGGCAATACGTCCCTAGGATAGAAATAGGAAAAGAAATGTGACAGAATAATTTAACTAGAATCATATAATCATTTCAACATTAATAACTCCTTTAAAATGTTATATTTTTTCCACTTGTGTCAACTTAAAATCCATTCGAACCATGCACCAAAGCCATGGTCAGTTATGTTAATGTGCTCATGGTTATTATGACATTACTAATGTAATGATTCCTAAATGTTTTTGTGGTTTAATTTCTACAAATGGTCAGGGTGGATTGGGGAGAGAGCTTTAATTTCTAAATTTAGAGTACATTGAGCAATTAATAGCTAGCAAAATCCTGTTTTTACATAATATATTACATTTCCAAGAACTATAACTTTTTAAAAATGTATTCTACCGTTCAAAGGTTTGGGGTCGATGCGATTTTTTAATGTTTTTGAAAGAAGTCTCATATGCTCACGAAGCTGATTTATTTGAACAAAAATACAGTAAAAACAGCTATATTGTGAAATATCATTACAATTTAAATTGTAATTTCTATTTTAACATATTTTAAAATGTAATTTATTCCCTTTCAGCATTATTACTCCAGTCTTCAGTGTCACATGATCCTTCAGAAATCATTCTAATATCCTGATTTGCTGCTCAAGAAACATTTCTTATACTCTCATAATCTCTCTTTTTGTCTTTTCCTCTCCTCACCCCTGAACTCAAGTCCTCTGAGCTGGAAAGTGATGAGGCCGTTGCCGATCTCGACAAGGTGAACGAGAGCATTGAGGTAATCAGATGCCAGGATGAAGCAGTCTCCAGTGCTGTAGTTTCCCCAGCGGCCCAGCTGCAGATCTCCACACAGAGAATGCTGCAGGGAACGCGTCAAATGCTCATAGAAGATGGAGTTCAGGTTATTATCATCTGAACCTGACAACATGAGAGATGGGATGAGGCGACACAGGTTTAGAGATGTCACACAAATCTAGACCTCAAAGGGCAAGAAACTAAACTAAGAATGATTATAACAGATACTCTATGTAAACCAGTACCTGGGTTTCTGTCGAGCTGCGAGGCAAGTCTAGTGTTGGAGTGATCGACTCGCTTAGTACTGAAACACAAATTAAAATCAACAAAGCATTGTGAGCTGGGCTAAAATGGCAAAAGAAAACGGAGACACTGATGTACACTGAGTGTCTTACTTGTATTCTCTCTCCCAGAAGCGCACAGGTCTTACGTAGGAGCTGATGAAGATGGCACTGCCAAGAAAAGGGTTTAACGGAGTGGAGAACACAGCAGACACAATGGCCTGCACGAACAACATGGCAGAGTCTGGAGGGGGGCGGAGTCAAGGAAGAACAGAAAGAATCACAAAGACGCCAGGGTTTGACAAAGCCTGTAAAATATGTTAAATCTGAAACACAATGTGTGATAAGGATACGTGGCACTGCAAACGGCTGGGCGAAGGCATGGAAGGCAGAGCCCCAGGTAATCTGCCACGGCGCGATGTAGGTATAAACAAACTTCAACTTATAAAAGAGCTCCCATAACTACAAAACAAAACACACAATTATACAATACGGACTTTGCAAAAGAATCTATCTAAAAAAACAAACAAACTGGCAATTCGTGAGGGATAATGTAAGAGAAGCAGTGGGTGTTGTATCATCTGAAGGGGTCTGTGGATTGACTGACTTTACATTATGCTGCTTAATATGGCTTTTTAACCCTCTGGGGACCAGAAACGCGCCGGCGCGTTTTGCTCGTTTTTTTTCACATAGCAGAAAAATAGACTTAAAGTACTACCATCATTTCTGTTCATATACAGTTAAGAAATATGAAAAAATAATCTGGTAAATGTCTACTTTTTTATGTGCCCACATACAATCGAAATAAAATATTGTGCTTTTGTAAAATAAAGAAAATAAACAGGGTGTGCGTTCTGCCTCTCGGTCACCGTGAACTTTTTTTCTGGAGCACGTCTCTAATCTTCAACACAACTCAGCTAATACTATTCACCCAGCCATAGGGCTGGGCGGTATGACGGTATATATCGTTACCGCGGTAGAAAATGTCAACCGTAACAGATTTTTTTATTCCGTGTATACCGCGAAATGCAAATAAGTGGGCGTGGTTAACTCGCGTGCAACGTGCGTGAGACTGAAACACTGAGAATTGTAAAAAGAAACACGGAGAAAGCAGATCAAGAGGATCCACAAAGGAATTACATTTTCTAAAGGGTTGTTGTTGTTAACGTGATATTTTCGGGGGGGAAAGGCGCACGCGCAGCAGTTAAACTAGAGCAGTGCAGCACCCAGGCTACAGAGTGCATGCTCGCAAAGCATTAATTGACAACAACAGTTCATATATCAATATCGTAACAAATAGAAATATCCTTAAATAATGTATAGTTATCTGTATCTTTCCGTCTCTTATCTATAGTTTTTAAACACGCAAACAGTTTGCCGTGGTAATGAACAACCGGCTTGTTAAAGTGAATGCCTATCCTGTAGCCTATCTGAGTAGGGGTGGAACGGTACATGTATTCGTATCGAACCGAAACGGTACGGGCGTCACGGTTCGGTGCACGAATTTACACGGAGAATACACGGTATAAAAATAAATAGAACTCGCGTGCAAATTAATTAATGTAATGCGGAACTACTGTTAGATACGCGGGTTCTTTAGGGACACATAATCTGTACCATCGGCTTAGCTCTGAACGCGCGTTCAAACGTTGCCTTTATTCGCGCGTCCTATTCGCTTTGGACTATTTGACGCTCTATTCGCGTTTGGTGTGACCGTGACCGCGACCGCATAATGAACAGGCTGCGATGTCAAGATTGCAATGCTGGAGTGTGTGTGTGTGTGTGTGTGTGCGCGAGAGAGAGAGAGAGAGAGAGAGAGAGAGAGAGAGAGAGAGAGAGAGAGAGAGAGAGAGAGAGAGAGAGAGAGAGAGAGAGGCGCGCGATCGAACAGTGGAAACATAAAAAACATACTCCGTCATTTTGTTCATACAGATCATTAAACCTGGAAAGTGTTTACTTATATTTGTGTACACTCGCAATAAAACACAACATTGTGCTTTTGTCACACTAAAAAACTCTTGTCAAACTGTAACCTACAACTGTCACCCAACCAAAACACACACACACACACACACACACACACACACACACACACACACACACACACACACACACACACACACACACACACACACACACACACACACACACACACACACACACACACACACACTGTTTTAAAAGCAAAACATATTTATCCAACTCCATTTCAAAACAGTCTGTGGGTCCCATCTTTTGGACATTCGTCATATTGCATTGGTTTTCATCTCTTGTCCTCGGAGCACTAATCTTACACATTCTACATTGATTAAAAAAAGAAAATCGAATGTTTTTAATGGTAGTATTATTTTATACAGAAATCAATTATTTATAATTCAGATGAGAATAATGTTACATTGTCAATTAATAATGTTAATTAAAATTAAGGAAAACAAATATATTGATCTGAAATATAGCAAAATAATTTTAAATTAATTGTACAATTACCAAACATATCGCAAGGTCTTTTTGTCTTTTTATTAATTTAATTAATAAACTAATTATATAAAACTATTGACAGTGCACTACAAATAATCTGGTTCTATGCCTTTATTAATAAAACTTATTTAAAAAATACAATGCCTTCTGCATTTTTGTTTTGCTTTTCCCTCCATTGTACCGAAATCGTACCGAACCGTGATGTCTGAACCGAGGTATAAACCGAACCGTGACTTCTGTGTACCGTTCCACCCCTATATCTGAGGCAAAATTACTAAATGTGCAGCGCGAGTTATATATTTCTAAGTCCAAACAATTGGCCACCGAACCAGCTGATAAAATCTTCCTTTAATTCGATACGTGATTACAACTTGACACTTAAATTAACCGATCGCATTTACTGATGCAGAAGACGCGCGCGTGCACACGCACTGAGGGAGCGCGGTGTTCACCGGGCTATGGTCAAATAATGACGCAGTTACAAGGTGTGTATAATTTAAACTAGGCTACTTTGTCAACACTAACAGTAGCTGCTGTTCGGTTTTCATACTGCTGCTCTCCTTCTAGTCACTTCTGAACTTATAGGCTATTGATTAAAGCGCAGGGTGACGGGTTGCCAGATCACAAAAAGATCAAAACAAGCCCCTTCAAACGCATATGTAGCCTATAAGCAGACATGGCAAAAATGTAACGGGGAACACATTTAAACATAACTAGTATTACTATCCTACAAAATTAAAAGGAAATAACTAATTTATTATGAATAGAATAGTTCAATATAAAATATTCAGATATTATAAACTGATTGATGAAGTAAAGCATAACATGAGATTGAAAAATTATTCAGCCACACTTTATTTAAAGTTTAATTGCACCGATAGGAGTTGTATTTAATATCAATCAGTTGGGGGTAGTTCATCTAAAAGTTGATGAGTGTGTTTTGTTTATATTTAGCTATCAAAATTGTTTACCAAAGAAATAATTGACCAAATAAGAGAAACAGAAAACAATGTGAAGTACTTTTCATTTCTAAAGTATTTGGGTAATTTTTTAAATCTTTTTAAATCTTTTTTAAATCTCCTCATTCTTTGTGCAAGGCTCCTGTAATGATATGGCCTGATAGCACCTAATAGGGCCATTATGGGGAGGGTCTTTGTCTTTCTCAGGTGTGGAATGCCACACATATTAATGAGAGATCACGCCTCCTGCATAAAGCTTTCTCAAACAAAACACGTCATTAAAAATGTAAAAGACTTTATTGACTTATCTGAATGAGTAGTCAGGATGATTCTCACATAGTTTTGGAGCAAATATTCTAGGCTATGTGATACAATTTTCAAAAGTCTTGTGAAGAAATAATCAATATGTGTTTTGTGGCTTTAATTTAGCAACTTTCATTTTTATTTTTTTCAATAACCACGCATAAACATTATTCTATTAAAAATAAAAAACATGTACATACATGTTGCTCAGATATCATGGTAGCCCCGTATGTGCTATATAGAGTGAATTTACACCTTTGCCATTAACATGTTTATAAATAACTGAAAAAAGCACAAATGTCAGTGCATGTCAAAACATCCCAAGGGTCCCAAAAACACTCTGGTCCCCAGAGGGTTAAAATAAAATAATAAAATATTGATTTCAGTTATAGAGAATAAATAGAACTTTACATTATGCTGCTTAATATGGCTTTTAAAAATAAAATAAAAATAAAATATTGATTTGAGTTATAGAGAATAAAGAAAACTTTACATTTTGCTGCTTAATATGGCTTTTAACATAGAGAACATAGAGTGATATAAAAGACATGAAATTAACAATTTGGCTGCCTGGGACAAGCTCCCTGGTTAAACAGTCATCATTCACAAAGTGTGAATACATTCACAAGTATTCCAGAGATCTTTCTTATGATATCTGCTGGTTAGTAATCAATCTACCAATTAGTCTAAATTTTTAGGATTCAATAACTAACAGAATCTTATACAAGTGTCTTTAAATTGTGTCTGGAATGACTTGGACATGTTGAACAACTCTTCAACTCTGTAATTAATCAGAGGGCATATCCTATATCAAACTCCCGAAAGAATAATAAGTCAAGACAAAAATCGATTTCTATAGGAACGAGGACTGACCTTGCTGAAAATGATGGACATAATGAAAAGGTCCAGCAGCAATGTCTCGGAGAACTGCTGGTAATCAAACGTGAAGAACAGGACCGTGAAGAGGACAGTGACATACTGATATGTTGGACTACTAAAGGAAGAACGCAGCAGCTTTAGCCCAGCGACAGTTATCACTAGAGCTCCGACCCTGAGAGAGAGAGAGAGAGAGAGAGAGAGAGAGAGAGAGAGAGAGAGAGAGAGAGAGAGAGAGAGAGAGAGAGAGAGAGAGAAAGAGAGAGAAAGAGAGAGAAAGAGAGAGAGAATTAATTGATTTCTTGTAAATGATAGTGCAGAGCAATGTTTAGCTAATACATGACGATCAGATGCAGACAGTCAATAAAACAACAACAACAACCTTAACACTGAATACAAAAGGACACAGGTTAGATAGAAGAAGGAATACTGACTCTGTGTTGAGTTTCTTGGGGCTGGCGAGCTCCTGTGCGCTGCCACTCAGCTCATTAAGCACAATGAGTGGATAGAGGATGTTTTTCTCCACAAACAGCAGCCACACATGTGCACGCTCAAACCACATGACATGGGCAGCACCTGCACACAGAAAACACGTACTTCAGTACAGTTAATGCTAACGGAGTCCCAGCAGAATGAGAGTTATGCATTTATATAGCAGTAAACTGAATTTTCAACGTCTGTAGTGTGACTCACCCCTGATTTCAAACTGATAGTACTCCCTGGTTTTGAGCAGAGGGTGCGAGAAGCAGTACCAGGGTAACTGCTTCCTCATCTGGGGCAACAGGTAGTGAGTTAACAGCCCAACTGCCCCAACCAGACCGTACAGAACATAGCTCAAAAATGGCTAGAAGAGAAGACAGAGGGACAAGAACAGTCTATTTATTCTATTTTTAATATTTATCTGTAGTTTAATTATGATACAATATGTATTCTTGGAGTTTGATTTGCAGCTGAACTGTGAAGTGCAGTTTGATCATATTTAGGGATACACAACATACTGCTTAAGATTACTGGCCGATATTAGAGTTTTTTTTATTATTTCTTGGCAGATTTTGGAAAGACACTACCGTTCAATCGTTTAGGGTTGATTTTTTAATGCTTTTAAGAGAAGCCTCTTATGTTCACCAAGGCTGCATTTATTTGATCAAAAATACAGTAAAACAATTATGGTGAAATATTATTATAACTTAAAAACTGTTTTCTATTTGAATATATTATGAAATTCTATTTATTCCTGTGATAGCAAAGTCTTCAGTGTCACATGATCCTTCAGAAATCATTCTAATATGCTGATTTGGTGCACAAAATACATTTAATTTTATTACAATCAGTGTTGATTAAGCATGTTGCTTAATAGGAAACCATGATGTGATTTTTGAATAGAAAGTTTAAATAAAGCATTTATTTGAAATAGAAATCTTTTGTGACATTATACATTTCTTTACAGTCACTTTTGATGAATTTAATGCATCCTTGCTGAATAAAAATATTGATTTCTTTAAAAAAAAAAAAAGTACTGACCACAAACCTTTGAATGGTAGTGTATGAGCCAATTTTGGGTATTTTATTGTGCATTCTTATTTCCCTTTTAATTTTGCCTTTGCTGTCATTTAACATTAGTTAAAGTTAATATTTAAAAAACATTAATCATTTAAAAACCCTGTTAAATGTAATATTTAGCCAATCTCAAAATAAATATTATATTTGACTTTTTAGTGGTGTATTTTTTAATTAATTTAGATACAATAAATATAAATTATCAGTTTTTGTCCATAACATGCAAATAATTATTGCCATATCAGTATCGGCCAGAATTTTATAAGTACTGTATTTATATTCATAGTGTTTTACCTGTAAGGCGATGAAAACGGTGCTGACATGAATGGCGAAATACAGGACAGCAATGACGACACACACAATCACATCTGACTGTAGTCTCTCATTCTGTAGCCAGAGAGAAAGAGAGAGACACAGACGCATCATTTAAGACAGAAGAGTCCATGTGTGTTTGTGTCTATGTTTGTGAGATTTATGCATGTATTGCTTACCACGGAGCTGCGGAGTTTCTCTGGTAACGGATCCTGCACTTCAGAAAGGGGATCCTCCGGATTTTTCTCTTTTACGTTAGGGAAGACCTTTGACTGCACTAATGAACTACACATACAGAAGACAGAATTAAAATCGACAAAATACAAACTAACCACTGGACTAAAAGTTCCTAAAACAAATAATAAATACTCAAAGAGCTCAATTCAAAGTACTTAAAGCTGGAAAAATGCAAGAAATATTTATCAAAAGCACAAACCCACACACTCGCAGAAAAACTTACATGAGAACTGAGGGGTCACTGCTTTGGCGGCTGAGATGATATGAAACAGCAACCAACAGCCCACAAAACACAGAGAAAAGCACAGGAATGTGCTGAGGATCCCAGGAGTCCTGAAAACAAACATAATATACAGAGGAATATTCAGTGTGCTTTAACAATCCACACAAATACAACTTAAATCCAGAAAGAATTCAAAACAAGTGATTCATCACCTTTAGGGCGCCATAGCAGAACCCATAGAGCATCGTTATGGTGACGACGCTGCGCAGAACACTATAGAGAGCTGAGAGCAGACTGGTGCATGCTGGGAGTGAAGACAGATATTACAATGAGTCTCTAAAACACCAATCTCATCACACAAACACAACAGTTTTTACAATGGGCACATATGTTACCGTTTCCTCCGAAGGCGTGAATGTCAAGTTGCTCAAGCAGGTACATGACAAAAGTGTTAATCTGAGGGAGCAGCCCAATGAAGAAGATGATGGGAAAGCACAGGGTAAAAACTAGAGTGAGAGAGAAGAAAGAGAGATAATGTAAAGCCGGAGTACTTGAGTCCCGTCAGATCAGCAGGATTTTCTCTGTGCTCAGCTCTGGAATATTTGTCTACTTTCACAGGAATGCTGAGGGGAAAGCTTCTGCGTTGCAGATTTCAATAAAAGAGCAAAACAAAAACCACTACATATTCATCTGCTGGGAATTTACGCTCAATGCTCACCAATGAGGAGATCCCGCGCTTGAGACAACAGGATGGAGCTGGTGAGAGCGACTCCATATAGAGACACTGCACTGGAGTTGCTGTTTACACTCCCATAGTGCAACAGCCAGATCAGCCCACAGCACAGACAGAAATACACAGGCCTGCTGTAGGCGATGATACGATTATGACCCTAAACACACACAGGAGGGAAAGAAAATCATTGCATCTCTGAATTTAGATCCCAAATTTCTCATTTACATTCTTCTGTTTGCAAATATTAAAAGGTTAGATTATATTAATTAATTAATTAATATATATAATCATGAATATACAACCGATTTTAGCCGATTCCGATTTCATTTGTTCAAACCACTTTACAGCACACACAAATATTTATTTTCTATCTTCTCTTTAATAGAACATTTTTCGAACAGATAATCGCTATAAAATAGAACTATATAAATTACTCCTGGTGTGGGAAATTCACACACATCTAAAGTGCAGTGTTATGGAAGAACCATTTCCTTTTCACATCCAATATCCAACTAAACAAATTTGATATATTTAGCAAACTAAACTTCTGTATGAAAACAGGTAATGGCAATAAAATAATATATAAATAACAAATAAAAATAAAATAAATATAGCCTTGCAGTATAAAGATATTTATCACACACACACACACAGGCCTATTGCAATCACTTGTACATCAATGGCAAGTTATATTTCTCAAACAGTTCTTCTCTCATCTGACACATGTCCAGCCAGGCTAAACAGGACAAGTGGAGCATGTGCAGGGAAACGATTGGGAAATAATAAAAACAAGTTTAAATGGGTACATTTTCTATAAATATTTTTGAGTCTTCATTTTCTTTTCTTACAGCCTACTTCAGTTCTTGTTAAAACACACCAGACATACAAATTCTGTGCATTTTAGGCACTTTTTGGATAAAATAATATTTATTTTGTCCATCAAAAGTGTGCTTTCACTTAAATTGAGCGCAGCAAAAATAGACTCGGCGCCGAAACCCGCGCTTCACTGTTGCTCACGTGACGCTCCTGCTCGATGCTCACGCGCTGCTCCGGCTCCCGGTGTGAATGCACTCATTGATTAACATGCACGCCGAATAAAAAAACAAAAATCAAAAACGCGTTGCTCCCGCTTGCGGTGTGAAACGGCCGTAATTCACGAGGTTTCCTACATGTGCGCGTTCCGTGTGCACGTGTGATGCTGATGTTGCGCGATGTTAATCATGCGGCGCCCGAGTGCATTTGACCGGCATAAAATCGGATTATGTCAGACTGACCGGCCGGTCGCCGATCATGGCCAATCACGTGAAAATCGGCCGATTCCAGTCACCAGCCGATCAATCGGTGCATCTCTAGTAGAATCTAGTATATTTTTAATACTTTTTGTTCAATGCCATCTCTCTAAACATAATCTTGAGATGTACAGATTATTATTATTAATGCACAAGTCCCATTAATCACAGAAATGAACACATTCATTTTTCCTGCACTAATTTATATGCTTTTGGCTCACAGTAATGGAGTGTGTAACTGTATTAGAGTGTGTGTGTGTGTTACTCACATGTCTGGGTGATGAAGAGTCGGGTTGTACACTCTGATTAAGGGATCAAAAGAAAATTTTTCATTAAAAATGATTCATTAGATCAGTGTGTATTTGAAAAGTGTGAGATTCTCACCTTCAGCAATGAGTACTGGCAACTGGCGATAACGAGGCAGAACTGAAAAACCCAAATGTCAGTAAAGAACCCATGTACTAGCAGCACAGAACCTAGAAAGGCCACGAGAACCGCCAGAGCCACCGAGAGCATGTTCTCCAGAACCTCCCGGTTCCTGATAAACACACACACGCACCACCATCAGGATACGAGATGAGACATCAGTAATACACATTCATGTGTGTGTGTGTGTGTACCTGTCGAAGAGGGCCAGTAGTGTGAGTCTGTCAAAGTGCAGCCCGACCCACAGGTATGGCAGCAGCCAGAAGCGGTAGTACTGCTTGGTTTTGAGCGTGTGCGCGTGTGAGTGTGTGTGATTATGTGTGGAGCCCTGTGTGGAGTGCGGCGCCTCCTGCAGGTCAGGACTGCCGTCCACATCGTGCTGTTCCAACAGCTCTGGGTCCATGGACAGCAACCGATTCAGACGCATCTGAGGAAACGAGAACTAAGCCGGGGTGAGTTTACAAACACACACACACACACTGAGCTCATCATCTCAACTAGGGGTGGGCGATGTGACCAAAAGCACAATATGAGAAATAACAATATATATCGTAATATAGTTATTTTTGTAATTATTAGGGGTGTAACGATACACAAACCTTACGGTTCGGTTCGTCCCACGGTTTTGAGGTCTTGGTTCGGTTCGGTTCGGTTCATTTCGGTGGGGTGGGGGGGTTTAGAAAGCTAAAATTGCTTTTATTTTTTTATTAAACAGTGCTTTAATGAACAAATTGTGTCCTTGTCTTTAAATTAATTCAATTACAAGTAAACGTTTCTCAAGGATAACAAAATTATCTGCTAATGCTGTAAACTACAGCCCTTACGTTAGCCCAGTTACATTACTATAACATTAAAGCTTAACAACAGCGACTTTTAGCCTAAATGATATAATAATAATCAACACTCAAATAACAAATTGTATGAAAACATGTAAACTGCACATAAGGCAATTTTTGCATTAACATGTTTTTACTCTAATTTGTTATTGTTATATAATAATTTACACAGTTGCTGTTATTTTCATGACAACTATTTTAAACATACATTAAATAATCAAGATATCATAAACAGGTTAAGTAAAATATAATATATAGGCTAATATATAGCATTTATTTAGTGAAAGAGTTAGCAAACCAGCAAGCTGTGGACACTGAATGACTTGCCTGAGGTAAATATAAAGCTATGTGAAAAACTAAGCGTTTTATTGACGTATTTCCGCTGTTGAAACACTGATTGGGTGTTTACACGAGTTATGATGCCTTTCAGTAAGTATACTGTATCTTTCAACATACCTTCGAGTGTCCATTCATGTTTATTCTGTAACTGAGGAAGAGATGATCGCGCTCCGCGCTGCCGCATGCATACAGTGATATCTGTCACGCCACATCTAAGAGCGCCAAAACGGCATTTATTGTTTGCATTTCGTGATCAAATAGACATAATTTGAAAGATTACACCTTGCTTATTATCAAAAGTAACAAAACACTGAGCTTATTGCAATTATATGTGGTCAATGGTGGTTAGGCAACAGCCCTGTATTCGTTGTGTACACATAACACATGAGGTGCAATGAGCCGGGGCTGGGCGGGGCAGCAGGGGGCGGGGCGTGTTCGGTTCGCCATGAGAGTTTCGCGATACGTATCGTGGGTGGTGTATCGCGGTTTTTCGGTTCGGTTCAAATATCGTTACACCCCTAGTAATTATAAAATAAGAACAAAGAACCAAATCACAATCAATAGGGCAAATAAAATAGAACAAAGATACAAATTGAATAAAGTTTTTTAGGTTCAGTAGGTACAGTATTTAATGTAGTAAAAAAAATACTACATTGCATAGTCTTTAATTCTATGTTTCCGCCACTGATTCTGAATAAAAAATAAAACCTTTTTTCTCAGAACTATGAGATATGAACTTGCAATTGCGAGTTATAGTCCACAAAGTTTATCTTGCAATTCTGAAATATAAAAACTAGGGCTGTCAAACGATTAATCGTGATTAATCGCATCCAAAATAAAAGTTTGTGTTTACATAATATATGTGTGTGTACTGTGTATAATTATTTTTAATACATAAATACCCACACATGCATGTGTATTTAAGAAATATTTGCATGTATATACTGTATATAGACTGAATGTAGCCTATGTATAATGTATATTTTATATAAATATAAACATTTTATATATAAATAACATATTTTTCTTAAATATATACATGTGTGCATTTATATACAAAATAATTATACACAGTACACACACATATATTATGTAAACACAAACTTTTATTTTTGATGCGATTAATCGTGATTCATCGTTTGACAGCCCTAATAAAAACAAAATTTATATCTCAGAAACTCGCAATTGTGAGGAGAAAAAAAAAAACAGTAAAAATTGTGATATAAAAAGTCAAAATTACCTTTTATATTCTTTTAGGCAGTGGTGGAAATAAGCTACCATACCTAATGGACAGATCTAATACACTGACACATTCAGTTTTCACCCAACGGTTTAGGTTCACTTAAGACAAAACCGGCTGCGTTTACATGAATACTCCACACAATGGACAATTGTGCTTCTAGTGTTAGTCAATCAGTGCAAGTACCGCATTGAGGGGTTTTTTTTTACAGCGTTTTGCACATAACTCTTTTTTTCATGCACATCCTGCTCTTTATTTTCTAATTCATGCATGTTTCTTTATCACACTGAAGTGCCAATAACTTAATGTAGTACTGTGCAATGCAGATATATTTACATACCGTGATTAAATTATATAGCAAAATTTCTAACTAAAGACACTTTTTACTGTTGCCATGATGTATATTGTCGTATTACCCAGCCCTAGTCTCAACTGTGCTGCTTCTCACACAAGCACTATTGTGCACAATACATAATCTCATACTGTATGTCAGTATATTTTCTCACAGTCTTTATATTCTCTGTGTGTGTGTGTGTGTGTGTGTGTGTGTGTGTTTGATAGCACTCACCAGGTCATGAGGGTAAAAACGAACTGAGGTAGAACTGGAGAGGTGAGAGTCTGTTTCCCTGCAGAGAGAGAAAGACTGTTAGTTGTTGGATATTCAACAAGGGATTCTGGGTTCTGGTTGTACGTGTGCTGTAACTCACCAGAGGTTGTTGGAGGCTCGTCTGGTTGCAGGTTCAAAGTTCACCAGGGACATGTCACATCCTCCGACCTCATAGAGAGGCGGGGTCAGCTTCCCTGAGTCACACAAACACACAGGGGGTTAGGGGTCACATAACAGACATCGCAGGGTCACATGAACGTGGAGCCTCAATCTGGCAAGACCGACGCCAACAAAATGAAATCACTCCCATTATAATCAGGAAAGCAGTCTATACTGGAAATGCTCTTTTTAATTCATTTCCTGTGTAAAGGTTTTAGTTGCACAGTGGTCTTTATTTTGCCTGTCTATCTACTATGCAACAATTTAATTTGTATATTATATGTGATAATTGTTTGCTATAAAGTTTATTTGTTATACATTTAAATAACTTACCGTTCACAAGTTTGGGGTCGGTAAGCATTTTTTGATGAATAGAAAATTCAAAAGAACAGAAATCTCCTGTACCATTATAAATGTCTTTACTGTCACTTTTGATCAATTTAATGCACCCTTGCTGAATCGAACTCGGGCACCGGAGGCCCAGTTGCACTATAAGTCGGGACGCTGCACACAAGGCTATTGGCTCCGAAGTTCTTTGAGTGTTAAAATGTTCTTAAAACTAGGAGTATGACATTTCAGTTGAAAAGGGGTAGACGAGAACCACTGAAAATGCGACACAATAGCATAAGAAATTCTTAAAGGGTTAGTTCACCCAAAAATGAAAATTCTGTCAGTAATTACTCACCCTCATGTTGTTCCAACCCCTTAAGACTTTCGTTCATCTTCGGAACACAAATTAAGATATTTTTGATTAAATCTGAGAGCTGGATCACTCCTCCATAGGCTTCTTAAGGGATTGAAACTGGCCGGCCCAAAAGTTATGAAAGACATTGTTAAAATAGTCCGAGTGACTACAGTGGCTCAATCTTAAGTTTATCAAGCGACGAGAATACTTTTTGTGCGCAAAAAACAAACAAAAACAACGACTTTATTCAACTATTCATTTCCTTCTCTGTGGGCCGTGAGATTTCACGTAGTGATATTGCGCAAAGCTTCTGTGTTGTACGTCACACGTAGGCTCACTATTGGCCGACGCTGGTCATGTGTGTGATGCGTATGACGTACAACCAGGTAGCTTTGTGTAGTTTCACTACGTGAAATCTCGAGGCCAACAGAGAAGGAAAGTTCCCCCAGTTTCGATCCCTAGAAGCCTATGGAGGAGTGATCCAGCTCTCAGATTTAATCAAAATATCTTAATTTGTGTTCCGAAGATGAACGAAAGTCTTACGGGGTTGGAACAACAAGGGTGAGTAATTACTTACAGAATTTTCATTTTTGGGTGAACTAACCCTTTAATATAATATGAATTCTGAATATGAAAAATGGCAAAAAATAAAATTCTAGAGAAAATTAACACACACAAAAAACTCTTGACAGCCTGTAACAACAGTAATTTTGTTATAATTGTTTCATTTCAAGTGATCCAATCACCAGTAGACAGCACTAAATACAGGTGTTAAGGGGGTCCAGTGTTGAGACCAATAAAACGTAAGCCCATAAATACATGCACATGAGTACATGGAACGTCTTCAGTTAGATTAATACCAACGCTAATACCAGGCGTAAACAAGACAAAGAATCCTTTTTCTATCCTTCCTGATTGTATGAGCCTTTTAAGCTGATAAAAACCCACTATACAGACAAATTTTATCGTTTGTCTATTCAAAAACAAGAGATATTTATAGATATATAGATGCACTATTGATCCCGAGAGGGAAATAAGCCAGCATGTTCCCTGACCGGAAGCAAACCTTAACCACAGCAGTGAGAGCGCTGCATCAATACCTCTAGACCCCCAGGGAAGAGTTTGACTGACCAAAGAAAGTCCATGCCACGCAAACATGCATACGAAATGTGAAGTAAAGTCATGATGTTAGCCGTATAATCAGTGTGATCCCAAACATCCTAATGTTTACAAAAAATAAAATCCCACATACACATGCAGAAAAATCTGTAAACTGATAGAGATACATAAAGATTAACTCTCACAGCCAATAAAACCTGTCAATCTGACAAAAACCTGCTACAGATGCACATTGGCTGAATATTGATTCCAGAAAATGGCATGCAAATGGAATTAACAGACATGATAAGAAACAGCATGCAGATCTGACAAATAGTACTTGGTGTGACAGACAGCATGCAAGTGTGAGACACACGGGATGCAAATTTAACAGGCAGGTGTGACGGATGACAAGATGATGTGACAGACAGCAGGCAATTTTACGGTGCATACCAAAGTCATCCTGCAGACTGGTCACGCCCACAGTGGACGCCTTATCCGGACAGCCCTCCAGCTGCGCACTTCCATTCCTGACCAGCAGGGAAGCGCTAGTGCTCAATACCGTCACCTGAGACGGCGTGCGGGATGGCTGACCTCTGACCTGTGACCCTGAAGCTTGAGATACCTGACTCAGAGCCTCCTGCAGACTGGAGGAGTAGAAATATGCATGATTCGTGATGAGTAAGAGACTGCGCATGTGTGACACAAGGATGGACATTTTTTGGTCACTTTGTGCACTCGACAAAGTCAACCGAGTACTCAGGGAGAACCTGAGTTCATTGCGGTTGACGATGTTGCACACTGTTCTTTCAGTGCATCGTGTCCTCCAGTGTTGTTATTGTTAACTACTCATAGTTAACTAAAACTATTAAAGTGTTTTTTGGTGATTGAAAAAGCTGAAATAAATGTAAAAAATAAATATTCAATAAAATAAACTTAAACGTGTCAATTGTGTCAACTTCCCAAAATGAGTCAATGAATGTTTTGGAAGGTGAAAAAAGTGTTAGTCATTTGAATATGCAAGTCCCTAGAGTGAGAGTAAGTGTGTGCGTTTTTGTGTATTAAAAAGATAAGGGAGACAAAAACAGAACAAGATGCTGGAAGAAAGTGCAAGGTCACATTTATAGAGAAAAACAGGCAGATGGTAGTGAGAGACAGTAAAATGAGGGCTCTGGAGGTGTTATGGGAGCTGACAGGAAGTGTAAAATGAGAGGAGTGCTAAACGGGAAGAGAGGAGGATGAGTATTCCGATTTCACCAGCAGAAAAAGAAAGAGAGATTTTGAGGTTCGTGCGTGTGTGTGTATGCGAAAGCAGAACATTAGTACTAGGTAAAAACAGAGAGAGAGGGGAAATAGAAACCTTTGTTCACACTGCACAAAAATCCAATTTGTTTTTTTTTATCTAATTATTAGAGATGACTACAGAGAAGTCTATATTTTGAAAATGACAAAATCATATACGTTTATTTGTTGTTGATTAGTTGAACATTCACTGATGCAATATCTACATTGGCTGCCACAAAAGCCCCAGCAAAACAAGTGGCATAAGAGAGTTGCTGACTGTCATTTTGGAAAGAGATGACGGAAAATTGGAAAACTGCTGAACTCATCAGTGCGTCATAAGCATTAGAGGCATCACTGTGTTTAACCCTCTGGGGACCAGAGTGTTTTTGGGGCCCTTTGGATGTTTTGACATGCTCTGACATTTGTGCTTTTTTCAGTTGCTTATAAACATATTAATGGCACAGGTGAAATTAAACTCTATTTAGCACAAACAGGTCTACCATAATGTGTGAGCAACATGTATGTACATGTTTGTATTTTTGAGAGAATATTGTTTATGCGTGGTTATTGAAAAAACTAAAAAATAAAGTTTTTGAAATAAGGACACAAAAAACATACTAAATATGAGTCCACAAGACTTTTGACTAATGTACGTTGTTGCCTAGAGTTTTTGCTTCAAAATGATCTGAAAATCATCCTTCCTAATCATTCACATAAAACAATAGATTGTTTTAAATTGTGAAAAACATTTTTTTGTTTGCCAAGGCAATATGCGGATGGGCGGAACGGCCCAACCCCTATCATGAATAATTAAGTGGTTCTCAGACAGTGACCCTGCATAATAATGAGCCTTTCATTCAGGGGTGTCACACAAGAAAGAATGTAAGGACAATATATATATATATATATATATATATATATATATATATATATATATATATATATATATATATATATATATTGTCATTGCATTCTTTCTTGTATATATATATATAGCCTACATGTATATATATATATATATATATTTTGTCATTGCATTCTTTCTTGTATATATATATATAACCTACATGTGTATATATATATATATATATATATATATATACACACACACACACACACACAAACACACACATATATATATATATATATACAAACAATCAAAATATAAATGAAAGCCAAAAGCACATTTTTAGTCATACCTGGAAACAAATCCTGGTCAAATGCTATATGGGCCATTCTACAGAATTGGTTCAAAGTTACAGTTGGAAACATCTTGAAAAGAAAATAGTCTTTTCCCATAAATGTCTTATAAAGTATTATTTTTTAAAGTAGACCAATACAATAAAAATAAACCAGTCGCATTTCAAAGTCGCTCGCGAAATGAGCGCCAGGTGGCGCAAAGGGACATTTATCAAAACGTAAGTGGGGCTAATGTCAATTAACAACAGTTAGGATGAAATTCTACAAGTTATGGTAATTTACAAATAAGCCTACAACAAACATTTATTTTTAAACAAATATTTTTAAATATGCAACATGCACGTTTAAACAACAAACAATACAATCTGAACCAGCGCTCCTGTATTGAGACATGCAGCGCGTTTCAGTTACGATCCTGGTTCCAGTGGCCTTAATACATTCACGGCTTTTTAAAATGTCACAAAGCGTTTTGAGATGGTTTTGAATGAAATATTGAAGTTTATAATTAGGGTATTTTGGCACACCACGCCGAGTGGCTATGCATTATTCTAAAATCTGGCTTTATTCTGGCATGTTGAATTAGAGTTTGACAAACGCGGCGGCGCGTTCATTTGGATTTATTTTTCTCATAACAGCTAAAAGAACTTACTGCGTAATTGTTGGTCATACAGATAAGATATCATCTTTTAAAACTGTAAAAGGTCTACTTTTATTCATGTAGGCTAAAGTAGGCCTACACTCACACAGGCTAACGACAAAACGTTTTCTCGCTCATGTGAGAAACAAACGTTTGGGCATTTCTCAGTGAGGAAATTAATAGCCGAGCGGTAGAACTTACGGTTCATCATCAAGATGACACGGGTTCAAATCCCGATCAAACATGGTCTACTGCAAATTTTATATTTATTAATGCAGAGAGATTTGTCTAGCTCTAAAACTCTGTTACGCCATACAGTTTTTTGGTTATATTTATAAAATAAAATTACCATGCATTTCCATTTTACACTAGGAACAATAGTATCGAACACAACGACGTTGCATCTGTACCAATCGTACGAGGCTACCAATCGTAATTTCAAAAGCAGTTCTGTAAAAAAAGTAATTTTACATATATAGCCTATATATATATATTTTTTTTTATTAGGCCTATTATTATCATTATTATTTTGATTCCCTACAACCTAGAGTTTTTAAAAACATGGTTTTAAGTAAAGTGTGATTTGCCAGGGGGGACGGGGATTTCCTTCTGGTCTAAACATCCCTGCTTCTGCTGAATTATTTGAATCCCCACACCCCTCCCTCCACAGTAATCAATGCTATAGGCTACTTCACCAATAGACCATATCAAATATAAAATAGAGATATGCAACAAGCACGTTTAAACAACGACAAACAATAAAATCAAAACCAGCGTTTCAGTTGTTCATTAGTTCAAGTGGCCTTAATGCATGCACGGCTTTTCAAAATTTTACAAAGCGTGTTGAGATTATTTTGAATGAAATATTGAAGTTTATAATTAAGTGTTTTGGCAGACCACGCCGAGTGGCCCTATGCATTTTTCTAAAGTCGGGTTTTATTCGAACTTTTGCTAACGACAAAAACAGTTTATCTATCGTCTCTGTCTCCGGGAACTGCGCGTCACAAAAATGAACCGAAGCCACTTCAGCTCAGTCACTATAAGAAATCGGCTCTGTCTAAAGCCTTTAAATGTCTAAATATTCTGGCTAATAAATGTTATCTGATTATGTAATCCATATGAAAACGAGAGGTACAGAGGATGTACTCAAACATGTAGCCTGTAAGCGCTTCCCAATGAGAAAATGACAAGGGTGAAAATCTCGCTCTAATTAAATGTAGCAGGCTAAATCGCCCTGAATTAAAATGTAAAAACAGATCAAATAATGTATTTGTCGAAATGTTGCGATATTGTTTCATTTAAGTTCATAATTATTCAATACATGTTATTTAATTTAGCAGCATTACCACAAAGCACCGTGGTTCGATATTTATTTGAATAAAAAAATAAAAAATAAAAAACTTAATTCACAAATTGCATGCCTGGTTGAAAGGATCCAAAGATCCATGTAGACTTTAATATTGAGTTGAACATTTTGTTCATGAAAACAAATTAACATGCGTTTTTTTCAGATTATATTTAGTTTTGCTTGGAAAAAGCTGGCCCAAACCAGTTTTATTTCATCAATTACTGAAATAATGAAATATTTAGTAATAAACTTTTATGATAGAAATATCACTAGGCTACATGTAACTAAATCATTTAATTCCTTCATTATCAACACTGTCTAGAATAGCGATTTAAGTGTGAATTGCGACTTCTCTTTGTGTTAAGTCAGCCTCAGACTCCGATAGCCTGTGGGGGGTTGGAGGGACAGTTCAGTGCTGTATCGAGCGCGCAGGACAATAGGCATAGGTGTTAATGTTCCTCTTTCATATGGAGAGCGAGGGAGACTAAATAAACTTGTTAAAAAGAGATTCAGCGCGAGAGAGGCAAAGAAAAACGCATGTTTTAATTTAATTATGTTGCTTTGGACAATTTTCGTTTTGTAGGCCTACTGTTTTAATTGTTTAATATAGCTGTCATTTCTTTGGCAATACAAATTTAAAATGTCGCAAGAATAAGATTAGCCTAGTGTTTCTTATTTTGCATCGCAAAAGAAATAAACTCTAAACCCGATGCAACCCTGTTTTAAATTAAAAAAACTGTCCCGACACTTTATTTAAACCTTGAAATGTTCGAACTTGGTTTCAAACTTAAGTAATTTTAGTGTTCTTTTACATTACACAATAATTTAGCAGACTAAAGACGAGCTTCTTCATTTTCATTTTCTGATGCAATCGGCTGACAATCTTCCTTCATCAGTTTTTGTCGTTTGTGCAGCGGCTGCGGTTCTACAGGAATGTAGCAAATTTATGTTGTAATAATAATTAAACAAAACTCTTGACTTTAAATAAGTAAACAGTTATAAACAGTTAGCTATTTAAGCATCAAGAAGGTTAAATAAAAACGCTGTTGGCCAACATCAGTTAACAACATGTATGCTACATTGAGATTCGATCTCGAGTCGATTGAAGCTCCTCGAAGCGTGTGTTGTTGCGTTAACCACTGAGCTATCGTCTGTACGTCTGTAAATGTTTTTATTGCAATGTTTTACTTTTTCATTATTTATTCAATTTCATTTCAGTAGCCTAATTTCAGTATTGTGATTATGAATTATTTTAACTATACGTTTCACTTGTTGAATTCATCTGCTACCAGCTTTCAATCGCTCTGAATCAGTGCGGTGCGGCAGCAGATTACGCATTAGAGAGAATAAACAAACACTTTTCAGAGTCTATGATTGTAGCGCCTCTTGGCGGTAAAAGGCAGAAAATACACCCCAAATTTTACCGCCGCGGTGGAACGGCTGATGTGGGCATTGTCATGGCTTGCCTCAACATTTGCGTTTGAATAGCGCGCGTCCTCCGTGGGCGTGTCAGATTAACGCGTAATGAAGTGTAATGAGCTGGGGAAAAAAAATCTGACAGCACTCTCTTTTCGTACAGATTACATAAACTGAGAATATTTGTTTTTTATATAAATTACATCATTGAAAAGAAGAGAATTCAAGCTTCATAAAGAAAAATCTCTCGTGCCTGTATGACAAGTATTTGCAGAGTTAGAGTTAATTTTTCGGACGTGTTTCAGAATGGACTGCACTGACAGAGAGAAGGCAAAACTCGCATCATGTTTATTTTTCTTTATTTGACAAAAAGCACAAAACTTTGTTTTTATTGTGAGTATACAGAAAAATAATAGACAATTAACAAGATCGATTGATGTATAACACTTATATGTACGATCAAAATCAACAGAGTATTTTAAGTCTATTTTTCTGCTATGTGAAAAAAAAACGGCAAAACGCGCGGGCGCGTTTCTGGTCCCCAGAGGGTTAATACACACTCATGTGGATGATGTGTCTGTAACGCACACTTGCTTGATCATTCACTGTTCAATACTAAATGCCACAGAAAAAGACACTCTACTACGCATTGTGTATGACATCATACATCCTGAAAAATATATATATTTGATATCAGATCTGACCATTTATGACGCTTCTCAAACAAATATTCTGAATTGAACATTCAGACTAAACATTTCTGAAATTCTATTTCAAACAGAATTCAAATTTAGAATTCAAATCACGAACACCATCGTTCAAAAGATTGGGGTCGGTAAGCTGTTCTTGAAAGAAGTCTCTTTCAAAGATCATAAAATACAGTAAAACGTGACATTTTATTACAATTTAAAATAACTGTTTTATATTTGAAAATGTAATTTATTCCTGTGATGGTTAAGTTGAATTTTCAGCATCATTGCTCCAGTCTTCAGAGTCAGTTGATCAATTTAAAGGGATAGTTCAGCCAAAAATGATCATTTACTCAAGTATTTCCAAACCTGTATGAATTTCTTTCTTCTGCTGAACACAAAAGAAAATATTTTGAAGAATATGGGTAAAAAAAATCAGTCAATGGGGTCCATCAACTGTCTGGTTACCAACATTCTTCAAAATATCTTCTTACATTTTTTGGGTGAACTATTAAAAATCTTACTGACGCTGAACTTTTAAATGGCTGAGTGTGAATGGATGAGGTTTGGATTAAGTTTGTACAAGTAAAACCCCACATGGTTTTTGCTCTCATCATGATCCTTCAAGAGAGACAGACATGCTCCAGGCCTGACGATGAGACAAAGCACTCAAACACTCTCTCTCCATCTGAAGCCATCTATGATGGCAAGGATGGCTGTGTCTGGGGGTTATGGACAGATTTAGCAAGTGAGAGAAGGGCACAGTGACCGTTACTCTCCAGGATACAGTAGTAGAGACTTCAGAAGCAGCATGTGTATGTGCGTGTGACAGTGGGGGTGAAGTTAGACAACTTCACGTGGTTACGTGGTAACGTGGTTTATCAGAACAGGGTAACATAAATCCCCAAAAGGCCCAAAAAAATAGACACTGGGAAAAAAATAAACAGAACTCATGCAAGAACAAAAATAAGACATGAAGTGTATGGAAAAGGCAACATGCAAGAACGTTGGCTTCCGGTACCAGCACATTGGTACTCTGAGGATGGGTTAAAGGTCTGTAAAGTAGTAAGAAGAGGGAAGCAAGCAAACTCAGCATTAAATTTCATGCAGTGCCCAAGAGAAGCGTGGAAATGACAGTTAAAGTAAGTAAACGAGGAAGGAGAATAATGACGTGGACATCAGAACAGGTGATTCAAAGCTGTTGTTCTGCAACTGGCCGATCAGTCCCCGGCAAATCGTACCTGAGCGGGGATCCGATGAGAGAGGCGGGGGGTGTGGAGTTACTTCCTGCGTTGTGCCGTCTACGCACTGCTTGCCGACGAAACGTACTACGCTCTCGGCGAAATGTGACTGTGTCGTCGTTCCCTGGCGCTGCCGATAAAGAGAAAGGCAGGAGGAAGTCCATCAATAGGGTATTCACCAAAAATAAGCTTTCATTGAACTAGCAGCATGCAATGCTGCATACAAGCACAAGCTGCACTCTTGGAGGACAAGTGTAGACATAAGCATCATCAAACACACCAATGCAAATATAAAGAGCCTGATGCTTACCCATGTCATATTTAATGCAAAACAAATGGAGTTAGCCCTAAGGAGTTTATTTATAAAATAGTATGTGACATATATATTTTATTTCTTTGACGGGGCAGTGTACATTTTGTGTGTGTGTGTGTGTGTGTGTGTATGTGTGTGTGTATGTGTATATATATCAGAGGTATTTAAAAATAAGGAGGCAAAGTCCTCACAATTTTTTATATACTGTAGCCCTAGCCTATATCAAATGTAAATGTATGTCTGTTACACTTTATTTTCCTGTTTAAATAAACATTACACAAAAAAGAGAGACCGAATACAATTCTATTTGATATTTTTGGCAATAACTATGTAAATTTCAATTTATTAAAACCAAGTATTAATTTCATGAAGTTAGTGTCTTTACGCATTTTAACATTTATTCCAATAATAACTAAAGGCAGTAACAATTTAAACAATGTATATTATTTGTGAACTAATGTTCAGCTGTTCTTTTAATTTTTATTTTCAGGATTCATCAAGCTTGTACACACTGGTCACAGACACAAAGATGTACCTTTAATTTCACCAAAAGCTGATTGCTCACTAAAATCCCCCATAGTCATCATGTTTTCAGCCCATTTCAAGTTTGATTTTGACGCGGTGAAATGGCCGAGTTGTTTACTTACTTTTTAATTAATCTTCCCATTAACAGCCTCATTATCTTCATTCAGGCAGATGAGAACGCGCACAAAAGGTGGGATTTATCACACGAACCAATCATATCCAATCATAGCGCGATGGAGGATATTTGCCTCCTCTCATGTGACTTTCCCCCATTCATTCTCGATTTACCCACCACCCATATATATATATATATATATATATATATATATATATATATATATATACACACACACAATGTACACTGCCCGGCCAAAAAAAATAATTTTCACACATGAATTGGCACCTTAAATTCATGTGCTGGAGGAGACTTAACAGAGTGATTGACTCTTGCAGTGTCAATACAAGGTCTTGATTAAAAATCTATGCACCTCTTGATGGAAATAAATGCTGTGATGTTTTCAAAGTTTTGCCGAACTTGCAGTCAAAAAAGGCAATATTGGAAGAAACATCTTTAGAAACCGGAATACAAATGTGATTATAAGAAGAATAATTAAAATTCAAGGTAATGTGTTTGCAACCAAACTACCAGTGAAAAACAACTAAAACTGCTTCGTCATTTTTCTGCATTCAGATGGTTAATCACATTGCCTTTGTAACATTATAAACCATCTTTGCGAGCAGTTCTTCTAAACATGGACTTAAATTGCAGCACTCCCACTGCTGATGAACTTTGACCTGATCTGATGATTCATCACTGAAAGAAAAACTTTATTACTACAATAAAACAGTCTAAACAATCTCACGCAGGATCAGAAGGGCTATAAACAGAGGCAGAATGGTTTTCTCTAGAACAATACTTTTTCTATGTTCAGACCAGCTAATTTGTGAGTAATAAGGCTACAGAGAAGACAACAGAAGCATGACCAAGAAGAACATTAGACAATGTTCCATCAACCATGATCCAGTTACTGTTACAAATAAACAAAGCGCATCAGAAACACACAGCTAAAATTTCAAATCGGCAAAGCACTAGTGCAAACACAGGAGAAAAGATATCATATACACAACACAGACATCTAAACATCGCACACACCTCAATATATTACACTTGTACTTCCAAACACGAAAACACAGCATCTGATCACAAGTGGTCAGCAGTAGATAAAGGTGTAAACAGGGGCCATTACGTTTTAGAATCACTGAATCACCATTGATATCGCAATTCATTCTCACACAAGCAAAAGGTGCACAACGACTGAATGGTCACTGTAGACCAGAGGAGAGAATAAACCCTGCAGATCTCCCAGATATAGATTCAACAGGCTGTCAGAGTAACACATCAGTAATTCTGCAGGGGTTTGTGGGTCACAGCTGCACTGGCAAAACACACTGCATTAGCATCTACTAGCTTCTGGGCAAAATTTGTTATCTGATTGGCTACATTCTGCTGAAAAACATCCATCTGAGCTCTAACCTGCTGCAGACCTCAGATGTTTAGCACTTCAGAGTCAGACTGATCTCAGAATCACTACTTAAAGAAACAGTTCGCACAAAAATGAAAATTCATCATTTACTCATTTACCCTCATTTCGTTCCAAACTTGTATGATTTCTTTGCATCAAACAACACAAAAGGAAATGTTAGGCAGAATATTCACGCTGTTTTTTTCCAGACAATGAAAGTGAATGGTGACCAGAAGATTTCAAGACAAATAGCTTTGTGTGAAGAACAAACAAACATTTGTCGTTGTTTACTAAAAATTTCATTTATTTTAGTTGAAAACATGCATTTTCAAATTTGGAACATCACAATCAGTTAAAAAACTATTGACCCTCTACATTATTGATGTCAAATCTGCAATGCCACACCGTTCTATTTTAATGCGCTGTTTTCATTGAAGCACACATACACATACATCACTCACACACAGAGATTGGAGTTCGTGCTGCGCACACACAGAAACAGGAGCACAGAAACGTATAAATGTTGTCCCGTGACTTTTAGTAATAAAATAGCTTTGCTAGTGGATCGCTACATTATATTTCCCAGCAACAAGGGGGTCCATCCATCCATCCATCTTCTTCCGCTTATCCGGGGCCGGGTCGCGGAGGTAGCAGTCTAAGCAGAGATGCCCAGACTTCCCTCTCCCTAGACACTTCCTCCAGCTCTTCCGGGGGGACACCGAGGCGTTCCCAGGCCAGCCGGGAGACATAGTCCCTCCAGCGTGTCCTAGGTCTTCCCCGGGGTCTCCTCCCAGTGGGACGTGCCCAGAACACCTTCCCGGGAAGGCGTCCAGGAGGCATCCGGAACAGATGCCCGAGCCACCTCAGCTGACCCCTCTCGATGTGGAGGAGCGGCGGCTCTATACTGAGCTCCTCCCGAGTGACCGAGCTTCTCACCCTATCTCTAATGGTGTGTTCACACCGAACGCGAATTTAATTATTTGCGTGAGTAGATTACATACAAAGTCAATGCAAAGGCGCGAATAGACGCATCATTCGCGCCGGGCGTTGCGAATGACGCGAATTGGGCGACGCGTTTGCCGCGAATGTCTTCCGCGCAAGTTGAAAATTTTGAACTCGAGCGAATGTTCAAGCGTCTAACTAAACGCGATAGACGCGTATTTGACGCTCTATTCGCGTTCGGTGTGAACACACCATAAGGAATCGCCCAGCCACCCTGCGGAGAAAGCTCATTTCGCCCGCCTGTATCCGGGATCTTGTCCTTTCGGTCATGACCCAAAGCTCATGACCATAGGTGAGAGTAGGAACGTAGATTGACCGGTAAATCGAGAGCTTCGCCTTGCGGCTCAGCTCCTTCTTCACCACGACAGACCGGTACATCGACTGCATTACTGCAGAAGCTGCACCGATCCGTCTGTCAATCTCCCGTTCCATCCTTCCCTCACTCGTGAACAAAACCCCAAGATACTTCAACTCCTCCACTTGAGGCAGGAACTCTCCACCAACCTGAAGTGTGTAAGCCACCCTTTTCCGACTGAGGACCATGGCCTCGGATTTGGAGGTGCTGATTCTCATCCCAGCCGCTTTACACTCGGCTGCAAACCGTCCCAGTGCATGCAAAAGGTCCTGGTCTGAAGGGGCCAACACGACAACATCATCCGCAAAGAGCAGAGACGATATTGTGTCGTCCCCAAACCTGACACCCTCCGGCCCCTGGCTGCGCCTAGAAATTCTGTCCATAAAAATTATGAAAAGAACCGGTGACAAAGAGCAACCCTGCCGGAGTCCAACATGCACCGGGAAGAAGTCTGACTTACTGCCGGCAATGCGAACCAAGCTCCTGCTTCGGTCGTACAGGGACCGGACAGCCCTCACCAAAGGACCCCGGACCCCATACTCCCGGAGCACCCTCCACAGGCCGCCACGAGGGACACAGTCGAATGCCTTCTCCAAATCCACAAAGCACATGTGGATTGGTTGGGCAAACTCCCATGAACCCTCCAGCACCCTGTAGAGGATATAGAGCTGGTCCAGTGTTCCACGGCCTGGACGAAAACCACACTGTTCCTCCTGAATCCGAGATTCCAATATTGGCCGTATTCTCCTCTCAAGTACCCTGGCATAGACTTTCCCAGGGAGGCTGAGAAGTGTGATCCCCCTGTAGTTGGAAGTTGGAACACACCCTCCGGTCCCCTTTCTTAAAAAGAGGGACCACCACCCCGGTCTGCCATCCCAGAGGCACTGTCCCCGACCGCCATGCGATGCTGCAGAGGCCTGTCAGCCAAGACAGCCCCACAACATCCAGAGACTTGAGGTACTCAGGGCGGATCTCATTCACCCCCGGGCCTTGCCACCGAGGAGTTTCTTGACTACCTCGTGACTTCAGCTAGGGTGACGGACGAGTCCACCTCTGAGCCCTCAGCCTCTGCTTCCTCAATGGAAGACGTGACGGCGGGATTGAGGAGATCCTCGAAGTATTCCTTCCACCGTCCAACGTCATCCCCCGTTGAGGTCAACAGCTGCCCACCTCCACTGTAAACAGCGTTGGTAGGGCCCTGCTTCCCTCTCCTGAGGCGCCGGACAGTTGTCCACTGTGACTCAATATCTCCAGCCTCCCTCGGGATTCGGTCCAGGCTCTGTCGGAGGTGGGAGTTGAAGACAGGAGACTCGGCCAAACGTTCCCAGCAGACCCTTACAGTACGCTTGGGTCTGCCGAGTCTGTCCAGCTTCCTCCCCCGCCATCGGATCCAACTCACCACCAGGTGGTGATCAGTTGACAGCTCCGCCCCTCTCTTCACCCGAGTGTCCAAGACATACGGCCGCAGGTCAGATGAAACGACCACAAAGTCGATCATCGACCTACGACCTAGGGTGTCCTAGTGCCACGTGCATGCATGCTTGAACATGGTGTTCGTTATGGACAAACTGTAACTAGCACAGAAGTCCAATAACAGAACACCGCTCGGGTTCAGGTCAGGGGGGCCATTCCTCCCAATCACGCCCCTCCAGGTGTCACTGTTGTTGCCCACGTGGGCTTTCCAGCACCCCTCCCAGAGACCTCAAGAAGGCCGGGTACTCTGCACTGCCGTTTGGCCCGTAAGGACACACGACAGTGAGAGACCTATCCCCGACCTGTAGGCGCAGGGAAACGACCCTCTCGTTCACCGGGGTAAACTCCAAAACATGGCGGCTGAGCTGGGGGGCTATAGGCAAACCCACACCAGCCCGCCGCCTCTCACCATGGGCAACTCCAGAGTGGTGAAGAGTCCATCCTCTCTCAAGGAATGTGGTTACAGAGCCGAAGCCGTGCGTAGAGGTGATCCCGACTATCTCTAGTCGGAACCTCTTAACCTCACGCACAATCTCAGGCTCCTTCCCCGCCAGCGAGGTGACGTTCCACGTCCCTAGAGCTAGTTTTCATATCCAGGGATCGGGTTGTCGAGGCCCCCGCCTTTGACTGCCGCCCGATCCTCTCAGCACCGGCTTCTTACGGTTCATCCTGTAGGTGGTGAGCCCACGGGAAGGCGGCCCCACGTCGCTCCTTCGGGCTGAGCCCGGCCAGACCCCGTGGGGGGAGGCCCGGCCACCAGGCGCTTGCATACGAGCCCCAACCCCGGGCCTGGCTCCAGGGTGGGGCCCCGGCTGCGCCATACCGGGCGACGTCACGGTCCTCGATTTTATTGTACTCATAAGGGTTTTTTGAACCGCTCTTAGTCTGACCCGTCGCCTAGGACCTGTTTGCCTTGGGAGATCCTACCAGGGGCATATAGCCCCGGACAACATAGCTCCTAGGGTCGTTCGGGTACTCAAACCCCTCCACCACGTTAAGGTAGCAGTTCAAGGAGAGGCAACAAGGGGGTTACATTGCTATTTTGAAGTAATTAAACTGACAGCTTTGTTGTTAATAGAGACGCTGAACAGACACAGGTACGCATATCTGATTTCATCTCATCTCTCTCTCTCTCTCTCTCTCTCTCTCTCTCTATCTAATTAATTAAATTAAATACAATTCATTCATTCAAATAAATGTAATCTTACCACACTACTTTATTTCTGCATCTGATTCAAGGTGGATAGAATGATAGATCTAACAAGCCTTAACTGACGAAAATAACTGTCCATTTTACTCTTCCGTTCAAATATTGAGCTGTAAACAAGTTGTCAATGCTGGGAAATTGCAATGGTATAAGCGGGATAATCCACGGCGAGTGCATTAAACGATTTTAATGCACTTCGCAGAGGCAGAGGTTCTTTGCCTCCACGTTGTGCATTAAAAAATGTAATGCACAGCTAGCAGTAGATTATCCCTTACATATGCAAACATAAATTAGATTTGAAAGTAAATAACTTAAAGTTGGCATGAAATGAAAGTTCACACTATTTACTAAATGCACCTTTTTGATCTTACTGTGGACGATGAATTTTTTACCTTGTAATTTTTTTTTTTTTTTTACTTGATCTATTCAGTAATAGGACCGACTTTCTCTGGTGATGTATGCCGAACTTCTCCAATCGTTCAGTCCCCTTAAACTCCGCCCCTTTCTTACAATCAACTGCAAGCTCGCATTCAGATCATCCTCCATCCAATTAACAACCACTAATAGAACAAACAAAGCCACCTATTTTTTTATTTTTCAATAATCTGTTTCACTTGGATGTACGTCATAATATGAAAGAAAAGATCTGTCACTACTTCTGCTACATTGCGTTCCAGACACAAAGCTTATGGCCCATATGGCTTGGGTTTATTATATTGCTTTTTACCATTTTTGGACCTTGATAGCCCCAGGTCAGTATTCACTTTCATTATATGGAAAAGAGCAGTGTGGAAATCCTGGTAAACTTCTCATTTTGCAGTTCATGGAAGAAAGTCATGAGGATTTGGAACAACATGACGGTGAGTAAATGATGACAGAATTTTCATTTTTAGTAAGTGCATGTGCAATATCACATTACTGTGTGCTCACCCCGTGATCCTGTTGTTGCGTCTTGTGTGTGACTGAGGGAGATGGGGCAGGGCAGGCTGTTTCTTGAACGGGTCACTGACTCAAGCTGAGAGGCCCTTCCCAGCAGGGATGCCGCATCCAACACCTCCCCCTCTTTTGCCTCCAGGTCCGACTTGGAAGTGGTAAGGGGTCTAGAACTTGCTGGTGCCCCCAAATGATGGGGGTCATTAAGGCAAGCAGTAGTGCTGCTGTCCAGGCTCAAGACCCGAGCATGAGTTTTGGCGCTGCCTGTACTCGGTGTGCGTCGCGTAGCTCTGCGTTTGCCCTTCTCCTTGTCCTTTATTCGTTCCTTTTCCTTATCTCTCTGACTGTGAGTTTGCACACCGTGCATTTTGGCCAGTAGCGAGGGTCCGCGGCGATCCTCGGGAGAGGGGCAGGAGTGGGGTGTGCTGGATGAGGAGTCTGTGCTGAGCTGGTGGGTGGAGTGTAGGCTGGAGGCACAACTAAGTTCGCTCTGATCACTGGAGTCTTCCTCTCCTTTCATGAACACTGCCGACCGAGGCTTTGCCATGCCACGTCCACAAATGTATTCCCGGTGCCTGCTGGCGTCAAAACTACTTGCACGCTGCTTACCGCTCCGTCGCCGACCACTCCGGGTGGCGGCAGACGAGGAGGCAGCCCGGTGAACAAGATTGGCTGTTTTGGATCGCACTTTGTCTGGTTCCCCCTCCTGGTGCTGGTGGGAAAGACCAGCAGAGACATCTACGCTAGTCCTTGACACCATCTCCACAGTCCCCTCCCCCTGTTGACCCTCTGAGTTTGCAGGTTTGGGAGTATCACCGGTGGGCAATTTGGTGGCAAGTTCGTTGGCATGGGGGTTTTTATTAGCCTCCCCCGAGGCAACATTAGAGTTACGCGGGTCGGCAAGTCCCGCATTTACCTTCTCATCCCCAGACAGCGATAGCAGGCTTTCTACGTGCGTGGAGCTGGTCTGCTCACTGTGCAGGCTGCTCAGTGTGCTGTTGGTATCCCGGTCTGTGCCACTGCAGTAGCTCTCAGTGGAGCCGCTGCTACGTGTGCTTAAACTCCGCAAACTTTCGGCACTGCGTCCACCTGTTCTTTCCCGACCCCCCTGAACACCCTCTGACTGGTACAGCCCAGATCCCCCTTCCCCAGCACACTCTCCTTCCCCTGCCTCTCGGGAGACAGACCGTGATATCCTGCGGCACTCCTTCGGATGATATCTGTGGAATTCGGTTACTGAAGTGCTGGGAGTTCCAGAGTCTGGCTGCTCGGAGCTCTCCGTCGCCCTCTGTGACCTGGAGGCCTCCATTTCACAGACAGGATCCAGTCCTCCCCGGCGGGGTGGAGGGTACAGGCTGAACTCGGGCAGAGAAGGATCTGGAAAAGCAGATCCTGCAGAACTTGAGGTGCGAGGCAATCCGCGAGGTCGAGATGACTCTTTGCGGAATGACTGTGAGTGGGTGGAAAGATGGGCAGTAATTTCTGTGTCACAAGAGGACAGAGACTGACTGAAAGGGTGGGGGGTGGAGCCATAAAGGTCCTGAGCCAATGAGGTTGAAGGCTGCATGGAGGCAAAAGAGTCATTGGAGACAAGGCAGAACATCTTTGGATCCGACATCAAATCTAGAGGGAAAAAGAAATATTACAGAGTGTGTGAAAATTATTTACACAGACTTGGGAGTCAAAACTTACCCTATTTTTAATGGACAATCCTGGTCTTACTGCGAACGATTTATCAGTGCATGCTATGTTATCAAAATGCAATGACTTGCTTGCTTAGCAGTTGTTACATTTATGCTAAATATTGCAGTTTGGACGCTTTTATTGTGAATAGATGTCTGGGATAACAAACGTTTATTAAATTTACACGGTATCTGTACACTCGCTACATATACAACCCAAAGTGAAGGTGTTGTAGTGCTGCTGCAATGTTTATGCACCGTTAGGCAGTGCGGGCCATATAACAAAGTTAATAAATAGCCAAATAGCCACTTTTCAATCATTAAATCAATGATGAACCAGTATTGTAGTCCAAAATTTAAAAACAAGCCCTGAGACCCTCCATTTTGTTTAAAAGCTAAAGGAAATCAGGGTCAAGTCAAAATGTAAATATCGACATCCCTAATAAACACACTGTTTCCTGAGTGCTGATGCAGTGTTAATAACTGATACAGTCATTAAACTCATTTATTACTCCATTCTGCACACTATCCAAAAACCACAGTCCATAAGGTCTTTTGCTTATGTGCTTTAGAAAGTCTGAGCCCAGTGTGCAGTGCTGATGTTAACTTTCTGTGTCATCTCATTATTCACAAAAAGCTTTTGTACTCATCACAAACTTTTGGTTTTCGAGAGACACAGACAACCAGGTTTTTTATTACAGGTTTTCAACTTTCACGAAACACTTTAAAGTTGAATAAAACCGCAGTCAATAAAAAGAACAGCCTAACCAACCAATTCTCCCTTCTGCTGAAGACATAAACACGCTTCATTGCATGTGTGACTAAAATAAAAATAAAATGCAGAATAAAATAAAATGCACATTATCATTGCCATTAGAGTGTAAACAGAAAAACTGATTTCTGATGGTGATATCGTTAAAGTCTATCCGTTCATAAGCACCGTTATGATATACAGGTCCTTCTCAAAAAATTAGCATATTGTGATAAAGTTCATTATTTTCCATAATGTAATGATAAAAAATAAACTTTCATATATTTTAGATTCATTGCACACCAACTGAAATATTTCAGGTCTTTTATTGTTTTAATACTGATGATTTTGGCATACAGCTCATGAAAACCCAAAATTCCTATCTCAAAAAATTAGCATATTTCATCCGACCAATAAAAGAAGTGTTTTTAATACAAAAAAAAAAGTCAACCTTCAAATAATTATGTTCAGTTATGCACTCAATAATCTATACTTGGTCGGGAATCCTTTTGCAGAAATGACTGCTTCAATGCGGCGTGGCATGGAGGCAATCAGCCTGTGGCACTGCTGAGGTGTTATGGAGGCCCAGGATGCTTCGATAGCGGCCTTAAGCTCATCCAGAGTGTTGGGTCTTGCGTCTCTCAACTTTCTCTTCACAATATCCCACAGATTCTCTATGGGGTTCAGGTCAGGAGAGTTGGCAGGCCAATTGAGCACAGTAATACCATGGTCAGTAAACCATTTACCAGTGGTTTTGGCACTGTGAGCAGGTGCCAGGTCGTGCTGAAAAATGAAATCTTCATCTCCACAAAGCTTTTCAGCAGATGGAAGCATGACGTGCTCCAAAATCTCCTGATAGCTAGCTGCATTGACCCTGCCCTTGATAAAACACAGTGCACCAACACCAGCAGCTGACATGGCACCCCAGACCATCACTGACTGTGGGTACTTGACACTGGACTTCAGGGATTTTGGCATTTCCTTCTCCCCAGTCTTCCTCCAGACTCTGGCACCTTGGTTTCCGAATGACATGCAAAACTGAGCAACAGTCCAGTGCTGCTTCTCTGTAGCCCAGGTCAGGCACTTCTGCCGCTGTTTCTGGTTCAAAAGTGGCTTGACCTGGGGAATGCGGCACCTGTAGCCCATTTCCTGCACACGCCTGTGCACGGTGGCTCTGGATGTTTCTGCTCCAGACTCAGTCCACTGCTTCCGCAGGTCCCCCAAGGTCTGGAATCGGTCCTTCTCCACAATCTTCCTCAGGGTCCGGTCACCTCTTCTCGTTGTGCAGCGTTTTTTGCCACACTTTTTCCTTCCCACAGACTTCCCACTGAGGTGCCTTGATACAGCACTCTGGGAACAACCCATTTGTTCAGAAATTTCTTTCTGTCTTACCCTCTTGCTTGAGGGTGTCAATGATGGCCTTCTGGACAGCAGTCAGGTCAGCAGTCTTACCCATGATTGCGGTTTTGAGTAATGAAACAGGCTGGGAGTTTTTAAAAGCCTCAGGAATCTTTTGCAGGTGTTTAGAGTTAATTAGTTGATTCAGATGATTAGGTTAATAGCTTGTTTAGAGACCCTTTTCATGATATGCTAATTTTTTGAGACAGGAATTTTGGGTTTTCATGAGCTGTATGCCAAAATCATCAGTATTAAAACAATAAAAGACCTGAAATATTTCAGTTGGTGTGCAATGAATCTAAAATATATGAAAGTTTAATTTTTATCATTACATTATGGAAAATAATGAACTTTATCACAATATGCTAATTTTTTGAGAAGGACCTGTACATCAGTATCTGTCTGGATGTTCCATGGAAAAAACAACTTCATACAGATTTGGACTGACATGGTGAGTAAATAATGACAGAATTCTTGAACTATTTCTTAAAGTGAGATCAATAGTGAACTTTTAGAGTTTCTAAAGACTAATTTGCATTGCATTATACTATAGCTGATGTTAATTAAGATTCACACCTTGGTCATGACTGCAACTCTGAGCCAAACTCAAACTAATACCATCGGGAGCCTTTCCAACACCTGCCCCTGCAATCAGACAGAGAGAGACAGAGAAGGTCAAGATTTATAACTTATTCATTAACTTAACGTATCCGCCCTCTCTCTGTGTCTCTCTCTCTCTCCTCTCTTCCTCCTTCTCTCTCACCTTTGCAGCTTTATTCAAACACATCCCTGACGTGGCCCGCAGTACTGCAGGTCTTCTGACATATCACTGCTGTCTGCAGAAAAACTCTTCTCTCTGATCCTGAACAATTCTATTTATAGCTATAGTAAACCTGGTTCACACTACTGTCCTCTGAGTTTTTAACAACTCAAAAAAGTCATACAACTTCTAATGAACACTTGAGAACACCCTGTAATGTTCCTGCTGCTGTCAGTTGGGCTTCCTTGGTCATTCTGGAGGTGTGTGACTGATATTAGGCAAGCAGGTTGCACCAGGTTTTTATGATAAGGTGAATTTCATTTATATATATGTTCCACAAAACAAAGAAAGTCAAACAGGTTTAAATGAAGGCGAGTTTAAGAAAAAATGACATTTTGGGTTGCATTTTTTTTAACTAGATACTAATACTGTAAGAGATTAAAAAAAGGTCTCACGTTTGGTTGTGACTGAGCCTCCATGGGTTATCTGTTGGGAGTGAGAGAGATAAAACAAGCTCTGGTGAGTCATTTACATGAGATCATGATGTCTGTAACTTCCTATCACTGTTACTAATTTAGCAGACATGCACAAAAACATCACAGTCATTTAATCACAACATAACCAATTAGACTTTGTTTCTACTCTATGACTCCACGATTCAACCAACAGATTCTGACCGAACACACACACAGACAGAGAGTCTGGGACAAGCAGTGCTATAAGCCAGAACATAACACCCCTGAGCTTTCACCAATTATACAGCAGCGACAGATTCTGACTGAAGGGTTGCCCTCAAACAGACACAGACTCTAAACCAGGACAACTTCATTTAGCAAAAACTAATAATCGCCTATTTTACCACAAAAGTACTGCAGTATATGCAGAAAGGTAAATAATACAAGGAATTTGTAATATTGAATTTTGTAAACATTTACAATATTTACAAATATATATATATATATATATTATAAATATAATGTATATGAATATAATTAAAAATATAAAAACAGATATCTTTATATTTTATTTTATTATTTTATTTAAAAATAACAATAAATATTATTTATATTTTTACATAAGAATATACATTGTTTGTATTCATTGTTAAAATTATATTACATTTATTATGTTTCAATATACATATTAAAGTATATTATAAATGTTCTCCATGGAAATTGTTTATGTTCTGGAATATAATATTAAAACATTTAAGGTAACTATCGCAGAGGTGTTCATTCTTATTCATAACCACAAAGCAATTATTTCAGACTCATCTTTAACTTATTTTGAAGCAAAGAGTTTTATGTTTACATTACAATTCATGGTAACATCTGTAGTCCTCAGCTGTTAGTAAAAGTGCCCTCCAAAAACATTCTTGGCTGTGGTGGTACTAACAATGTGTAGTGGTAATGAATCTTTGAATCTTAAAAATACAAACAAAAGAAATGCAGGCAAAAAAAGCAAAGCCTCCTTCTGGATCCCATTTCTATGGAACTTTGTGTCCGCCACGGAATAAAAAAGACAGACAGACAAACCTGATGGCTGGAGTCCATTCCTACGTAAGAGTTCCGTGAACTGCAGTCGACCGGTGGCGTCTCCTCCCGTGCAAAATCGGACATCTCTATTCCACCCCCTGGATCCCTGCACACACACACACACACACACACACACACACACACACACACACACACACACACACACACACACACACACACACACAAAGGTTAGTTACCTAGCAACACACTAACAGGAACAGCCCGAGGGTTTGAGAGTTAACGATGTCATTTATGATCAAACTTGCACAGCAGCTCAGGCACCAGCAGAGAGGAGATCATTTCTAGAATCTATCTAATGTCTGCCACCCATTAGGAAGAGATCACCCTCCCTCTCTTCACTTTTTGGGAGATTATAATAATATTTTTAGGAGGTTTATTTTGATTGGCCCCACAGAGAATAAAATGTGGTGGTGAATGGTAATCCCACGGCTAGAGCTCACCTACCAAAGTCTGCCTTTTCCATTATTATTTGCTATTTTTTGGTGCAGCTAGAGGCAGTTTTCAGGAGATACATGAGGGTCTTTGGAAGAATTAAAAACACATGAGCTCTTCAGCTCAGGGGCCTCAAGCAAAAATATCATATATTTTCTTAATAAGTACAGACCTGGACAAACCAGGAATGTCCCTCCAGATGTGCGTTTATAGTACATCCAGTATCGATTTCTCTTTTACATATAAATAGAAATGCAAGAAAATATGCGTGTTCTCAAATGCATGAAAAGTTGTTGATGCCTGTAAAAAACATTGTTAAAAATTCTTTATTCGTGATTTGAGTAATTGTGTTTAATGTGTTCTGACTCTCTGACAGTTTGCGGACTGTTTCCGACTCCTCTGAGCAAACAAACAAGAGCATCAGGTTTGTGTGTGTTGGTTTTTATAAGGCTCTATATCAGTTCTCCTGATTCACTCACTCCTTCCCCTCCTCCCTTTTCTCTCTCTCTCAGTGGGTGATGAATGGATCCAGCATGACAGCAGATTAGCTCTCAGAAACATCCCTACCGCTGAGCAACAGCGCTGTCCCTTAATCAAAACTTTGTTGAGATGAATTAGAACCGTTCTGAGTGGAATCAGGGCCTCCCTGTCGAGATTCGAAATCCTTCTCGAAAAACGTGACATTCAAAAGCTTTTCTTGAGATGAGTCAATACATTTCCTAAACTGAATCAGAACCTTGCCTGAGAAGATTTAACCCCTAAGATGATTTATATCACAACCTTTATTGAGAGAATTCAGAACCTGAAATTATTCAAAACCAAAATCAGAAACTTCTTAAACTAAATCAGACTCGTTTATACAAGCTCAAAATCATTAACTGTGCAGTGACTCTACTTTTTGTAATAGCTTTTGAGTAAACCATAAATGATTCTTACCCAGGCCCGTTTGAGTGTTCTTGCCGGGTGCCGGTGCCCTCACGTTGGTGCTCTGCCCCCTGTACCCGCCCCTCACTCCCTTTGGCCCGCAGCTCCACCACCTCCCCTTCATCCAGCGCGGTGTGCAGGCGATAATTCACAGCCTTCAGCAGCACAAACATACCTGCTATCACCCCACAGTAGATCCCCACAATCACCATGGTGGGGGGCAAGGCCTACAGGGAGAGACACAGCAAGAGATTTTACATGAGTAGAAAATAAGTCATTTTTGTGGCTTTGAGCTCATTTGCAATATCACTCTAAATGCTGGGGTCAGTAAGATTTGTATAAAGAAATAACTACTTTTATTCAGCAAGGATGGATTAATTTGATTGAAAGTGACAGTTTATATTTTTACAAAATATTTCTATTTCTAATAAATGCTGTTCATTTGAACATTCTATTCATCTTGAAAAAGTGTTCAACATTGATGATAATAAGAAATGTTTCTTGAGCACCAAATCAGCACATTAAAATGATTTCTGAAGGATTATGAATAATGGCGGATGAAAATTTAGTTTTCCCATCACAGAAATACATTTTAAATTATATTAAAATAAAACAGTTACTTAAATTTGTAACAATATTTCAGAACATTCCAGTTTTTACTGTACAAAATGCAGCCTTGGTGAGCATTAAAAACTAAAAAATTTATTTAAAATGTAAAAACCTTACCGATCACAACTTCTGAAAGGTTGAGTACAATCCTTAGATCTATTATTGATCTATTGTATTTCCCCATCACTGAATTAATAAAAGAGCCACATCATTTCAAATACTGACATTAAAGCAAACCAAGGCATTAGACGGAGTGATAGGCTCACATATTTCAGCCTATTAACATCCTTCCGTTGCATAAATATCACATACAAATATAGGACTCGGTTATACAGAGTTACAGGGTTATGAAAAGGGGCAACAATATTTCAGTCGCAACCGGAGGGCAGAGGCTAAAAACAGCCTGGCACTGAACGGACATCTAGACTAAACACCTCTCCATATCTGACACACACCCAAACTCATATTCATCCTCAAAAAACAGAGGAGCACATTCAACAGTTGCTTGTTGATTCAGTGATTATTTCAGCACTATTGCAGGACTTTACGTGATATCGTTTGGCTGTGGTTGAAAGGCAATAAATGACTCAAGCTGAACCTAGAGCGATTGCTGGATCTGTCTGTGCAGGAAGTTAAATATGGACTGAGTGGCACCAGCCGCTCAATCACAGATCTAATGCACAGACCTGAGACCTCACCCACAGAACGGGCCTGGCTTTAAAAGTTATACACATGATGCCTATTACAAGTCTCTTTTTATAAATAGAATGCAAACAGGAGTATAATGTTTCACAGAGGGATTTTGTTGTGCCATGAGTCGTTATGATAAAGATGGAATTTGACAGTGTTTTTTTAATGCATTTTCTGTGATGACTCTGGAATCAAATATGGTGAATTTTGCGGAATTGGTTTAAATATGGTCAAATGTGGCAAACAGCTAAGAGTTCTGCACTTTTGTGGCTGAAAGCATAAAAAAATTTGCTGATATATTTAATAAACAAACCCACGATGGGTAGGTGGGAACGGGTTGAATTTTGCGAAGAGTGAAAGTTCAACATTTCTGTGTTCAGTGTTCAGCTCATTCTGGTGATTTAAATTAAAACAGATCAGAACTCACTGTGGCTGTTTTGAGTGTCACAACAAATCACTGATAAATCCTGATTAGATCAAAAGCACAATACTACAAAATACATTACTATTGGCATCTACTATTGACATCTATGGTTCTGTGAAGATGAACCTTTAATATCATTCAAACATTTGGGGTCTGTAATATTTTTTCTGAGAGAAAACATACTTTTATTCAGCAAGGACACATTAAATAGATCAAATGTGACAGTAAAGGCATTTCATTTTTTTGGAATAAATCTCTTCAAACTTCTGTTCATCAAAGAATCATGTGAAAAAAAGTGTATATGGGTCTCCACAAATAAAAACTTAAGCAGCATAACTGTTTTCAACTGATAATAATAAGAAATGTTTCTTGAGCATCAAATCAGCTTATTAGAATGATTTCTGAAGGATCATGTGACACTGAAAACTGGAGTAAAGATGCTGAAAATTCAGCTTAGCATCACAGGAATAAATGGAACCTTTACATTGAACTAAAGGTTATTTGTACTGGTGAAAGGTCTTGAGATTATTAAAATTGTCTTCACATTAAGAAACAAGGGTTCTTTTAAGGACTAACGTTATTCACTGAAAGGTTTTTCTATGGAATCGCTGTGTATGTTGTTTATATAAGAGAAGTTATTTTGATAATCTTTTTCCACTCAATGAAAGTCAAATAGTTTTGTTACCTATCTCCAAAATATAGAAATAAAGTCAAACAGGTTTGAAATGACACGAAGAACTATCCCTTTAAAGCAGAGAAAGACTAAACACGCACCAAATCTCATGACATCAGGTCTAAAATACCCAACTGTCAAAACATGTCGTCAAAACCAAAACAAAGACTCTTTAAGCCAGAACTGAACCGATTCAGCTGTAAAAAAAAAAAACAGATCCCAGACCCCCATTGCTAGGTTTTCCATGACCATGGAAACCTTTTAGCGGAGACGAATAAACAGAAACGTAGCCTGTGAGTACTGGAAATGGGTGTACAGGAATCATAAAGAGAGAGAAAGAGAGAGAGAGAGAGAGAGAGAGAGAGAGAGAGAGAGAGAGAGAGAGAGAGAGAGAGAGAGAGAGAGAGAGAGAGAGAGAGAGAGAGAGAGAGAGAGAGATGGATAAAGAATGAGGAAAAGATAGAGATGACATAGATGGGCTGATAAGGACTGAGGGATGGAGAGAAGAAGAAACCCGACGGCTGCATCTCTCACCATGTAGAGCGTGAACGGGAGGCAGAGCAGCAGCAGCCACAGGTAAAGGTGAAGCGCGTTCACGAAGGTGTTCTGGTGGGGGTCGTAATACCATCCGCCCGTCACCGACGCCCACACGCCCTGCCGCAGGATCTGCAGGGTCTGTGACCCCATATTTCCCCCCTATCCCCTCTCTAGCCGTCTCGGAGCAGGAGGTACGGCGCTGGCCCGTCGAGCCCCGTCGCAGCCATCTTCTTCTCTGTGGTCCTCCAGAGCTGCGCTTCCCGTCCCATCGTGCTCTGCGCGCACCCGGCAGCTCGCGCTCAGCTCGTGTAGAAAGTGGCGCTGCGCGTGCCAGAGATACGGGTTATTCTGCAGCGCCTCCGCGCGGCGAACGCGAGTATCGACCAACAAAAACATCTGGGGCGATACTGTTGAAAGCTTTGATTTTTTTTTTTTTTTGCAACCTGTTTACTTATATTTGGTAAATAAACAATCACATTCTCTTAGTGAGATTGTTGGATAAAAAAAGATATCGTATCGTTATGCATTTTATACTAAGCGCGAGTGGGTATTCGAAAAAAAATAGTAAAAATATTTTAACAACATGATTCTTTCGTACCATTATGCATTTTTACTGTAAACGCGGTTACTGTGCGCATCCATGTGCAATAAATTAGGTCGGAGGTGGCAGTATTTGGGTCGAACTAATTGTCACTATTACATGAATAAAACTGAATTCTCATCAGTCTGCTTCTAGTGCACTAAATAGAGAGCGCCAGTTCACGTTTATGCAGAAGCGCAAAAGATGCGAGTGCCAATCCGAACACACGGGGGCGCTGCGCAGTATATAATCTCTATCGGAAGACATTATAGACAATCAAAGAAATATAACTTCATTATTACGTAATAATTGAATCACTTACAAAGAACATACAAAAACAATTTTAATAGGCAGAAAAAAAGTCTGTACACTATTTGAATTATGAATGACACTCCAAAAAGGTTCTGAAAAACAACTTATTTCCACGGTGAATGATACAATTTAGAAACACTGAAATATAGAAAATGACATACAGAGATGATGACTTACACACGCATTTCAGTTCCCTTATTTCAAAAACTATTAAATTACAAAGAAAATGAATTTATATATATAATAACCGTAACAGTCCGGAGAACTGGTGCAGAGAACTGTCCACAGGTTTGTGCATCAATCAGTCCTGGCTGCAACAATAAATCAAACTCGTTTGTGGCTGGCCAGCAAGTGTTACTGCAGACGTGCACGTTTCTCAGGTGGTGGTTTGTTGGGTGTAGTTTGTGGGGCTGGCCGGGCAGGGCCAGGAGGGGCGGGAGGTTTCGTCTCTCGTTCTTCTTGAGGCTTCACAGTCTCAACTGGCACTTCTGGCTCTTTCTTTACCTCCACTAATGACAGACAGTGAGAGAGATATTTATATATATTGTATATTATTAGCAATGAATATTATATGGACAAAAGTTTATACACACATACTATATGGTTACACCAACAGTGACTGTAATGACATCGAATTCTAAATAGATGAGGTGTGTCCCAATACTTTTGTCCATAGGACTTGACATTAACTTTTTTGCTCACCAGCCACTGTGGCCAGTGGTTTTCCAAAGTTACAAGCCACTCAGCATTTTCACTGGCCACAATTTTGATTGTCGATAGCATGGGGGAAAACTGCCATAAGGATATTTTTTATATTATCTCATAATTTGGCAGCAGGCATATTAGGCTGCTGTCACTTTAAGACCTGATGCACGGATTCAAGATTACACATGCATTTTCTTTCTCAACTGTTTACATTCACCTAAAACATAACTGACTGTGTTTACGTGAATACTCGCCAAGACTGGCATTTTAAGTGCAATAAGCAGCAAACAATAACTCAATTTAGTACCAAGAGGCAGCTTTATGTGCGCACACTTTGGGTGTGAACACAAAATATGCGGAAATTAGTAAAATTATGCACAATACAAGCAATCCTATGCCGAAATTCAAGCCCTGTAACACCAACAATATTCATCCAGAGCAAATTAAACGAGTGAGTAAGGGGAGTCGGGTTTGTGTGTAACCCCTGTCGGAGAGATGAGAGAGAGAAAGCGCAGCTAGTATCGCGTAGCCCATCTTTTCTGCGGAATATGAGTATTGGAAGTGTTTCAGATATTTCAGTAGCCTGTCGAAAAATCTATATTTTTGACAATACTACATTAAATACAATAGAAAAAATTATATATTAAAATATTTATATAAACCAAAAAGTGGCTAGTAGGAGTGATGGCAAGTAATTATATTTTTCCAACCAAAACACAAAAATATGCTGCTTTTTCAAATATACTGCAACACATTCTCTTTTTAAATTGCTTTGAAACTGCACCGGACATTGTCATTTTTGTTCAGCATCATGTCAAACTCTACTTGACTGTGATTGTATCTGAATTTTTACATGTTTTTCCAAGTATGGCTTATATACAGATTAGTTGAAGTATTTACAAAACTGAATTGTGATTTTCATCTGTAGTGTGTGATATGGTGAGACCTAGTTGAGTATGTATTTATGAGCATCGTATGAGTATGTATTTGCGCACCTGGGACAGGCTTCTCTCCTGGTTTGGGCTGAAACAGAGACACAAAATCAGTGAGAATTTAAACGAAATTTTCTCTTTTCTATTCAGAAACCAGTTAGAAATGTTTCGTGTGTATATTAGTAATACCTGATAGAAAGTTGGGGGAAATTTATTGCGCAGATCTAGTAGCAGCGTGTCAACTCTCTGCCTCTGGAACAAAGAACTCGGCTCCTCTTTCCGCTTAGATTTAGGCTTTACCCTTTCTATAACAACACATACAACACGCAAATGTAACTCTTTTTGACAGGTGCAGTTGTACTTGTTGAAAGATGCTTCCTGCTGCTGTGTGTGTTCTCACCTTTCTCCTCCTGGTCTTTAAAGTGCCACCAGTACCCTTTGGACGGGTGGTACCTGCAGAACGACATTGCTTCATCAAACGCAGACTGAATCCCATGAACCGCTGAGAGCTGGGACACATCAAAACAAAAGATTGATGTTCATACTCAAGGGCGTAGATTTGGTTTGAACATTGGGGGGGTTGAAGTTTGGGTATGCCTCCTGATATTGTGATCACGGTATAAATAATGGGGGGGTTGTAATGCATAGATTTAAATATTGGGGGGGTTATATCCCCCCCATCCCCCCCACAAATTACGCCCCTGTTCATACTGATAAGAGAAAGGAGTTATTAAATTGTTCTAAGGTGTATAAACGCACCACTCTGGAATTGATGACTGATCCCAGGTCAGGCGCCTGATACACCACTCCAGCTATGATATAGTAGTCAGCAAGAGGGATTACTGCAGGGAAGGGAAACAGAACATGCAAAAAGATTTTAATGTTTTGTTTTTCTGCAGAGAAATTTAATGTCAGCATATTGAATATAAAGTGAACAAACGAAAAAAAATCCTGGTATTACTGTGTACAATTTATCAGTGCACATTTTTACAACTTCATTCCATAATTGACTAATTTCGCAACATTGACTCGAACAAAATGACACTATTGTCTCCTGTAGAGCTGCTTATAGCTGAAATGAGCTTATTTCATAAATGATTACCTTCACAGTTATTGAACTGAACTGAATTCACCACTTGCACTGAACTTCGTGACGCACTTCCGTTTGGAAACAATACATATCACTTATTTTCGGTTATGTTTACTTTCAATGTACTGTGGTCAATGAGTTGAACAAACGCCAACTAAAAAAAGTGTCTATAATAATATTTTATATTTTGGACTTTTTATTGACAGAAGAAGGGATGATCTGATGTTTACTGTGTGCAGAATTTTCAAAACTCATCGGAACATGAAGTTTAATCCAATCCAAGCCAATCTGAGAAAGCTGCGGCTGTTAAAAATACGCCATTATTTCACCACAGGGTGTCAGTGTTCGTCTAAACTAGTGACCGCGACGCTGAAATGTGTGAGAACAGATGAATAACATCAGTACGAAGCACGAACATTTATTTATTTGGATTAAATATTGTAATCATTCAGTGTCATTTTTCAATGTCAATCGTTTTACTATTTACATGTTCATGCCCAAAATGCTTAATTAATATTCAAAGAAGTTGACTGTCATTCTCCTCTACGCTGCGTGCGGTTCTGATCTATGGTTCTGATCGTAGGCACCTCGCGAGTATTCATTCATTCAACTATTTTAAAAAGACAGGAATAAAGCACCAATGCACACAAGAAATACTTTTTATTAGTCAAATTCATTAAAAAAAATTGAACTCAACAGGTATAGAATATAAGTAGGCTAAGAGAAAAATACTGTTAATGAGAAGACATAGGACTGCTGCAGGTTAGTGAATAAATATAGGCCTATAGCCTATTTATTATTCAGAATGTAACAGTTGGAAAGAAAATATATTTATAGGAACATTTCAGCAGGCTCAAGTTATTAATACAGAGATCATTATTCATTGTTTTAATCAATTGGCATCCATAAAACGTAGTGATAATCTGCATTCTCATGTATGGATGTGCGATGAACACTCTAACCGGAAACTCCCGATATGTAATAAGTAGAACGCGGAAGTAGTTGTGCAAGTAGTGCATTAACACTTAACTGATTTGAACAAAATATTGATACTAGTGTCTAATGTCGAGCTGCTTTGTAGCAAAATTTTAATTTGTTTAATATTTGATGAAGTTTGTATCACCCTTATTTTCCTGTTAATCACGGTAAAGCTGCTTTGAAACAATTTGTATTGTATAAAGCGCTTTATAAATTAAGGTGACTTGACTATTTCAAAATTCAAAACAGAATTGTAATAATTTATCAAAAAGTAATAACCTCTGAAACAACTTTTTGTCATCTAAAAATTTTCTTGCAATTTATTCTCTCATAAGGATTAACACAAACAGAAGAGTGGTTGCAGAATAAGGGAGACAAAGTTGTAAAAAATAAGCAAAAACAGCCACGCAGACAGCAGAAACTTTATGTATTATTATATGGTAAATCTTCAATCAAACCACATTTATAAAATAAAAGCACTAAATTATGCTGCTTTTTCAAATATACTGTAACAACATTCTATGTTTCAATTTTGTTTCTCGCAGGATTTTATGACGGGCGGACCTCGGCCCCTCTAGGGAGCTCCAGGGACATGATAAAATAATTGTGTACAATTTTTTATTTAAATGAATCAATCTGGTGCACTTTGAGAGCAAAACTAAGATCTCAAACATATATAATAAAAAAAAAAGTACACTGACTTGTATCTGCTGGACTCAAACTTTAGTTGTGAAAGTCTCAATGCACATTACATTCACACTGGTGTTTTTAGAAAGCCAAACAATTTTAATATAATAATAATAATAATAATTATTATTATTATTATTGCCATTATCTCAAACACTGGCAACAACATTCCATGTTAAAACTGCTTTAACGTTGTCCTTTTTGTTAAATATGATGTCAAACGCAACTTGACCTGGATCGCAAGTCTGTCAACATTACAGTTTAGATATGCACCGATATGAACATTTTAGCCGATACCGACCCACATTTTTGAGAGCCTCATTATAAAAACAAAAGTCTTACCATTAAAGCCATGTCACAAGCACACAATTATAATGTTCTCATTATTTGTATTTATCTAATTTTATGTAGCCTATATGACAGACTTGCGCTGCACATGTTGCACCTAACTGTATTTTCCTTTTTTGAAGTGATTCCAATTATATTTCAAACAATTCAAACCATCATGGCGAACAGCGCACATCTGAAGTTTCTCAGCTGAAGGAAATAATCCATTATTTATTGGCTTTAATATATGGGCCAAATTTCCTAACATTTCCTAACATAAAAAAAGAACAAATATTGGCCGATATGATGGCTGATGTATCGTGCGTCCCTATTACAGTTGATACAAAACTGTATAATCTAAAAATACAACGCAGACACCAAATCAAAAATATTCACCAACACACAAAAAAACAGCCTCACAGACAGCAGAAACTGAACAGCAATGCAGAAACTCACCTTGTGTTGGTGATTGCCTCTGCTGCTTTCTGATGATGTACAGAATCGGCTCCTGAGCGTGAAGCAAAATATATTCCACACCCACCATCTGACTACACACACAAAACACGAAGTAAGAACGCAGACAACACACTCTACTGCAGCTCAACCTATTTTTTTTTAATTATTAGAAAATAAAATAATCAGCAGTGTGACAGTTATATAAAGATAACATATTTTCTGTCTTTATGTTTCCAACTCATAGACATGTAGATTTCATTCTGACACATCTACTACATACATTACCCAGTTTTTAAAAGCATCATGCAGTGCTTACTTGAGGTGATCCAGGGTTAATCTCTGCATTTTCACCACCTCATTGTTGCAGGTGCGATCATAAAAGGGATTGCTCCTCTCAGAGAAATACTCCACCACATTGCTGGGGTTCAGGATCGGTACCCAGCCACTGTCCACCCACGAGATGCCAAGCAGATTATCTGACAAACACAAAAAACATTCTATAATAATAGATCTGAATAATACATCTGGGTGGTCACTGTCATGAAGCTCTCTTACAAGTAGCAAAAGTCAATAGTGGGGCAACCCGAGCTATTTGGGAGCAAGATTTGGGGCTCTCAATTGATGCAGATACTTGGACAGTATGCAAATTTGGCAGCATGCAGGCAATATATCAATTTGTAAATTAACTAAAGAGCTACAGTTAAAACTTTTACATCATCTCCAAATTACCTCGTTATGCAGACGTAAGTTTAACCCAAATTATTCTCTGCATTGTCTGAAGTGCAAAGTAGAAGAGGAGACTTTGTTCACTGCACTTGGAAATGTATACATATTAAAGCCTATTTGGTACAGATTTGTAGGAGACTTATATTTATTCTATGACTTATATACTTTGTCTTATATTTAATACAAGATGTGACCTCAATCCACTTTATTTTTTGTTAGGTGCTGCTGATAATAATATATAGAGTGCTTCAAACAGGAAATTGTTTCATCTCCTTACTTAGCTATGCTGCCCTTAAGAGCATTTTTCTTAAATGGATCTCTGAAGTGATTTTTGATTTTCTTTCACTGGAATATATTATGACTTACTGGTCAAAAGGGAAAATGGATATGGTTTATGAGACATTGACACCTTTTTTTTTTTTTAAGTATATAGGCTAGGTCCCAGGATTTCACGTATCTCTTTGCAAAACGTTCATGTTGGAACGTACTTGTGATCTGTGGCCACTGTTCTATTTGTTATGTTACGTTAAATAATTAATTAAAAAAACAAAAAAATAAAAAAAAACGCTGCTTATTTAAAAAAAATATATATATTTGAAGGAGAATATGTCCGTCAATGAAAAAACAAACAAATAAAATATACAGCAGAAAATAACACTGCGCGCCTCCTACAACAGACTACTGCGACAATGCTAAAGAGTGCGATTATGTTGGCTTGACAAGCAAACGTTCTGTTAATCTGTTTTATTTCTTATACAGCATTTCAATGTAATGGTGAAGGGATTTGACAGGAATAAAACTGTCAACGAATAAAACATCGTTGTAAAACAATTCGTGAAATACGTGATAAAGTACCTCTTAAATCCACCGACGCCATCTTCGCATTTCGGACTCAGGCGCAGGCTGATGATGACACAAGAATCGTCGACGCTCTATGACGATTGCTCCATGTAGTACATTAACAAAACCAAATACAAATTCTGAATTAAAAATAACGTTTTGCCATTTTAATTTGCTTTATTATTAAAAACTCATTGTTGAAAAAAGTCTCGCTACCCATTTTTGCTGAATCATCGAAGATCAGCAGCAAGTACATTGGTCAATAAAGTGAGATTATAAATGCATAAAAATATTTGTTTTATTTAATATATTTTGCATATTGAACATATTTTGCATCTCACTGTTTTTATTCATTTTGAGAAATACAGATTATTTTTTGTGCAAGAGAGATGAGTAAATACATGCTCACATTTAGTCTAGAACTACAATAACATCATGTTCACATGCCTCTGCACTTACTACCAAATTTCTCTCAACATGGGGACAGGAGAGCTGTCAGTCAATAAATGGGAAAACAAAACAAAGCAAAATATACTTGCGTTACTTATTTACTCAGATATTTGCTGTAAATTTAAAAGTAATGTGTTACTTTACTAGTTACTTGGAAAAAAGTAATTACGATCGAGTTACCCCAACACTGCTGAGGATAGCCTACATAAAATCTTTCGTTTTAAATGAGACAATACTTTTTCTTTTGGCTCTATAAAATATTTTTAAAATATATTTAAATACATAGTTTTTCTGGTTAATTGAGTCTTTCTGGTTAATGATATTATCTTTTTGGCAACATAATGCATCCATGAATGTTGACATTTACTAGTGCAGGTAAATATCTTGGCTCTCCATAAGATTACTCTTGGCATGTTTACAAGTGTTCAGTCATACGCACACACACGCACGCACGCGCACACACACACACGCACACACACGCACACACACACACACACACATACACGCACGCACGCACACACACACACACACACACGCACAGAGAGACACATACACGATAATAATAATAACATTTTAGCATTAAATTAGGACAAAAATAATTATAGCCTATTCTTTAAAAGGCCTAGTCAACACAACCATGAAAGGCTTTTTTAGAATTATGTAAAGGGGCTTTCGCACCGGGTAGATGCCTTTGGACCTAATTTAAAGTACATTGGTTGAAACATCATCCCTTAAGAAGAATTCATCAGATGGGACAAATACTCATGAGTCCCTGCAGGCAGAATTCTGCAGGAATATATGAGTGCAGTGCAGCGTAAACATAATGCCTGCAGAGCAAAAACAGGATTAAACCAATAAAAAATCCACAAAAGAACCATTAAATTCCACATCCAACCCCAATTCCAGTCAAGCTCAAATGCCATAAATCCTCAACCTACCAAGAGGTGGCACCGTGGCAATAGCCTCAAGTCAAGTGTAACGTTCTCATTACAAACTGCATGTAAGAATGTATATTATAGAATAAAGTAGTTCATCATTATGGCAGCTAACCCGAAAAACATGTTTCTTTTTTAAAACGAACAAAACAAAATCAGAGTTGTATCTGTTCCCAAACAGAACTTTCTTATTTTAGGGTTGGTCAGAATTGTCACATATTTGAAACTTTCAAATATGTGACAATTCTGACCAACCCTAAAATAAGAAAAGTCCTGACTACAAAGTCAGCGTTGTACAAGCATTTGCCCTATAGAGACAGAAAAAGATAGATCTAATGAGGACAGGTGGTGCTATAGTTTCAATAGTTACAAAAGATATTGTTACTATAATGATAAATTAATTTATTATTTTAATGTTATTAAGTGTTTTCAGAACATTTTTGGCATTTTAAAATAATCAAAAAAGAAAAGGAGCAATTGTTGTGTTTTTTTTTTCTATTAAACACATTGAGAAAGACTGCTATTTATTTATACCCATATAGTATGTTTCTGCTGTTTTCACATATTTAAAATTGTGCAATTTGTCTGAATCGTGAAATGTCTTCATGTGGCACAGTGTATAAAGGCAATAAACATTTGATCAGTCTTATTCCTGGATTTTCTTGTTTGTTTACTATCCCCCTCTTTTAAATGTTTTGCTATAACAACTAAATTAGCTAATGTTTATATTTATATTTATTTCCTAAAGTAAGACATTGGCTGACACATCATCATCCTGCACATGTTAAACTTATATGTAAATAAATATGTTACAATTTCAAAGTAAACCCACATTGTTCGGAGGGCATATTCCCCTGCAGTGTTACCCTGATCTTAAATTCAAAGGCATCAAAACTTCACGCAGTAAAAGAAAAATACTGGACAAGAAAGAAAGAAAGAAAGAAAGAAAGAAAGTGACATACGAATGGATCTTTTTCAGATAGAACTCTAAGCTTAGACATGGTCTGAATTGCACATGTGTTTGTGAGTATGAAAATGACAGACTGAGCAAAGCAGGACTCCTCATCCAGCACGATTTACCGCAATCACGACACACCCAGACACAACCATTTGCAACACACACACACACACACACACACACACACACACACACACACACACACACACACACACACACACCTGTGGGACACAAACATGACGTTTCAAAGAGGAACTCATTACGGAGATATTCACCATTACTTCTTAGATCAATGAATGTGGGTAAACAATAACTTTGCTGTGGCATAATGAAAGAGAGAAGAACAGTTCTTTTGAATCAAGGGAGGATCAAAAGGAAGGAGATCATTAAACTGTATTTAAACAGCTCTTTTCAGTGTCCGACAGCAGCTGTTTTCTGGGGGCAGAAATCACGTCACACGAAATCATCGTTTGACCAAGTGAAATGCGTTTGTTAACGGCTGAGTTGCGCTCAGCTGGATTTCAATGGAGACGGGACGCCGGAGCAGGAGACTGACACACAGGCCGGCTATAGCTATCGCTCCATCCGCGATGACCGCATTTCTTAAGGGCAGCGCGCGCACTGTGGCTTGATGCGCGCGCTCTCTCCCTTTTGAGTCATTCGGTGAGAGCAGGACGTGCCGATCCCGTTCTGCCAGACCGCTGGGGGAAAAAAGAGAGGGAGAGAAAAAGAGGAAAAATCCACAGTAGCCTACTGCTTGTGTGCGTGAATAATCCAGGAATCCATCTTTAAAACCGAACCGTGAAGAGCTGCGGGGCATGTAAACGCGCGAGGAGGCAACGAACGCAGCGCTAAAACGTGAGTTCCAGGGAATTGTCGAATCGGTGGGATGAGCGTGGAGCACGGCAGATTTGAAGGAAGTATACGCAAGGGAAACAGCACGATGAGCGTCAAGAGCGGCAGCGCGAACACCACCATCATGCAGCCTCCCGGTGGCCGGAGCCGCGGAGACGCGCGCTACCCGCAACACGCGCCCCACCAGAGCGGTTCGGTGGTGAAACCCCAAAACGAGCCCGCAGACCTGGTGAAACGAGCCCTGGACTTCAAGACGCAGGGCACGCAGTGCTACAAGGATAAAAAATACCGCGAGGCCATCGGCAAATACCACCGCGCGCTACTGGAAATGAAGGGTCTGTGTCGCGTGCTGGGGGACCCGGACACCAGCAAATCCCCGTCCACCGTCCTGACCAGCATCAGCAAGTCCAGCCTGACGGACGAGCAGAAAGGCGCGGTGGAGAACGCGGAGTTGGAGTGCTACAACAGTCTGGCTGGTGGGAACGCACATCATGTTTCACCACATGTTTCAATGGACATGTTTTCTATGCATTCCACCTGTTAAGACTGAATGAAAGCAGGGCCACCATAATATTCAGATCAGTAGGCTACTATTCGATTTGGTCCCTCTAATACTAAATATGCCTTGAAAGAATGTAATTTGTGAGTGAATGTCTTCAGTTCTGATTGCAGAATGACGTCATTGTTTGTCTACAGGTCATATATCTAAATTTGATTATAAACTGTAAATCATGACAACACGTCTAAAATATCCTTATCAAAAAAATGTAAATCGTCATTGGTTGAATTCATTTTGTCTGTGTTTGCATGTAGCTTGTCTGTTGCAGATGGAGCTTGTGAATTATGAACGAGTGAAAGAGTACTGTCTGAAGGTTTTGAGAAAGGAGGGCGAGAATTTTAAAGCCCTGTATCGCTCTGGCGTGGCGTATTATCATCTGGGAGATTTCAACAAAGCCCTGCACTACTTAAAGGAGTCACACAAACAACAGCCCACAGGTTAGTCAGATCAAACTCTCTCACACACCATACCACTACCAGCATTTCTCAAACTGGGGACAAATAGACAGAATATTCTGAGAAACCATGGCAAGCTAAATAGAGTGACATTTCAGAAAACATTTCCAGTGGCCTTGGTTCCTTTAAAAATGTAAGCCTTGGAACAAAATCAGAAATGAATCTCAATGTTTCTATTAATCATGTTAAGTCAGCAGTGATATTAAAATAACGAAATTCGCAATAATAAGCAGCAGCTTCTGAACCCAAATCACCTGCTCTCCAGGACGACATTGATTGTGCTGATAAATGAATAATAAATAATCATAAAACTGGAATGATTTATCTTTCACTACACCCACATTTTCTGTTTAAACAGCTGTTTCCTCCTTTTCTGTGTATGTGGGACAGATACTAATGTCATCCGCTACATCCAGCTGACGGAAATGAAGATTCGACGAAATGCCCAGAGAGAAAAATCAGAAGTTCCGTAAAACGGCTCCCGCTTGAATAGCTTTCCCACTGCGGACACCCCACTATCCCCTCATCGCACTCTCCGTGGACGAGGTTCGGCATTTCATGGAAGACTTTGTTCCAGTGCGGGTCAACACACCTGTCTCAGTCCTGTCAGAAACAGTCTCTGGCTCAGATTGAAGAGCTGAATCAGGTGTGCTGTGCCCTGGAGTAGACCGTGGAGACCCGGGAAAGGAGACCACCAGGGATCTCACTGGCATTTATTATACTTTCTGAAGTACAGTAGTGCTGTCAAAATGCTTGCTTTTAATCCCCAGTTGTATTTAAGTTCTGGAAAACGAACAGATGTAGGTCTCTCGCGGTGGTTGTGCTCCACAGAACACCATTTTGTGGCTGGTGAAACATTCCTGCAGCTTTTTGTTTGTATTGTTTTCATGACAATGTTTTTTATTCGAGATTCTGGATCAGTTTTGTTGTAAACACATAAAGCTCCTTCATTTAAAGTGCAATTAAGTGTCACTACTAGTGAAAATGATGCCAATCATATACAACCTACTCTTCACTTAACACCCACATTCAAATCGCAGTGATCTCTCAAGATCTCACACGCACAGAGTGGGCTTAAGTGTACACACACACACACACGCACACACGCACACACACACAGTGAACATGAGTGTAAGCATGTGAATCAAGCACAGTCTGACTGACACGTATACAAAAGCATGTAGGAGTTAAATAAACTGTGGTCATTGTTATAAGTAGAAGTGTGTTTTTTTTTTCAAGCTGTGTAATTTATATCTGATTCTTACTGATAGTGAAAAGTGAAGACATTAATTTGACGTTAATATTTTCGTTTTGACAGAGAAGGGACTTTTTCTATCTATATTTCGACTGTACTCAACTGTTTATTGTGGGCTTTACGTGCAGCTTAACAGCAGGTACACAAAACAGTCCAATTCACTGCTCCATTCTGGTTGCTATGGTGAGGTTGCATGGAAATCATCCTTTGAGACAGATGGGGATGGTGTCCTAGACATGCTCGCTTAGAAAAATCTGTGTAAAACAGAAGAATGAAAGATTAAACGGTTGAACAGTCTGTCTAAATGTCTAAACTGCTGATTTAGTATTTAGTAATGTTAAATTTGAAGTAATGTGGACCAATGAGATTGCATTAATCTCACTCAAAATGAAGGCAAGATACACTAAGACAATTGTTTTGTATGCAAATTAGGCATCATGATTAAACATGCACTAATTTGCATAAAATTCCATAACATAAATCTGAGCACTGGATAAAGCCAGGTATTTTGAATTTTGTTGACAGGTAACACTTCATTTTGATGGTCCACATTTAGACATTCTAAGTAACTTTGCAACTACATGTCAACTCTCATTATTAGTATATCTGCTAACACTTTATTTGGATGCTCCCCCAACAGACAGTTAAGTAAGTTGCAAATATGAACCCTAACCCTAATGCCTAACCTAACAGTCTACCATAGTCTATTAATACTCTAATGAAATTTAGTTGACATGTTGCAAAGTTCCTTAGTAAAGTGGACCATCAAAATAAAGTGTAACCTGTTGACATATTAAAGGATTTTGGATAGCTCTTTTTATCACTCCATAAATGAAAAAAAGAGATCTTTTTAAGAATAAAATTTAACATATCAGGTGAACTACATATGAATAAATCCCTCTGTAAAAACCTTCAGAATATAGATCAGAATAAAACTGAAAAGGTTTGGGAGAAAGTGTTACTGAAGAGATTTCTGTGCAGGAGAAACAGAAATCATTTTGAGGAAACAACCTTTAAAATATGTATTGTAATTGAACTCTATTGATGCAAATTATAAAGTGTAATAAAATAAAGACTTATATGTGTATTTTTGATGTTTTCTTTCCACTATAGTCTTAAAGAAGACATGGTTGTGAAGCAAAACAGCCCAGCATCTCAATATTGACCAATTCATGAAAAAACACAATAAATTTATATCTTGCCTTAATGTTTATGTTAAGCTAAACAGAGAGAATCCATATGGAAAATGACAGTCTATAGTCTCATTTATTTGCCGTGATGATGATGATGATGATGATGATGATAATAAAATGTGCAAATCATCTTCTATAGTTTTGTATTCTTATACTAAGACAGTCAGTCACAAAACACCACATCTCAGCATTTCAGGGCTTTAATCGAGCTCTTACACAAGTCTAATGTGCTCGGGTGCAAGTACAAGTTTCATAGCAGCAGCTTCTGAACCCAAAACACCTGCTCTCCAGGACAACAGTGATTGTGTGGATAAAGGGCAACAGATGTTCTTGATGATAGCTACACATTCCTCTAAGCCAGAAAAAAATACACCCCTATTCTATTCCACACCTAGATGGAATGAAGTGAGAGTTCCTGGATTATCAGCCAAATTTCAGGACTCAGAATTATACACTGCTAGTTCATTTTGTTGTATGCATGACAAATGATCAAAACTTGGTTTCAAGTGATAGAAAGGGAAAGAGAGACACAAGCCCTTCTGTGTTTTGGCTCTAAATGTTGTTTTGTCTCTAGAAGACGTTTTTGCCGGTATAGAGATTGAAAAGATTGGTTTGAGAGACAACGATGCTGTAAACATGTGCAAAAGAACATGTCTGAGCATGTCCAAACATCCAGACAGAAATGTTGCTCTTAATAAATAAATCACAGAGTAATACAAATGTGAAAAAATATAAAAATCATTTAAAGAAATAAATATGTGTAAACGTAAAAAATATTGCACAAAAGGCTACTAAAAACCTGCAAAACAATTTCAACATGTTTTCTCAAAAATCTCCAACAAAATTGAATGCACATTCACTTTGGAATCCACCAGTTACACTGAATCGGATGCCTAACAGCACACACACACACACACACACACACACACACACATACGGCACAAACACCGGAAGACTGCAGTAATGTACCTGACTATTGTATAGCTGCAAATTTAGAGCCAATAAATTCTAACTTTCCTCTTAAAGAGTTCCCTCGTGTTTAATTCTGGTAGTTTGGATGGTGAAGATGATACCAAAAAAGTATTATTTGTGAAAGACAATGTGCTTCATGCTACAGTGAAAACCACAGAACAATCAGTGATCTCGAGTGGAAGTATAACAGACCTATACATTCATGAGACCGGAAAAAGCACTTCTAAAGCAGTACAATCTCATACATATATGACAAATAAAACCTGAAAAAAGAGAGTTGCGGAAATAAACCGTCCAATGTTCTCCATATAACCCAGCACTATGTTCAGAGAGCTAAATCTATCATAAACATGCAGACGTGTCTACATACAGAGAGGAAGTCAATACAGCGCAGCAAGACAGCTGAGATAATACACTCAATATGAATAAAAAAACAAGTTTGCAAATAAAAAAAAGTCTCCTGATAAATGTCTCTCAAGATCACATCTGCAGACCCTGTACTTTTCTAAAGCACTCAGAAATCAGTCTGGCCATTAATGAAGCATCTGGATTGTATTTTTATTGGATAGCTTATTACGCCTGGTGATGAATAGAAGAGTGTATACTGAAGGTTAGCTTATCAAGACACACTTTTAGACCCTACACTGGATCTGTATTCTTGTTTTGTTTTCCAGTTCAAATATTTAAACATTTCTAAATCAAGATACAAGTACTTGAGAAGCAAAATGACATAAGATAACAAAATGTATCAAAATTAAGTGACTTAAAACAAGAAATAAATCTGCAAGTAGGGTAAGAAAAATAAACCCTTTAGACTAGTCACTTAGTTTTGATCCATTTTCAGACTTAATATTTTAAGTAATTCTGCTTCTCAAGTAAACGTATATTGATGTTTATTGTACTGGGAAAACTAGACAAAAATATTGAGGAAGAAATTAATTTTTTGCAGTGTAGGACTATATATGTGTTGATTTTTTTTAAATATATATTGAACTGAACATAGATCAGAACAGCATCTGGATTATGCAAAAACCAAACACCTTTGGTTTATGCTGGGTTATTATTCCTTATCAGTAAGGTATCAGTTCCTAATATAGTAAGTATTTATATAACCTGCTGAAAAAAAGAAAGAAAACAAAAACATTTCAAACCAGCCTAAATTGGTTTGCTGATCTAAGCTGGTCTTCCAGTACACTTGTTTGTTGGCTAGTTTATGAGGGGTTTTGGGCACTTGAGCAACCAACTGACCTCCCAGCTAACTTGACCAGGATGGGAGACTTTCTTAAACCAGCTAAGACCAGCTTAATCTTCAAGCAAAGCATCTTAGGCTGGTTTAAGCATGTTTTCTTCACCAGGGTATCCAGAACTCCCTCTTGATTAATCTGATGGTAAGTGCTACATCTGAAAGCAAGTGGGCCTAACTTTGTGAGTGGCATTAATACGTTTGGATCAAGAGCAGAACCCTTGTCGCACTCTGTATGGTGAGTCTCTGGGATCGGATGAGAGAGGCCGTGTCCCATCCCTGTAGTGTCCTTCATCCTGTTGGTCCAAAAGACTGTCATTCACCCAAGGGGAACAGGGGGTTGGTGGTTCCATTGGAGTGGGCAAGACAACCACACCTCCTCCAAACTCCACAGTGGACGGGGTTTCAGTGCTGGACGTGTGGGCGGGAGATTCACCCCACTGGGATCCACAGCGTGCTCGTGGAGAAGGGCGGGGCCTAGCCAGGAAGTCCAGAGTCTTGGGACGCTCAGGTTGGAAGCGGCGACGTGGCGTGGGTGGGAAGATGAGATTTGGATCAGGAAGACGGGGCACCTCCGAGGGGTCCTCACTTAAGGGCCATGGAGTCACTGCACACACAGCATCACAAAAGTCACACAAATGAAACAAATATAGCTATGAACTGAATCAATTTCTGTCAAAGGATTTCAAATCACTATGTGTTGTGTTAGTAGATGGTCAATGATGTATAAAGAACAGGAATCTTATCTAGTTTCAAAAACATGTACCAAGTCCTCTCTAAATGTACTCTCTTTTTATATTAAAATGTTTTTAAAAGCCTTTATACCATATCAATTCACCATTTTTATTATTATATAGTTTCAATTTAATGACAAAACGTTATGTACTTATCAAATAAACAGTAACAATATTTTTAATTAATGAGTGTAAACATTTTAGCTATCATTTCATTTAATTTCCGATGTATATATATATATATATATATATATATATATGTGTGTGTGTGTGTATAAAGAATATTTAAATTTTAATAAACGGTGAAGTTTTTTTTCTTTTTCTTAAAGTCCCCCCTGCCGTCAATAACTTTATATGTTATGTTATATGTTCGTGATGGTTGGAATTAGGCGCGTTTTTTTACTGATGAATTTGCACATGGTTTGTCTTGAAAACCACCACATAAATATTAAACTTATACTAATAAGAGATTATGCCAAACATGAAAGGCTTTCTTTTCAGGAATGTCATTCTTTTATTGAGGTTTCTTTCTTCATTATGATATCAGGACAGCGATAGATTCAGATTCGTCCCATCACTGACCCAGAAGTTTGCATGAGTTCCTCACCTGTGGTTTTGGAGGGTGTGGTAGGGGTGGGATTGTGGTTGTTATGGGAAGGAGAGCACCCGGTCTTTATTGCGCCATCTGAAGGTGTGCGACGAAGCCTGTAGGCTGCACTGGGTGCAGAGGGCACATGTGTGGGTGTGAGAGACTGGTGAGGGTGGCGTTTGAAACTCTCCAGGTGAGTGTTGACCAGTGGGTTCAGGGGAGGCGGGTTGTGTCCAGAGAGGGTGGGGGGCGTTGGTGGGCGTAGCACGAGCAGCTCTTCACTGTCAGAGTGCAGGAGAGAACGGGTTGAGTTACAATCAGACACAGTTGAGAGAGACAGGAGTGTGAGAGAAGTGGGCAGAGGGGGAGGGCGACGGGGGCTTTCCCTTTTGAAGATTTTGCGTGTGGGTGGGCTAGCGCCACGACTTTGACCCCCCGTACGGTGAAACAGCCCTTCCCATCGTGGACGCACACTCTCTTCCACACGCACCAGGTCCAGTAGGTTACGACCTAAACCGATAGCAGCCAGAGCTGCCCCGCAGCCCAGCAACACCAGCTCTGATCTACGGCTTCCACTGGGGCTCCGCCGCGTGTAACTGGGGGAAACATCAGAAGCCAGTCCAGTCGTGCCACTCTCCAGGCTGTAACTGTCAGATCCATCCCTGTGGAATGGGATGCAGAGGTATGATTGGCCAGGAGAGTCAGCTGACTCTGATGGGAAGCAGTCCTCATTTTCTACAGAGAGAAAGAGAGGGGTGGGGGAGAGAAAGATTTCACAATGTTGCACCATTACCAGGCTTCACAGCTTGTCAGTTACAAGATGAAGATTTTTATATTTCTGGTTGTTTGTTCTCCTTTGTTTCTAATATTATAATGTAAATCAAATCTGTTGCAACCGGTCTATTATTAGTGAAATGACAGAAATGCCAAAATAATCAAAATATTACATCAGCCTGATGCAATAATGCCAACATAATGTCAGTGTCACACTTCTTCACTGTTTCAATATCAAAAATTGGAATTCCACGGTCCTCAGGATACAGAGTTTGAAAATTTCAGGAAGAGGAATTTATAGAATTACAATAAAAATGAAAAAAAAAAAATCAAGATTCAGACTGATTAATTTTGGTGAATTATTCTTTGATGGATATAATTTATTTTCTGAATTAATAAGTCATAATTCAGAACCATCAAAACAATACACACAGTTATAAAAACAGATTTTATTTATCAACCAACCAACCAATCAATCAATCAATCAATAAAAAAAAACAAAGATATTGAAAGATTATAGTTAATTATTGAACATTATTAATATAATCTGTTTCTGGAAATAACCCCATATGTTGTGTCTATGAAAAAAATTTCATATGTAAACTATACAAAAAAATATTAAAAACTAATGTATTACTAATAATGGCACTTTAAACAGTTATTGACATTTTTTACTTTCATTCCCTTTAATTTCCTACTCCTTAAAGGTGCAATGTGTAATATTTCTGAGGATCTATTGACAGAAATGCAATATAAGATCCATAACTAGTGTTCAGTGGTGTATAAAGACCTTACTCAATGAACCGTTATGTTTTTATTACCTTAGAATGAGACATTTATATCTACATAACCGCGGGCACCCCCTTCTATGAAGGTCGACATATTGTGACGTCATGTTTGTACCGTAGCCGACAGCGAACAAACAGCGCTACAGAGCACGTTTCGTTCATACCTTGAAAGAGAAGCCGCAGAAAGCTAGAAGCTAGCCATAAACACCGTGAGTAGTGACTTTTCCCTTGACAGTGGTGTAAAATATGTAGTTGGATTGTTTCATGTAACTTAGTTTTTTTCCCTCGCTGTGTAATGGCTTTGACAATCAGCTGATTAGTACTATTGACCGTAAAACAGTAACGTTACAGGAGCTACCAACCCGTCGATCGCGGTCGACAAGTCGTTCTTGAAAGCATTTTAAGTCGATCGCGAAGAGTTTTCAAAACCAGATAAAAAAAAACAAATATTTGTATTCATTATTATTTATTAATTTGTGTGTAGTAAATGGTGTCTAGGGGATGCGGAGGCGCGCGCTGTTATGATCACGTCATTTTTGCTGCGCGCACCTTTGCGCTCTAATGCGGACGCATCGAGATTAAACAAGGCTTAACGCTTTAACCAGCTCAGCCACAGTAACAGCTCATATTAGCCAGCTAAACTTTTACTACCCTGTTAGAAAAAATATGTAGTTGCATAGTTTCATGTGGTTCTTCTCCCTCGCTGTATTATGGGTTTGCTATGTGGGGAGAAATGTGCTGGTTACGTTTGTGAGACAATCAGCTGATTACTATTATTATATTATATATTAAGACCCTTGATCCTCACCTGACCTGACCATGGCTTTGTAAACTTTATCCATGATGTGGTTTATAATGGACTGTGGTACAGAAACTTGGCTTACTCTGGCTATTCTCTGCTGTCTCAGACGACGATATGTTTGTCCCGTTTTAGCCACCGTAGCTTCTTCGAAAGGGAGGGGTGAGCAGTGGCCTTAGCCATTAGTGCAACTCGCAACCGAACCGCTAGATGCCACTAAAATCTACACACCACACCTTTAAATTCAAATTCTGCATCCTGGTAAGTAATTCAGTTGATATTCAGGAACTGAACTCGTAGCTACAGTTGTGATGTAACAGAAGTAGGGACACAGCCGAGAGCAACAGATTAGGCTTGTTTGAGATGAGCAAAATCTGCGCAGAACCGATCACCGGTGATCAGCGCGAGATGCATGCCGGTTAGAAATGTGCCCGAGTGCGGTCCGCCTTGCTCTGATGTCATGCTGACGTATGTCAAAAAACTCTCGCGAGTCGGATTCTGCAGTCGCGCGCAGTTGCTTTCCACCGACTGCGCTGATCAAAAGCACGATAGGAAACGACCGGAAACGACTTGCTGACGACACAGCTTAATGCTCATTGGTTTAAACAACCGTGATGTTTTGTTCTCTTTTAAAATGTTTGATTTCAAAACTCTGATATCATGTTTTATATGTATACGTTATGTGTGAATATTCCCAAACTCTCTGACAGTGCGATCTCTATGGGTTATGCAATGTAATTTTTTTATTTTTTTTAAAACAATAAAAAAACACATCTGTATTAAAGAAAAAATTATTGATAAACACATATTTGGAATGGAATTAAATAACAAGTACTTTGGGTGTCTTCATTATATTTATTTTCATATAAAAGCAACAGAACTTGAATTACATCCAGTTTATTAGCAACACTGTGCATGAGCGTGAATCCCATGAATCCCGCAATATCAGTCTTTGATCTCACAGGTGTCAGATCCACTGCGAGAAGAGAGAACTCTCCAGCTTGCCTGCGCTTTTTTCACTCCTCCCCTCACTGCAGCCGCCTACTTTTGCATACATTTCAGGCGAGGCAAGGCGCATCGCAAACAAGCCTATTATCAAACAAAGAGAAAAAATGTAGGGCGGGGACTTGGTTCTATTCATCGGTTGATGATTGGATGGAGGCAGATCTAAATGCGAGTTTACTATTGATTGTAAGAAAGGGGCGGAGATTATGTTGACTAAATGATTGGAGAAGCCCAGCATACGTCACCAGAGAGAATTTGGTTGTATCACTAGAAGATCCTAGCCTGGATGAAAGCCGAACTTAGCCCCGCCCACAACATTTGAGATCGGGAAGTTCGGTCTAGATTTGATCTGTTGTGAAGCAAGTATGCCCGAACCAAAGCTGTTCGGAGTTCGGACCAATCAAATTGTCAGGGCGGGCTTTATACGATGATGGACAGATGATCAACAGTAACGTAATCATCCACGTCACAAAAGAGCGCGTATGACGACGTCAGGCTAAGAAGATCCAGTTCTGACATTTTAATTAAAAACGACGAGCTCAAAAAAAACTGTTAAAAATTAAACATAGTCATGGATGAATCGCAATAAGATACATTTAGAAAATAGAATTTCCATTTCATCCCGACTTAAAAATACACTGTCAATTCAGTGCTCTCAGTTAAATTCAGGGGCGGGACTAAGCACTGCCAATCACAAGTCACACTGGGCCAGCTAACCAATCATATATTTTACATTATTACAGCACCTCTTTCCTCAGTCTGGCTCGAACAAGCTGATTTCGATGAAGCCCCTCCTTATGAAATACAAAATGTGCTGTGATTGGTTAGCTGGCCCAGTGTGTTGTGATTGGCAGTGCTTAGTCCCTCCCCCCCATAACTGCGAGTTCTTCTCTAGTGTAAATATTAATGATGGAGTCACTTTAGAACCAATTCGAGCCCGATTCAGACCCTGACAATGTTAACAAACAAGAGGAGCGTCCAGAACGAATTTCAAGCACGGATTTCACAGGACGTTTCAGAGTGGTATGTTTATTGTAATTACTTATACATTATAGATAAGATGTTATTGTGTTACCAGGTAATACAAACAGTAATCGATCACAAAACCATGGTTAAGTTTCCTAAGGAGCAGTGAACAGCCTTAAAAAATCGACAGCTTACAAAAGCAACAGAAAACAAGCTGTTCTCCATAAAATGTGAAGATAAACGTTTGGGGTTATAATTTTCAGGAGTCTCTTTGACATAACGACAACACTGTCTTCTCTAATGTAGCTCAACCAGGCCTCGTCCCCTTTTTTGTGTATTCCGTGGTTGGAGATTATTTAAATGAGGAACATTGTGACTTTGTAAGATCTAGAAAAATTGTGTTGCACTCCAAACGAGCCATTTGTTGAAGTTGTCGAAAAGGGGATTCTGTTAAATAAAATATCTCCCTTTGGAGTGGACTTTGAGCTTTGTCACCTTGCAGATCTTTGTAACAGCAACATTACACACTAACTTAAGAAAAAGTGGAAAGGCATAATAGGACCCCTTTAATGTGAATGCAACAAAGATGCAGTTAAATATTCAAGATTTCAAATGAAAAACATTCAGAACTGGTCAATGAAGATGCCAAACAAAGATTAATGTGAGTGTTACCAGTCTCTGCCAGGCTGCACACTCCAGGTACAGCAGGACTGTGTCTGGGGGAGCGTCGCAGGTTTGGAGCGCTGCAGGAACGCTGTCGACTGCACTCTTTAGGAGTCCTCAAACTGAGTGATAAACACATGCACACAGAGGATTGTGATTGTATAAACATTTGGTGAAAGTTTATGCTTTGTACAGAAACACACATACAAGCACACCTCTCATCAGCACTGTGTTCTCTTTGCGTTCTCCCTTTCTTGCGTGAAGACTTCCTCTCCTCCTCTTCATCATACTGGAATGCAGCGTTACGACCCCAGCCTTGACCTCCGACCCCAGGGGTCACTGTCGGCATGAAGGATGTTCTAAATAAGGTACCTGGCCATATATATATCCAAACAAATATTCATAATAATATAAACAGAATCAATCAGATACATAAACACACTTACACTGGATCGCTCGGAGGCGTTGCAAAACAGGGGGGCTGTTTGGAGGGGTGGAGTTACTGCTCAGGAGACTCCGCCTCCTGTCCAAAGATGGAGATGCTTGGACTGTGATCTTATGCTGGAAATCTGAAACACAAATACGCCATTATATACACAAACATTCACAAGTCATTATATACTTACACACAGGCAATCCAACAATGCATTGTGCAAAAACTCCAAGATGATGGGCAAAGTGTGTGAGAAATGCTTTATGGAAATGCCTGTTGTTTATTTAATAGCAAAAAGTAAAAAGAGTTAATTAATCTCTAATTAATTGTGTGCTTCACATGAGAAGTGGTATTTGAATGATGCATTTAATACTTTGAAATACTAACCAGAAGGCAGGCTGATGCGATTCCCGTCACGCAGTTTAAGTCGACTGCGCCGGAACTTTCCATGACGGTGTTGCACTCGTGGTTTCTCCTGGTACAGCTGGTGTATGATGACATTGAGCTCTCGCTCCAGGATGTGTATTTCTCTTTCCGCCAGTTCCTGCTCCCGTCGCCGTAAAGCCTCTTCCTGGTACTTCTGCTGTAGAGCTGCACGACTCAGTTCCTCCTCCCAAGATCTCAACTCCTACAGCAAGAATGAGAAAGATCCAACTTACTCATCAATCTGGTCTATGGAAGTGTGTATAATCTGGTAAATTCATCTGCCGCACTTGACACCACCATACTTGACACCAATTCATCTGGAGTGTGTGTGTTTTACTTTGGGGACAAACATATATACACTGAACAAAATTATAAACGCAACACTTTTGTTTTTGCCCCCATTTTTCATGAGCTGAACTCAAAGATCTAAGACTTTTTCTATGTACACAAAAGGCCTGTTTCTCTCAAATATTGTCCAAATCTGTGTTAGTGAGCACTTCTCCTTTGCCGAGATAATCCATCCATCCACCTCACAGGTGTGGCATATCAAGATGCTGATTAGACAGCATGATTATTGCACAGGTGTGCCTTAGGCTGGCCACAATAAAAGGCCACTCTAAAATATGCAGTTTTACTGTATTGGGGGGGTCCAGGGGGGGGTCCGAAAACCAGTCAGTATCTGGTGTGACCACCATTTGCCTCACGCAGTGCAACACATCTCCTTCGCATAGAGTTGATCAGGTTGTTGATTGTGGCCTGTGGAATGTTGGTCCACTCCTCTTCAATGGCTGTGCAAAGTTGCTGGATATTGGCAGGACCTGGAACACGCTGTCGTATACGCCGATTCAGAGCATCCCAAACATGCTAAATGGGTAACATGTCCGCTGAGTATGCTGGCCATGCAAGAACTGAGATGTTTTCAGCTTCCAGGAGTTGTGTACAGATCCTTGCAACATGGGGCCGTGCATTATCATGCTGCAACATTAGGTGATGGTCGTGGATGAATGGCACAACAATGGGCCTCAGGATCTCGTAAAGTAAGACTGGTTACCTCTTGACTAATTTCTAGCGGTCAAATTAGATCTTAAGGCACTGACAGAGAGAACGCAGAACGCGCATCATGTTTATTTTTCTTTATTAGGCGAAAAGCACAACACTTTGTTTTTATTATGAGGTTCCACAAAAAAAATACAAACTTAACAGGATCGAATGATGTACAACACTTATATGTAAGATCAAAATTAACAGAGTAATTTGAGTCTCTTTTGCACTGATAAGGAAAAAAGTGAGCTGGTATCGCCGGCGAGACCGCCGACCCCAGAGAGTTAATATAGTGGCTAAGTTTATGCAACTGGCCCCAGGATTCATCCGTGAAGAGAACCTCTCTTATAATATACTTTATAATATACTTAAGCACTAAATCATCATATTAGAATGATTTCTGAAGGATCATGTGACACTGAAGACTGTAATGGCTTCCGCTTTCCATCACAGGAATATATATTATTTTTTTTAAAGTACTAGGAAGTCTTAGGCAAATTAGTATTTTCACCCAAAAATGGTTTTAAGCCAGTGCTTTATATCTTTTTCTGTAGTATGTCAGTATGAAATATCAGTTTACATTTCCAAACATTCCTTTTGCCATTAATTGTAATAATCCAGTGAGATTTGTGTATGCCGAATGAGTCTGACAACAGCCTGCCAACTGTCTCACCATCATCAAATCCGTCTCTGATTACATGAAGATACAGAAAAAACTGAGATAGACTAAATCCAGAAGAACTGCAGCAACGTCTTCAAGACGCTTGAAGAAAACGAGCTGGATTTAATGTCTCAGTTTTTTCTGTTTCTTTATGTAATCCCAGACAGACTCGATGATGGTGATATTAGATCATACCGGCTGTTGTCAGACTCATTGTGCATACAAAAATCTCACTGTATTATTACAATTAATGGCAAAAGGAATGTTTGGAAATGTAACCTTATATTTCCTACTGACACACAACAGCAAAATATATAAATAACTGGCTTAAAACCATTTTTTGGGTGAAAATACTAAGGTGATTTTTGCACAATACTGTATATTTCTGAAAATGCATAAAGGCATAGAGTTTGGTTTTAGGTTGGTCAGTAGTATTAATGTATTTTTATAACTTTATAAAAAATGTCTAGGTACTTATACAGTTAAGTAAATGTGTTTTTGACTATTTTGAGAGCATACGAACCTTCTCTTTGGCTCTGAGCTGGTCGAACATCTCCTGAACCTCCAGCTTCCAGTCATCCTGCAGGGATTGGAAGGATTCTGCTGGCATTTCAAAGAAGCCTGACTCCTCGATTGCTGTCAGCTGGTCTAGAATACTGGTGAAGGAGGGTCGAGCATGAGGGTCCACATTCCAACAGTCTAGAGCAGGAGAAAGAAACAAACACCACAGACAGACTGTCAACACACCACTCAGGCTGAGACAAGGAGCCTTTTGGTTAGTGAATCTATATATCCTATTCAAACTCATTCAATTCAAAAGACAGTTCAACCAAAAATGTATGACTTTCTTGGAGATGTTTGATATGACCACATATTTTATTATGGTGGCTATCAGTAGATTTTAAGGTAAAAACGTCTCAGGTTACGACTGTAACATATGTTCCCTGAGAACAGGGAACGAGACACTGCGTCGAAATTACGCTATGTGGAACGCCTCAAGCGTGACAGGTGTTTGAAATCACAACCAAATCACGGTAATCAGTTTGACCGGCGACAGCCTATGAATCATTAGCGTGCAACCTGGAAGTTAAAAGTCCTCCAGTAAAAGTCCTCCAGTATCCCTAGTATAGCCTAGGCCAGCTACTATGGCGGCCCTGGTGAGGGCCAGCCTATAAGCGTAGATCTGCCTGAGGGCTCGGAGGAGCCACAGCTTCAAGACAGAGATGTCTGCATGCAGAGATGTATGAGGGCTGCAAAAAAAGGTGGTTAATAGCCCAAGTGCTAACACAGATGTGTCTCAGAAATAAAACAAGCGGCAGCATAAAACACTTCCATTCTTTCTAGAATTACGTTCTGCCACTTAGCGCTCCGCTAACATTCCATTTATGTGAATGAGCGGCGGCCTCAAAAAATTCTCATCATGAGAGGAACCCTAAGCTATTAACATAGTTCCTTACAACTAGAATGAGCGGTGGCACACCCCGTGAATACACAAAAAGGAAGCCATCACATACTCACAAAAGAAGCCCATATAATTGGTGCTTCTTTATATCGTTCAAGCCACCTAACAGGGGAACTTCAGGGCCCTAACATCCAAGTTTACCTTACCTTAACTTAATGTACAATAACATGACCCCATAACTTTACACAGGGAACAAAAGGTCTGTAGAGAAATACATTTTAGTGTTAGTTGCACACAAAAAAGAATTTCTTAGAGAAGACCACTCAGCTTACCTGCAGCGTGCAGAGGGAAGACTCACCAGACGGTTCTCTATGAACATGGGGTCTACACTTTACATGCCTGAAAGAGTCGCTTTCACTAACCAAGCCGAGGCGGGCCATCAGAACATTGTTCTCATCATAGGCTCAGCCCCAGGCCTGATGTAAGAAACGTCTGAAGAGTTGGGAAGAGAGGAGAGGGCTGAGATGTAACACACCCTCGGGGGGGATGATCCATCACCGACGCTCCGTGCGTTTGTGCTGGATCACCTCCCTCGGATCCCTCTTCTTGCGGGAGTCACGCCTCTTCTGCGACCTGCTCCTCCATGGAGGGGGCGCACGAGAGGCGACACTGGCTCTCTGGTCCTGTCTACCTACAGTCCTCGGACCATGAAGGGCCAGGCACTCCCGCCTGTCTGGGCATGGATCCGGATCTCAGCGGTATATACAAGACCCGAAAGCAGCTGAGCGCGCCTTCGCCTCCCTGAACTTTCCAACCACCGCCTCCACGGAGGTGCCAAAAAGTTCAGAGGGCGAAACCGGCGAATTGAGGAGAAAGGCCTTCTCTTTCTCCCCGATGTCAGCCAGGTTTAACCACAGATGCCTCTCCGTGGCCACCATCGCCGCCATCGACCAACCGATCGCGGCAGCAGTATGTTTAGTGGACCGGAGAGCAAGGTCTTTGGTGTGGCGCAGCTCAGCAACCGCCTCAGGGGACATCCCTGCCCCCTGGTCGAGATCCCCCAGCAGGTCGGCCTGGTACGCCTGCAATACCGCCCGCCATGATGTACAGGGCAGCACCAGCCTAACCCACTGCCGTGTATGCTTTGCCATTCAAACGTGCTGTGGTCTTCAGTGGTTTGGATGGCAGGGTTGGAGCTCTCAGTGTCGACGCCAGACACAAGATAGTTCGCAAACATCTCGTCAATAGGCGGCATCGACACGTACCCATGCTCTCCGATCCCCTCAACATCAGCGAAATTAGCCCGCTGATGTCGGTGGATCCAGGCAGAGTATGGGTTCTTCCATGCTCTCTCGATCTCCGTGTGAAGATCAGGAAGAAATAGAAGGCTCACCTGAGCTAGTGGTCTATGGCCGGGGAGAAACCGATCGTCAAGCCTACCGCGAGCGGTCTCTCCCCTAACGCACCGCAACAGCAGCTGGAGCCAGAGGTGCGTCCCATAACATCCACCAGCTCAGCATACACGGGGCAGAGTGGCTGAGAGGGTTCAGGATCTACCTGATTATCACCCTCATCATCCATCTCCTGGTCGTCCTGAAGAGCACTTGCTGCAGGAACAGTAGGAGAATAGTCTTCGTCATCCACCTGCAACTCATTTCGACGTAGTGCGAGTTCCCTTTCGAAAGGGAACCAGAGTTTGGTTGTTAACATGCCATATCACATAACATAAGTTGGAAAATATACAGACATCCCGTAATACCAGAAACATTGTCACAGTATGTTTTCTGTGGATTTCTGGCAACCACAGGTGCCAATGTTTTACAGTGTACTGTTATGATGATTTTTCATTTTTGGAAGGAGAGAAAATGATGACAGAAGTTTAATTTAGTTATGCAGGGGAACAGTTCTTAAGTTAATAAGTTACAGTCATGGCAGAATATGAGATTTTCTTGCCTTCCATCAGCCGGGCAAATGGCTCAGGACAGGTGGAGGGGATCGGCAGGGACAGTTTATTCATGGCCACACCGTAAGCTACAGCCAGACCATCAATGCCACGAAACGGCACCTCTCCTGTCAGCAGCTCCCACAGCAAAACTCCATAACTGCGAGACAGAGACAGAGACAGGCAGACAGAGAGTTTGGAGTTTAAACAGGACTACTGACAACAACAAGCTGTCACCAACAGTTTTTTGTGCAAAGACTAGCAGAATCCTATAAAGTAACACTATAAAATGAATGACAGGTATTATGTTCCAAAGTAAACAAAAAAAAAACTCTATTAACATTTCAAAGTGTGCCTTCGCAGTGTCATGTTCTTTCAAATGTAAAATATGTGCTTCAGTGGCCAACTGGGTAAAAAAAGCTTGACACAACACTGACAGAAAAGACAGCTTGGTATGTTTAAAAACCTTAAAAACTGCTATAAATAATAAATATTAATGCAGATTTCTTTGACTCAAAGGAACCCACACAAACAAACAAACACATCACACTTTGTTAAAGTAGGTAGAGAACAAAGTATCCAAAGATCCACAGCTCTGACACTTATTGAGAGGTTTTCTATTTTTATCGCTTTACTATTCATCCCTCCCCTTCTGTACTCTGTAATTAGGAATTGTGGTGAGAAGCGAAATTTAGACATTAATAGCTAGGCACTACACAGCACCAAACAACACACAGACCAGCCGTAGAAACTGGGCTAATGACACCTTTTTTTTGTTATATAAAATAAATTAAAGCTTAATTTTAGTTTAAGCTTTAATAATTTTGTTTATTGCTTTTGTCTTTTTAGGTCGTTTTTTAATATTTCTATTTAGCTTTAATTTTAGCTTTTTTTTATTTGCTATTTTAGCAATTTTAGCATTTAAAATGTATTTCAGTTTGTTCATTTCTAACTTTCATTAAGTTTTAAACTTAAGTTTAAGTTGTATATATATAATTAGAATTGGAGATAAATTAAGCATATTACAACAAATCTAATTAAGCAGATTACAACTAATCTGAACCTAAAATTATTTTTTAAATGTATTATTATATTAGTAGTCCCTAATGATCTACATTTTTATTTTAACTTATTTTGCCATATTTCTGGAGAATTTTTCCATTTTTTTTAAAGGAAACACAGGGACAGTATGAGAAGGTGAAGACTTACATGACCTACATGACAGCTACATAGACTGACTTGCCTTTGGTGTAGCTATAGGTCAGAAACACTCACACACATTTCCTGGTGCCCACCTCCAAACATCACTGCCCTTGGAGAAGGTCGAAGAGCGGATGACCTCAGGGGCCATCCAGGCGTACGTCCCCGCTGCACTCATCTTTGTGGTCCGATGCCATTCTCGTGCCAAACCGAAATCTGTCACCTTCAGAGTCTTGTTGCTCAGCTCATCGTTCTCCACACGTTCCAGAATCAGAACTGTGGGGTGGAGTTAATGTCAAATGTGAGGATTGAGTAGATGAAACAGAGGGGCAGATACTGTGGTTACTAGTATGACTACAGCAAAAACAGATAGACAGGACTTCCATAGACAGGAAGTTTTGTATGGGAGCTGTCCGCCGCTGTGGTGCTGAATTGGACAAAGCCTTCACTGACATAACTTCACAAGCTCTTAACAACATCGGAACACACAATATTGCATGAATGGAAAAGATGAATATCCAGTGATGGTTGGTTGTGCGAGCTGTAGCAGTTCAATATTAGATTTAGAGTTTCAAATACTTCTTGACGTACAACAACAGCTTGGCTGTAAAATTCTGTGTGTTTATCTGTATCTGGTGTTGTTAAAATTAGCTGTCTTTGTTTTTCCACAACACAACCAATGAAAAGACTTATCTTTGAACTACAGCGTCCAATTGTCTGCAAGGTCCTATGCTAATTATATCCTAGTGGCCTATGAGAGCCCATGATATGTTTTGAGTAGCCAATCAAGTGGCAGGGAGTGAAGGTGAGTGCAAATCCTTTGTAATAAGCTTTGGGTTTAAAGGATCCAATCAGACAATTCAACTGCCAAACACAGGATTATAAGCAACTTACACACTCAGAGAGCCAAAACTCGAGCCAAGCCCTCCAATTATAAAAACACCCAGCAACATGAAGAATCCCATACAAACCATTACCACAAAACACTTGAATACAAGCAAAACTACATATAGAAAAAGGCACCTATGATTATCGTCTATGCAACAATCATAGTTTTAAAACTTTGGGTATACGACATAACTCAAGTGTGTGCTTATGATAAACAGAACATTGTCATGGTTTGGTGCGAACGCTAATATACTGTAGTTATCGTTATCTTCATCTGTATATGTGAATGTTCCTTTATTCAAAGCATTATACATATAACATAACTCTAAAAAAAGTATCCTAATAATTTATTAATCATTTTAATAAGTTAAAATATAACAGTCAATTATTTAATTTTGGAAACACAACACAATGTTGTTTTTATAATTGAATGCTTAATATTTTCCTTACATAGTATAAATGGATCTTTCTACATGTAATTATATGGCTGCCATTATGTTTTAGGATGAGCCCCTAGCAAGGGGATCATAATGCACTGCCTGGCCAAAAAAGAAAAGTCAGTTGTTGGACTGCCTTTTTCTTTGATTATGGCACTTGGCACACATTCGCTGTGGCATTTTTTCGATAATCTTATGCAATGTCACAACATTTATTTCCATTCAGAGTTGCATTCATTTTCCAAGATCTTCTACTAATGATGGGAGAGTCTGACCGCTGCGTAAAGTCTTCTCCAGCACATCCCAAAGATTTTCCATGGGGTTAAGGTCTGGACTTATTTCATGTGTGAAAATTATGTCTCATGCGCACGCATTTGAACCTGATGAATCCTGGGATTGTCATCTTGGAATTTGCCCATGCCATCAGGGAAGAAAAAATCCATTGATGGAAAAACCTGGTCATTCAGTATATTCAGGTAGTCAGCTGACCTACATTTTTGGGGCACATAATGTTACTGAACCAAGACCTGACCAACTGAGGCAACCCCAGATCGTAACACTGCCCCCCACAGGCTTGTACGGTAGGCGTTATAGGAAGGCATGATGTGTGCCTCACCTGATCCACCTCTGATGGACTCATCAGACTACATGACCTTATTCCATTGCTCCAGAGTCCAAACCTTATGCTCCTTAGCAAATTGAAGCCTATTTTTATAGGCTAGCCTCACTGATGAGTGGATTCTTAAAGGGTTAGTTCACCCAAAACTGAAAATTATCCCATAACTCACTCACCCTCAAGCCATCCTAGGTGTATATGACTTTCTTCTTTCAGCCAAACACGATCAGAGTTATATTAGCTAAACCATAATCACTGGCTACCGGTAACAGGCGTACACGAGTCGAGTTCCAGCGAAAGAGTGACCTCTGACCCGATTCATGACGTAATGATGAACGCGGAAGCGCAGAGGATAGAGCAAAACAAAACAGGGTCACAAATTAGAAGTCTAAAATGAGAATTTTTAAAGAGAAAAGGCGGAGGATTTCGAGATAAGACAAGAGTAGCTTGAGTTTGTTGCACAGCCCTATTTGTTTCAACAGCAAAAGGCGTCTACTCTTACCTAAGCTTTACGCTACTCCTAAATCATACGTCGGGTCAGAGGTCACTCTTCCGCTGGAACTTGAGTCACTTACGGCCATTACCAGAAGCCAGTGATTATAGTTTAGGAAGTTATAAATATGGAATTTTTTCTTACAAAAACACACCTTTACTTTGGAGCCATATGGTTCACTTTTAGGATGGATGGATGCTTGAGGGTAGGATGGCTTGAGGATGAGAAAATTGTTGGACAATTTCAATTTTTGGGTGAACTAAACCTTTAAGGCAACACAGATGTTTAGTCCCAATCCCTTGAGTTCTCTTCGCGTAGTGTGTTTGGAAATGGTCTTACTTTCACTTTTAAACATAGCCGTGAGTACTGTTTCACCAAATGTTTAAGTGATCTCTGATCACAATCATTCAAGATTTATTTCCTGACCACATTTCTTCCTTAAAGATGATGGTTCACCACTATCCTACAAGGTTTAAATAATGTGTCGGACAGTTTTTCACCCGATATTAGTAGCTTCAGCAGTGGTGGGGGAGGGCAGTCAGTGTATTTTGGGGTCCTTGGCATCAAAATGTTTGATATGTTAGGTCTAATAATGCTAAAAGATTTCTTACTGTTGCTGGACTTCAGGTCTCTGTGGATGACGGGTACGATGGCCTGGCAGTGCAGGTAGAGCATGGCACGTGCGATCTGTACCGCCCAGTCCACCAGGGTTTGCGGAGGGATGCGTTTCCCAGCCAGGGCCCGGTTGAGCGGCCCGCCACGGGCGTACTCCATGACCAGGCAGAGGTTGGGTTCCTGCAGGCACACTCCCAGAAGGCCCATGATGTTGGGGTGTTTCAACATGGCAAAGAGCTTGGCCTCCTGACGGACGCTCTCCAATGTCTGTGACACGTCCTCATCGGGGTCCCGTCGAGCGGCTTTCACCGCCACCTCCCTCCCTTTCCAAATGGCACGGTACACTTTTCCAAAACCTCCGACGCCGATCATTTCCTCCAGGGTCAGTTCATTGAAATCTATCTGGAGCACTGAAGAGAGAAAGAGAATATAGGCAAATTGTAGTCGTTTGCTGATTACAAATTACAAGACAAAAATTTGAGTTTAACGTAATCCATGACATTACACATTAAAGGTAATATTATCTGACTACTTTTTGATTACTTTTAGATTACTTTTGACCTAACTCATTATAAAATACCATATTTATATAAAAATAGAAAAAGAAAGAAAATATATTCCATTCTTTGTTATCAACAACATGAAGTGCATTAAATATTATATTACGTCAGGTTTTCCCAGACTGGAGTTTGTGATGAAACTGCAGGGGCTCGTGAGTTTAATGAAAAGCTATTAAGTTAAGTCATAAAATAAAAAAATAAAAAATAAAAACACTTACTAAAAAAGATACACAAATATTTTGTTAACCCGCATATCATGTGACCGTTAACCAACATCAGAGAACTGTGAACTTGATTGTATGATTATTATTATTGTTGACTTAATTCTATTATTGACCTCATTTAATAACTTAATATCTCAGGGGGTACTTCAAGAAAGTATATTAGATTAAATTAAAGAGGTTATTTGAGAGACTGAAGTAGAAAGGGGCAGTACATGAAAACAAACAGGAACTTGATTTATGTGCCATTCATATGAGTAAAAGCTCAAATGTGTGATAGGGCAGAGAAAGATCAGCATTCATTTGCAGAAAGCAGATTCAGATGCTGGATACATGCTTTAAAAAGGATGGCTGATGTGGGAGAAAATGGAAAGCAGTAAGACAAAGATGTGTGCGAGACCGTTTCCTCCTCTCCCCGGCCGTCATGATGACGGTGTGTCTGGGCCAAAGTGTCTCTTATTAATATTGCAGTTGGCAGGAACCACATGATAAAAAGTAGGCCAGCAGCCATTCAGGAAAAGCAGACGACCACCAGCAACACAAAACATGCGACTGACAACACAGGGACACACACACACACACACACACACACACCATAACAGCCAGCATGAGAGATACAAAACATAGAAGATATATGTATTCCTCATCATAAGCACAAACACAACACTGAATTCAAATAAAAATAATGGAAAACCCCATACCTCAAATACACAATATGGCTTAAAGTATGAGGACAATCCCTTGCCGCTAATAAAATGTTGAGTCTGGTGTGGAAGAACTTGACTGGTCTGCCCAAAACCCAGAATCAGTGCTGAATCTGATGCACTTGTGTCTGAATGGGTGCATAGGAGCCTGCTGGGAAATCTATATTTCACGAGATCACACTTACAAATAAGTCAGCTAGAATAACTGGTATGCATATTTGGCGTGCTGTCCGAGGAGAGGGCTCTGAGCTCGGTATTTGGCCCGAGCCCTGCTGCTCTGGAAGGACAAAACCAAGAGTAAGGAGTCAGGTGGTGGAAGGATGCTGGAAACTATCGAGGAATGTCGGTGAGTTGACTGTGTGTATAGGCTTCCTCTCATACTGATAGGATAGACGTGGTAATTGCTGATGACGAGTTGATTGGATACATTATTTGAACGTGCTCCTCCAGAACTTTGCAAATGAAACATAATTAAGGGAAAGTTCACCTAAAATGACAAATATTGTGAAAAATGTCTTTTTTGTCTATACAATGAAACGTCAATGGGGTCCAATGTTGTTTGGACCCCACTGTCTTTCAAATGTGTGTGTTCCACAGAAGAAAGTAAGTCATTCAGGTTTGGAGTGAATGAGGGTGAGAAAATGATGACAGAATGTTCATTTTTAGACTAACTATTCCTTTAAGATTGTAGTTGTCTTTTGGAACATGACAGCTGTTATTAGCTGGTCCAAACTGGGTTATAGCTGGTAGACCATCATTGACCAACAAACAGATGTTTTTTTAAAACTGTTATCATGTCTAAGCTTGTTTGCTGGACTTCTCAGCTGGTCAGATTGGAGGACGAGCTGGCTGACCAGTAAACCAGCTGAGCTCCAGTTTGGCTGTTGTGGAAGACCAGCAAACCATCTTAGACTGGGCTCTTTTCTCTCAGAAGATAGAAAATAAGCGCAGCACTTGATGATCAGTGTGGGCAAAAACAACTATAGCCTACAGAAAACATGATAGATGCATGGTTACTCACAGTGTAACGGAGGCACCGAATAATCGCCGTAGTCTTCCGGCGTGTCCCGGATCTTCTCCGAGATACCGTTACTGCTCACGTAGTTACATGGGAAAATACCAACCCGGTCCTCGATCATACCTGTCCACCACCCCTCATCCCCTGATACCAGCGAGTCCTTGGACAACACCTCTACCCGATCCCCCTTCCGCAGACTGAGCTCATCCTCGGCGGTAGCTTCGTAATCGAACACGGCGGTCCAGAATCCGGCTTCGGACGGGGACGCCGCCGCCGTAGGACCGAATCCGAGGTGTCGAGACCCCGGCCGGCGCTCTGCGGCTTCATCGCCGTCTTTCCTGTCCGGGCCGCTTCTGTTCAAGGGGAAACTGAAAGCATCCATACTGCCGATCCATAAGGGCGACCCGGCCCGGTTCAGCTCATCACCTGCCGCAGAGCTCAAGACCAGGCGGAAAGCCGCAGCATAAGTAGCTACTAATCCGAGCAGCTTCTCGCCTCAACGAGCTCCAGACCTGCCGCCCGCCTCTTACGGGGCCGCTCGGGCTCGTTAAATGATCTTTCGGTCCCGAACATAAGGCACTTTTTTGCTTTAATTGGCTACAACATTGTCCCGCACCCCTCAGCCGCTCCTGATCCAGCACTCGCCCCCCTCCCAGCACATGATTCCAGTGGTTTAACGTGTTAACGAATCCCCGATTCCTGCGTTTTGATTGGCGAAATGACGCATCAGTCACATCTCGCCTCTTTATAGAACCCGCCCACTAAATCTCTATCGCAGCAAATACGGGAGAGTCATTTCAGCACCACGGGCTGGACAGCGCGCGGGCGCACTACACTAGAAAAAAGTAGAGCTGAGCAAAAAAATCAATACATTTCTATTGGGGGGCAATTTAAAGGGCGACTGGGATTAGTTGTCACACATTTACACCAGTGAATATGTTTACTTTCTCTACTGACATAGACGTTTCTAAGCCTTTAAACAGCCTTGGAAAAAACGATATAGCTCATTGGTACATTGATCTTTTATGACAATATGGCCCACATCTTTTCACACTTTATGGGGTAAGTTATGCCACCAAACTGCCTATTACACGCTTTTAATCTAAGAATAAGCATGCAATGAAACAAAATATTTCATGAAACAGCAAAATGTCACATCACTGTTTTGGCAAACAAATGTTGTTATTAAGAAATGTGTTTCAATATCAATAAAAATGTATTAAACCGTGAGACAACTTCCCCTCGCCTGAAAAATACAGTTATGAAAACAGCTAAAGCATCGGTTAAAATCTACCTTTATTATTTAATCAACTCAACTCTCACCTGAATATATATTAGTCTTGTTTTATTGTGATACCTTACAGATATAGCAAAAATATGATATTGGAATTTGTGACTATCTTACAGAAATACAGATAAAGACCAGACTGATGTCAGAAAGATTTTTCAAACGTCTTTTTATTTTTCTGTTGACCAAAAGAATTCAAAATAAATAACTCGGCGGACATAAATTAATTAAATTAAGGTCAATTTCATGCATAATTCCCTGAAAATAAAACACTTTTTTTTGTGTGTGAGAGAAGAGTAAAAAAAAAAGATGAGAAAAAAAACAGCATTAAATGATTATAACCACCATCTGCTTCATCACCAGGCTGAAGAGGAGTGTGTGTTTGTGTGTGTGAGAGAGAGTCGGACCCCTGATACATTTGTAAGACTTGTGTGACTTCAAGGTTATAAGTGACATCATCTGAAATCTCTTTTAAACCAGTTCACCTGCATCTAAACAGCTGGAAGTGTTAGTTGGCAGTAGAAAAGTTCAAAGCTGGTGGTTTCAGCTGACTTTCATGCTCAACCATCATCCTACATGGAGGCCCACCCGCACCTTTTCATAACAGGCATCAGCAGTGTAAAGTTAATTCAAGTGTGCATGTGTGAGTGCATACTATATGTCTAAGTGTGTGTGATTTGATCCAGGCAGAGGCAGGAAGAGCAATGCAAAGTCTGAAGCACTTGAGCCCAACACCGAGTGTCCGTTGGCTGATTCAGCCGAACTGGATAATAAGGTTTACAAGACTGCTACCTCTACCAAAACCCATCTCAAAGAAACACATGCTCACATGTGCACAGATATGGTGAAGATCTACTGTAGTTTAGCTGCCCTCTGACTCAGGACACATTCAACAACACATGCTGGCAGAAAACAAGAGCTCAGTGAAAGTTGAATACTGTGTAAATACTGATATTTCTCTTCATAAGCATATTCTTTATCATGCCTTATACTGATACACAGAGCAACTTATGAGGTGTGTGAGTGGCTGTGTTCCAAAACCAAACGAGCTGCCTTGCTGTCTACTGCCTACACAGGGAACATCAAAAGACTCAACTTACAATGAATTCCAATCATGTTGAAATAATCCTTCAGAAATACAATTTAATCTAATAATAATATGCTGAATTGATACTCAAGAAACAATTCTTTAAGATTATCAATGTTCATATTTTTGTGTGAAAACCATAATACAATTTTTTTCAGGATTATTTGGTAAATAGAAAATGTAAAAGAACAGCATTTGTTTGAAATAGAAATCTTTTGTAACATATAAATGTCTTTACTGTCACTTTTGATCAATTTAACGCATCCTTGCTGAATATAAGTGTACACTTTAAAAAAAGCTGAACGGTAGTTACCCATGCATAACGAGTGAAAAAAACTTATTTTTTTAATGAAAATGAGCTTTAACAATACTTTTTGGATAATACTTTTCCCCACTTTGGATTAATATTACCTCTGAGCTCACTGCAACGCATTAAGAGGTTCTCCTAGAAGAATACAAGCAATTCTGCCTAAAACTTGGCCAAAATGAGGCATCTCAGAAGGCTGCATAATCAGTTGCATATATTAGATGATGCTGTCTATGTAGGCAGTACATGCTCATAAAATCAGTGTGTGTGGGTAAAGAAAGTGTCTGTTGTGTAGCTAAGCTCACACACTCCTGCCCTCCTGTACAAAATTAAAAGTTCAAATGCTAAAAACACAAGAGCATGAGCCTGCATGAGTCATGACTCTTGCATGGGTGAATGTTCAGTGCGATTTGTTGTGATTTCTTCAAGTGGTTCTTTTCTGTTTTTTTTTCTTTAAAGCACATTGATTATGAACAAAATTAGGAAGCACAGAGCAGGCTGAAGCAATGCCAGCAAGTACATTTGCAATTTGGATGAAGAGTTTCAGAGAAGAAACCCATTTTCAACTGCGCTCTCTCACACGCGCACACATAAACAGCTGTATATGAATGTAAACAATAAAAATGGAACACGGGTGCTGCAGGTGCTGTAATCCAAACACTGCATACAACGGATTTGGCCTGTATTTGCAATGAGGCTAGAAAAAAATACGAAACGCACATCAACATACACGCACTCACGCACACAAAATGCTCGGGTTGTGTGATGGACATATAGAGGAGGAACTGGGATGTGGCCCCCCTGTGGCCCAGAGAACCACTGCAGCTTGTGGGTGGCAGTCTAAGGTTCTGTTCTTTGGTTCTGGGCTCTTATTGGCCATCCTAAACAATTCTTTATGACATCACTTCCCCCAGATAATACAGAACCCCCACCCACATCCTTCTTTTTCAGCTCATAACAGCAAAAATAGGCACGAAAAACACTTGAGTCCATCAGATGAATTGAAGGCTGCTCTTTAAACTGATGCAGCTCTGCCTAAAATCTCTCTACGGCTTGCTGGAACTCACAAAACCCTTCTCACCAGGTTAAAGAAAATCACACAACCGTCTCGAGCTGTTTGTACCGCTCCATTCTCGCTCTTTTCTACCGAAGGCCTGTAAACATTACGAACCACATTAAAGGCCCCAATGAAACACTCAGAATCCACCGATTTCACTTCAAACACTGTTTAGATGCACACTAAAGGAGGTAAAATGGTCATGTGATTCTATATAGAGGGGCTCTCTGGGGTGAAGTGGGGGTGGGAGATCTCTTTGGGGTGCTTTATATTTGTTCGACGACACTGAAAGACTAAAATACAAACAGATAAAAAAAAAAAAACTGTTATAGCGGATGCAGTGCGCTTTCCTTCACGGTGTTATCAGAAAATACACTAGTGATTCGTTTCGATGAACGTGTAGTGGGTTCAAATGCAAAAAGGCCTCATTTTCCCTCTTTAACACTTTTTTTGTTTGTTTTTGCATTCTGTTTTCCTGCAACTCTCTGAGGCCTCTGTGATGCTCGGATAAACAACACTTGGCAAGGAAATACACAAAAGTACAGAAAATATATGGAAGCAGATTATATCCATACAGGGAGAAAATGCAGTGTTCAGCCATTGTTCATATTCGTCTCTCTTCTCCGTGTTCGGTTTTTCCGAGCCAGGACTTTGGCCAGACGGTAAAAGCTGTAAGCTCTGTGAGTTCGTACCAAACTAAACAAGGAAAAAATAAATAAAAACTTTATGGGTCCTTCAAATGTCACTCAATAACAGATTTCATGTAGTTATATATTTTCATTTTTCTGTTGAAATATTACTTCTAATCCTGGAAGCAGATTTGAAAATAGTCCTTTGAATCCTTTAATTCTTTTTGTTATTTTTTGTGTCTTTTTTTCCCAAAATACTTCATTAGAAAAAAGTCGTTCTCAGCAGGTGTTGAGAAAAATATAGACTGTGAAAAGCTCAGACTCCAGGTTAAGACTGTCCCACCCCTCAGAGAGATGCCTCACACTCTTCATCTTCAGCACAAAGGCATCTGAAGAATGAATGTCCTCTTCAAATCCACACCTGCTTCAAACTTTAGCGACCTTTCCGAATCAATCCTTAGCTCTTCCTCGCATCTATCTCTCCTCAACTCCGACCCCCACCCCACCCCAATCACTTCTCTTCAGAAGCCCTGTATATGACAGTAAGCCTCGAGACTGGAGAAAAGGATGTAGAGAAACCAGAGACTGAAGAAAAAGAGTGTCGTGAGGATGCGCTGTGCGCGCGGGCCGCCCAGCTCTCCACCGATGTGAGGCCTGCGGCGGTACAGCAGGACGCCCACCGCCAGGAAGGCAAAGATGGTGAAGAGAGTGACAGAAAATGCCAGGGAACCTGCTGGCACCTCAAACGCACGGCCCTGCATGTGCCAGTAGATGGCGGCCACTGACCACGCAACACCGATTCCCAGGAAAACGTTCACGGCGTTGCTACCGGTCACGTTACCGATAGATGCGTCCGCGTAACTGTCCTGCACCGCTGAAACTTTACTGGCAAAGGTGTCTGAGGAGAAAAGAAAGATGCTGATGTAGATGCTTTCATTAAAAAAGTATAATGCTCTATGATTACTATGCATTAAAATTAGTAGGAATCAGATTGTGTACTGATTTGATGAGATAAAGTAGTTAATTGAACTTTAAAAACATACTTTATCAAAACTTCCTCCCCGATCCAAAGAGTATTTATTAAAACTGAGCAGCAAAATGTACTTTTCTGACGTCAGACAGTTCACCTCATTAAATGCAAGGGTCCGATAGAGAAACTGGTCATTAAAATCCAAATCATGTCTGATTTTGGCACAAAAAAAAACTTTAATAACTGTAAGTGAACCTCAGGGAAAATAATAAAATAATAACAATATACACTAAGTTCAAAAGATTGGGGTCGGAAAGATGTTTTAATGTTTTTGAAAGAAGTCTCTTATGCTCACCAAGGCTGCATTTATTTGATCAAAAATACAGTAAAAACAGTAATATTGTGAAACATTATTACAATTTAGAACTACTGTTCCCTTTCAAGGGAACGAGACGCTGCGTCAAACGCTGTGGGAACGCCCCTGCGTGAATGCGTCATGAAGCACGTATGGAATCAGTCCAATGGAGAGACGGAACGTCATAAGCGGGTGACGTCATCGACCAGGAAACTATAAAGCAATCCAAAATCACAATCGCGTCAGCTTCTGTGCCTTCAGCAAGCGCTATGTGTGAATTTATCCAAGTGTTTTTGTCTGTCCTTAGTTCTCACTAGGCAGGTGTTTTCTCACATATATTTCATATAAAAAACCGATATATATATATATATATATATATATATATATATATATATATATATATATATATATAATGAATGAATGAATGAATGAATGAATGAATGAGGCATTTATATAGCGCTTTCATATGTACTACTGTACACCCAAAGCGCTTTACAATCATATCAGGGGGTCTCTCCTCAACCAGCACCAGTGTGTGGCGAGCGAGCAACTCTATAGGAAGTGTGTTCCTCCCTGCTCGCGTTATCTCACGAGTGTGGATACACACGAACTATGTGTTGTTTGTTTGGGAGTGCAGCATGCCCAGTCAGCTCTCGAGGGGGGGCTGATTGTGAGCATTGCGAGCGTTTTCCTCTAAGAACGCTCCGCTCCCGCCAATCACTCTTCGAGGAGAGTGGTTCGGTTCTCGCTCCTCGCTGCTCGGGTCCCGCTTCTGTCAAAGCAGAGAGGCGGCGTTTGTCGTGGGGTTCGCAAATGGATCTGACAGAGGGGCTTGAGACGGGCTCTGCCTTATCTCAGCCTTCACCTGTCAGATCCAGTGCCTCAGTTCAGGGTCAGGAAGCCCGCGCTGTGGTTTCTTCCCCGCAGGCTGAGGCCCCAATACTGCAGCTATCCATTCTGAGGAGCTGGATGTTGTTAGTATTGAGACAGGGGATACTGAGGACTCGTCACTTCAGTCCCCTGAACAGGAGGAGCTTATGGAGGTGCTTACTCGTGCTGTTTTTAAGTTAAGCATTGAGTGGCCGACAGTTAGACAGGAGGCTAAGTCTAAAAGTAAACTGGATGAAAGATTTTTGCCTTCCCGTGTGCAACCTCCACGTCGGTGCCTACCGTTTTTTCCAGACCTCCACACTGAGGTGTCGAAGTCCTGGAAAAAGCCGGTTTCATATCGCATTTTTAGCCCCCAAACGTCCACCTATTCTAATATTGCGGGGGCTAAAATGCATGGTTATGGGACGATACCTAAGGCAGAAGAGACGCTTGCGAGCCATCTCTCTGCTGAATCGGCATCGTCCTTTAAGGCACCGGCTTTACCCTCCAAGCCTCTAAGAAATACCTCGGCTTTGGTGGGTAAAGCATACTCGGCGGCGGGTCAGGCCGCGGCATGCCTGCACACAATGTCTATTCCGCAGGCATACCAGGCCGACCTATTAAAGGATGTGAGTGAGAGTGAGGAGGTCGGCACTGACGTAGTTCGAGAACTGCGCCAACCAAGGAGTCGGCCAAGCTAATGGGCCGTACTATGGCAGCCCTGGTGGCCGCAGAAAGACATCTCTGGCTGAACCTCTAAGGTATGAAGGAGAGAGAGAAAGCCTTCCTTCTGGACGCCCCTTTATCTCCTTCTGGCCTATTCGGGGACTCAGTCAACACAGTCATCGATAGGTTCCAAGAAGAAAAGAAGCAGGCAGCGGCGTTCCAGAAATACCTGCCACTCAAAATTGGGCGAGAGCAGTCCCGACAGTCGAGTAGCGCCTCACACCGGGCGCAGCAAAAGTAGAGTGTCACGTCTCGGGCCCCCCCTGCAAAACAGTCTTCTGGTGGTAAAACTGATCTGAGGACAGTTATTATGGGCAAGAAGGCTTCGTCTAAGAAGAAGTCCTGACGCCACAGGCAGGATGCTGAGGGTAGGCCCCACCGCGAGAGAAAGGAGTTCACCGCATTACACGGTGCCCATTCTCTCTCGGTGCCCTCAGGGGCCCGTTCTACCAACCCAGCCTTTATGCCGGGGCGTAGACGGTCCCAGCGAGCGTTTTCCCGAGGGGCGCTCGCTCCCTCTGAGGAGGGGTCCGGAGCAGTTAAACCAGTTGTTCCCTGCCGGTGCGCCGGTACAGGGCGCTGTGTTTGCTGCTCAAAATATTCCAGAGGCCAGTCTCGAGAGGCTGGTACCCGTAGTAGATTTTCTGGCGGAGTGGAAAAGTCTTCCAAGAGTATCTCAGTGGGTCCTGCAATCGATAGAAAAAGGCTATGCCATTCAGTTCTGATCTCTTCCACCTCGATTCAGAGGGGTCCTGCCCACCGTGGTGGGCCCCGAGCAGACTCTGGTAATGGAACAGGAGGTGAAAACGATCATGCAAAAGGAGGCTATGTTTCTCCTCCCAGCAGGGAATCAGGTTATTACAGCCTATATTTCATCGTTCCAAAGAAGGATGGGGGGTTGCGTCCAATTTTAGATCTGCATCTGTTAAATCGCTCAGTAGGGAAGCTCAATTTCAAGATGCTCACTCTCAAGCAGATCGTGTCACAAATCAGATCCTAGGACTGGTTTGTCACGATAGATCTAAAGGACGCGTACTTCCACATTTCCATCCTTCCGCAACACAGGAAGTCCCTGAGGTTCGCTTTTGGGGGCGAACCGTACCAATATCGTGTCCTTGTGTTCGGTCTAGCTTTATCACCCCGCACATTCACGAAATGCATGGACGCAGCACTAGTTCCACTGCGGCTCCAGGGTATTCGCATTCTAAACTATATCGACGATTGGTTGATTCTAGCTCAATCGGAGCAGCAAGCGGTGTTCGGCATCAACACCTGTGTTCGGCATCAAGATGTCGTTCTCGCTCACATCAAGAAGTTGGGGTTGAGGCTGAATGCCAAGAAAGGTGTGCTATCTCCATCACAGAGGACACTTTTCTGGGGGTTATATGGGATTCAGTAACGATGCGGGCACGTTTGTCTCCTGCCCGCATCGCCTCGATTCTCTCAGCCGTGAAACAAGTGAAGCTAGGCCAGTTGCTCACTGTAAAGCAGTTTCAGAGACTGTTGGGTCTCATGGCTGCAGCGTCCAACGTTATACCTTGTGGCCTGCTGTACATGAGACCGTTACAGTGGTGGTTCAGGACCAAGGGGTTCTCCCCGAGGGGAAACCCGCTCCGTACGATCAAAGTCACGCAGCGTTGCCTCCGTGCTCTGGTCATGTGGAAAGAACCTTGGTTCCTGTCCCAAGGACCTGTGTTGAGAGCTCTTTGTTGTCATGTAACGCTAACGACAGATGCTTCCCTCACAGGTTGGGGGGTGATCATGAGTGGTCGTCCAGCCCAGGGTCTGTGGCAGGACCATCATCTATCATGGCATATAAATTGTCTAGAAATGTTTGTCATATAAATTGTCTAGAACTTCCTCCCAGACCTGAGAGGCCATCATGTTCTTGTCCGGTTGGACAACACATCGGTGGTCTCCTACATAAACCATCAGGGGGGTCTGCGTTCGCGCCCGTTATACAAGCTGGCTCGCCAGATCCTTCTATGGTCCCAGGGGAAGCTTCTTTCATTGAGGGCGATTTATATCCCAGGGTATTTAAATCAGGGGGCAGACATCCTGTCGAGGCATGGACCAAGGCCGGGGGAATGGACACTCCACCCCAAGGTGGTGGAGCTCCTTTGGAAGCATTTCGGTCATGCCGAGGTAGACCTGTTTGCGTCCAGGGAGACATCACACTGTCCACTGTGGTTCTCTCTCAGCCATCCAGCCCCTCTGGGGTTGGACGCTATGGTACAGGTGTGGCCGAGGTCACGTCTGTACGCATTTCCCCCGATTGCTCTGCTCCCAGGAGTTCTGGAGAGGGTTCGCCGGGATGGGGTCAGTCTATTGTTGGTAGCCCCGTTCTGGCCGGCCCGAGTATGGTTTGCGGACCTAGTGTCTCTCCTCGACGGCTCTCCTCTGGAGATTCCGATCAGGAGGGACCTTCTCTCTCAGGCGAGAGGGTCGATCCTTCACCCCCGCCCAGAACTGTGGAAACTGTGGGCTTGGCCTCTGAAGGGGCCCAGCTCATAAATGCAGGTCTCTAAACCGAGGTTGTTGAGACCATCCTCCACTCCAGAGGTCCGTCCACGAGGAAGTTATATGCCTTGAAGTGGAAATTATTCACTTCTTGGTGTGGAGATCACCAGCTGGACCCAGTTAACTGCCCAGTGGGTGCAGTGCTGGAGTTCCTGCAGGAGCGTTTCTCCACAGGGCCATCCCCCTCCACACTAAAGGTGTACGTGGCGGCACTAGCTGCTTACCACGTCCCTTTGAGTGGAGTCTCTTTGGGGAGACACCCACTTATAACACGTTTTCTTCGTGGTACTTTGAGGCTGAGGCCAGCAGTTCCCACGAGGGTATCGACCTGGGATTTGGCCGTCGTATTAGAAGGTCTCTCCCTAGCTCCTTTCGAGCCTATTGAAGAGATTTCTGATAAGTTCATCACTCTAAAAACTATCTTTCTCCTTGCTATCTCATCTCTTAAAAGAATTGGAGATATTCAAGCACTCTCGGTTGCTCCCTCGTGCCTGGAATTTTCGCCTGGTATGGTGAAGGCCTTTCTCCATCCTAGGTCAGGTTATGTTCCTAAAGATCCTACTAATGTTGCTAGACCTATAGTTCTGCAGGCTTTCTGTCCTCCTCCCTTTATGTCGTCAGACCAGGAGAAACTTAATTTACTCTGCCCTGTGAGGGCTCTAGATGCTTATGTCCGCAGAGCTGCCCTGTGAAGGAGATCTGTACAACTGTTCATTTGTTTCAGGCCACCCAAGAAGGGGTGTCCTGCATCTAAACAGAGGATGAGCAAGTGGGTGGTTGAGGCCAACTCACTTGCCTACGAGTCGGCTAGTCAGGCTTCACCTATGGCTGTACGAGCTCACTCTACTAGGAGTATGGCTGCTTCCAAAGCTCTATTGTCAGGAGTTTCCCTTCATGATGTTTGTGATGCGGCAGGCTGGTCCTCACCGCACACATTCGTTAGGTTTTATGACCTGGACTTCAGCTCTATTCCTGGGGCTCAGGTGCTTTCGTCTGAATGTGCGCCTTGACTTGACATGGATGGAAACTTGGTCTTATGGCGACGTGGGTATTAGCGTTCCCACAGCGTTTGACGCAGCTCGAGTTCCCTTGAAAGGGAACGTCTCGGTTACGTATGTAACCCTAGTTCCCTGAATAGGGAACGAGATGCTGCGTCATTCCGCCATACTCCCGGCATGCCCGTGATCGACTTGCTTCAGTCTATCAGAAGCTGATGCGGTTGTGATTTTGGGGTGCTTTATAGTTTCCTGGTCAATGACGTCACCCGCCTATGACGTTCCATCTCTCTATTGGACTGATTCCATACGTGCTTCATGACGCACTAACGCAGGGGCGTTCCCACAGCGTTTGACACAGCGTCTCGTTCCCTATTCAGGGAACTAGGGTTACATACGTAACCGAGACGTTTTCTATTTGCATAAATGTGATGGAAAATCATTCAGCATCAGCACCTGTCTTCAATGTCACATGATCCAGTGTTATTTTAATATCACTGAGATACTATTATAGATTTTATTAATATTTTGAATTGGTGAATCAGTTAATATTTTGATATTTCTATTTCTTTTTCATTTTAGTTAATTTTTTTGTAATTTTGTTGTTTTTGTCATTTTTAATAGTTTTTTTTTTTTTTATATATTTCTATATAGTTTGATTTCAGTATTCAGTTATTTTAGTACATCAAATTAAACAAAAATGTTTTTTCATGGTTTTAGTTTCAGTTAATGTTTTAGGTGAATATAATAACCCTGTCATGATCCTTCACAAATCATTCTAATATGCTGATTTGCTGTTTAAGAAACGTTTTTTTATTATTATTAATGTTGAAAACAGTTATACTTTTGTTTATTTCAGGATTTTTTTTATGGAATCTTTACTGTCACTTTTTTGTGCCCTTGCGAAATTAAAGTATTTCTTTAAATACTTTTAATTTTACTGAACCCACACTTTTCAAAGGTAGTGTATATGAAATCAGCTCTTTACCACTGTATTTATAACAACAATGTATCATGTGGGCAATTAAAAAAAACTCACAAACTCACCAGGGACGGATGTTCCCAGGGCTACAAACACCACAGCAGTGACTGAGTCTTTCAGGCCAATGGTGCAGCCGAAGTGACTGGCCAGGTCACCAATCACAGCTGTCAAAAGACCGATGATCACTATAGAAACAATGAAACACGCCCACCCGTTCCAGTATTCCGTGGGCGGGACGCAGGCAAACAGAACCTTCCAGAACACCGTCAGGAAGTGCATGACATAGTCAAAACAAGACGGCAGACGTTCTTCTCCCCCCTCGTCCTCATCCTCATCTCCTGAGATAAAGACAGAAAGACAGAAAGGAAAAAGAAAGAAAGGAAAGCAGAATTGGGGTAGGGAAAAATAAGAAAATGAAAAATGTTAGTATTGTTGTCACCCACATTACACATCTTCCATACCTGACCAAAGCGCTCTCTTTGACATCATGGTGATTTGATAGTCACAGTAATTGAAGGCTAGATACTGTGACAGCAGTGTTTCTATTTCAACACAGGGTCATAAAAGACTAATATGTAGAATTCATTTTAGGAGTAAATCTGTGGGGATGAATTTAAACATGGTAAAACATATCAAACCAAGCTGATAATGCTACACTTTTATTTGTAGCTGAAATCCTTATTAAATTAGCCAAATGTTTAGTAAATGAACAAGGGTAGAGGGATCAGTGGAACCGTGTAGGAGTATTGTGGGCACACTTTTCACGTGGGCCTGGGCAAGGTAATATGTCACAAAAGAGATGAGTGTATATTTATATATTAACTGAGATGTAAAAAATTTGGACCCACACAAAATAAGAGTTTTGTTGCTTTTGGTACATATCTTTCAGACTGTCTTCAAAAGTTAGATTTTTTGATGTTTTGAGCATTATCTTATGCTCACAAGTGCTGCATTTATTCGATCAAAAAATATAGTAAAAACAGTATTAATGTGAAATATTATTACTATTTAAAATAACTGTTTTCTATTTTAATATGTTTTAAAATGTAATTTATTCCTGTGATGCAAAGCTGAATTTTCAGCATCATTACTCCAGTCTTCAGTATCACATGATCTTTTAGGCCCTGTTTACACCTGGTGTTAAGATGCGTTTTGGTCAATCGGATCACAAGTGAACAACGCTAAATACAGGTGTAAACGGGGTCTAAAACGTTTTGAGCTTGTTCACTTTGACCACTGCTAGTGGTAGTTTGAAAACGCATTCGACCCTCAGATTGTTTCGTTTCAGTGTTGATAATCACCTGCACTGACAGTAATGGCCTCCATGAATTGTTCTCTCCAGGAGTTTGTTCCCACGACCAGAGCCAGGTTAGTCTTCTTAATCAGCTTATCTACTGTATTCTACAGCAAAAACACAACAACCACAAAACATAATAAAAATTCTTCCATAGTACAAAAGACGGCTAGTCTCCTGAATTCTGCATGTGTGTGTACCTTAAACTCGTACGACTCCTCAATGATAATCTCTATTTTTGCATGCTCGCCCAATACAGGCTTCCCCATCTCTGCTATTCTTCTGGCTTCCTCTTCCTCTGATGACATCTTCCTCTCTGCAATATCTACAAGAGATTAAGAGACAGAGAGAAACTTTCGTGTTGGATTGTGTCATATATTAGTACATAAAATACACACAGTAGTAAAGACTTTCAGAAAATTTCAGTAAGAGTGTTCAGAAAAAAAGGGAAAAAAAATCACATGCACTCCGTAATTCATAGACTATTGATTAATGTTCATTGTGCATTTAGACTGCGCTAAATTCATGTGCGTATTTAGAGTCAACGGGGCTCATTCAGGAAACACAAGCACAACAAATTTGTGTAAAACGTTCATAAAGTCATTCTTACGTAACTTGTCGCACTGAATCGAATGTGACTACTTACGTAACACTGCTTTTACCATCAATTTATGCAGAAATTGGTTCTACTTTTGTTTTATGAATGAGGCCGACTGTCACTATAGTTTCTCTCATTAGAAAGACTACACATGCAAACACACACACAGCAGATTAACAGCCAAACTTTGACTGAAACAAGTGTGAGCTGTGCTGTTGAACTGAGTGATTCAGAAGGACAACAGCACAACATCCACACACACACACCACAAATACACAAAAAAGCCTCAAAGTTAAGATGAACTTTCAAAACCCCCTGCAACCCAAAGCTTATCTTCTCGTGCACGTGTTGTAACACACACAAACCTGGAGACACACGTGTGTGTTCATCCAGAGTGAGGCAGACGAGACCACAATTACTGCAGATGGCCTCATCTTGCCTCACACACACACTGTACATACACAACTCAAACTTACCATCAGCTAATAACAGAGCTGTGTGTGGAGAAAAGAGAAAGGGAGGGGTGGAATGACATGAAGAACAAATTAGACAGATAATGGTGGAGGGAAATGCAGTGAGATGTAGGATAGGATTTATTTACTCCGATAAACATGAATAAAAATATTCGCAGCCGCTGGCGTTACATCACCCTGCCCAGAATGTCCGAGCCGGACAGGTGCGACAGGTGTGACCGGGCAGATGTGATCAGATGTGATAGTGTGGGCTGATCCAGAGAGCCGGAGCGGGTGGTTGCTCCTGGCAACGGGAGTGTCGTAGTAGCATTTGAGATGTAGCGACAGAACAAAGAGGTGCTAAAGCTATGCTGATTATTCACACACGTTTGCTTTTCTATCGTGATCCGGATTTTCCATTGGCTACAATTGCTTTGATACTGACTTAAGGATATTGTCTGTCCTCTAACCCTCAGAAAAACCTTTTAGCATTTTTATATTTAAATGTAAATATTTTTTTGGTAACACTTAAAGAGATAGTTGACCCAAAAATGAAAATGATGTCATCCTTTATTTACCCTCATGTTGTTCCTAACTTGTATGACTTTCTTTCTTTTTTTCTGTGTAATTTAAAAGAATATATTATACCATGAAAGTCATTGGGGTCCAACAATAAGCAGAGGCTCCATGATTTGTCCAGATGTTAGTGATTTTTGTGATTGATTGTAATGTTTGTGATAAGGATTAAGGATGAGGTTTTTAAAAATATATTTTACTCAGTTTCTACCCAAAATATTTACAGCTTGGCATAATTAGAATGTATATTCATTCTAAAAATGCCTATTTTACGATTTGATTAATATACATATTTCAGGTCTAAAAGTCACACTTTTAAAATTAGGATACCTTATATATTGAGTTTGTTTTTCAAGACAGCAGGTACCTTATGGGGTGAATTAAAGTAAGAAATATATACACTGTTTAATAGTTTTATTTTATTTTCAATCATTTTAAAGGGTTAGTTCAACCAAAAATTCTGTCATTAATTACAGACCCTCATGTCGTTCCAAACCCGTAAGACTTTCGTTCATCTTCAGAACACAAATGAAGATCTTTTTGATGAAATCCGAGAGCTTTCTATCCCTCCATTGACAGCCTACGCAAATACTACTTTCAAGCCCCAGAAAGGTAGTAAAGAAATAATTAAAGTAACCCATGTGACTCCAGTGGTTAAACCTCAGTTTTATGAAGCGACCAATTTATTTACAAAATATTAATTTCAACACGCGTTCATGAGAGTACAACGGCACATGCTGTCAATGGAGAGACAGAAAGCTTTCAGATTTCATCAAAAACATCTTAACTTGTTTGGAACGACAAGAGGGTGAGTAATTACTGACAGAACTAACCCTTTAAGTCATTAAGGCTTCTTTGGAAGTTTGCTAAGGGATTACTGGACTAAATTAAATTTTCATTTTTGAATGAACTTTCAAGGTTCCATTTGTTTATTCGTTTGGTATCCTGAATTAACAACAAGGATTTTTTACAACACTTATTAATCTAGTACCCTGACCCACACACATTTACACAAATATGAGCACCAACTACAGGAATCAATGTCTTTGTCTCTCCATTACTCCATTTTTTTCTTTCTGTCTGTATAATGACTTTAATAGTTCTGTAATCAGTGCTGTAATTTTCTGTTGCTGAGGATGAATGAGATGGCGAACAAACAAGCTTTGATTAAGTGTGTGTGTAGGTGTGTGTGCTGAGATGAAAATATCGACCCATAATGAGAAGCTGGATGTGTAAATAAGCCCATCATTTATACTCGAATGTGTCGGTGAAAGGGGTGGGGGGTAGGGTGTCTTGATGCACATTATTAGTAACCAGTAATTTGTGTAGCATTGTCAGCTCTAGGCTTTTCAGCATGTCTGTTTCATGACAGCACACACAGATGTGTCAAACACACAAAGGAATTCGTTTAATCTATTCATCACTTTCTCTCACTGTTCTTTCTTGGAAGCTTCGATTCAACAGTTCAGTGCAAATCTATTGCACATCAGCGCTAGCAACAGCTGATGGTACCTTAGCAACAGATACCAGACTCCAGGCTCTTTCCGCCCTACGTTCTGTGAGGTAATGGGATCGTGGGATGTAGGTGTCGATATTCAGGCGAAAACTCCCCTGTCGTTGGCTCATTCACAGCAATTCCCCCATCACACACGTGAATGCAGAGATAGCAACACAAACACACACACACTGAGGTGATACTGGAAATTCTGTGATAAAATGATTCCCTTCTGATGATCTTCTCTTTAAACATCCTCATATGGGACATGTGGCTGGGGGGTTGCAGGTTCGGGCTCCACAGGATATTAATCACACACAGATACAGCATAATAGATAGTCTGCTGGATCTCCTGTCACACCTCTCTCTCTCCTCTGCTGTATCACCTCATTTCTCTTTCCTCATGTGTCTGTCATTCGCTCCTCACCAGCCTCGCCCCTTTTACTGTCTTCGCCTGTCTCACTGCTCGCTTGTCTTACACCTCTTCTGTCTGTCCTTTTCTCCTTAGTTTTATCACAATCTCTTGACTGACTGTCTTTCACACCAGTCTCACCGCTCAGCTGTCTTTATCACCTGTCAAAGCCCTGGTGTTAATGCTGTATGAATGACTAACAAAAATAACAAACGGTTATTGGTTTGTTTCGTCCTTGGGGTATATGTTTGTATTGTCGATAAAGATGAGAAATGGGGATCGTGACGATAATTAAATCATTTTAATTAAAACATGTTGACAAAAGAAAAAACAAGAAAACTCTCTCTCTCTCTCTCTCTCTCTCTCTCATATATACATATATATATATATATATATATATACATACACAGTATATCACAAAAGTGAGTACACCCCTCACATTTCAGCAAACATTTTAGTATATCTTCTCAAGGGACAATACTATAGAAATGAAACTTGGATATATTTTAGAGTAGTCAATGTGCTGCTTGTATAGCAGTATATATTTCCTGCCCTTTAAACATAACTCAACACACAGCCATTATTTTCAAAATAGCTGGCAACAAAAGTGACTACACCCTAAGTGAACATGTCAAAACTGTCCAAAGTGTCAATATGTTGTGTGAGCTCCATTGTTATCTAGCACTGCCTTAATCCTCCTGGGCATGGGATTCACCAGAGCTGCACAGGTTGTTGCTGGGATCCTCTTCCACATAATGACATCATGGAGCTGCTGGATGTTGGACGTCCCACAGGTGCTCAACAGGGTTCAGGTCTGGAGACATACTTGGCCACTCCATCACCTTCACCTTCACCTTCCTCAGCAAGGCAGTTGTAATCTTGGCGGTGTGTTTGCGGTCGTTATCATGCCGTTCGGCCCAGTTTCTGAAGGAAGGGCATCATGTTCTGCTTCAGAATGTCACAGTACATGTTGGAATCCATGTTTCCCTCAATGAAGCGCAGCTCCCCAGTACCAGCGGCACTCATGCAGCCCCAGACCATGATGCTACCACCACCATGCTTGACTGTAGGCAAGACACAATGTTCTTGGTACTCCTTACCAGGGCTTCGGCACACATGCTGGACACCATCTGAGCCAAACACGTTTATCTTAGTCTCATCAGACCACAGGACATGGTTCCAGTAATTCATGCTCTTGGACAGGTTGCTTTCAGAAAACTGTTTGCGGGCTTTCTTGTGAGCCAGCTTCAGAAGAGACTTCCTTCAGGGACGACGGCCATGCAAACCGACTTGTTGCAGTGTGTGGCGTATGGTCTGAGCACTGACAAGCTGACCTTCCGCTTCTGCAACCTCTAAAGCAATGCTGGCACGATCATGCGTCTCCATAATGACATCATGGAGCTGCTGGATGTTGGACACATGGCGCTTCTCCACCTTCCGCTTGAGGATGCCCCACAGGTGCTTCCTTTGTGTACAGCAGAACAAAGAAATGTATACAGGTTGTGCAATTTCTATAGCATTGCCGCCTCCTCATGGGTGTTTAATATTTTTTTACTTTTCAGTGCGAGTTAAATCTCTTTTTTGGCCCATATTACCTGTAAAAAAAAAAACCTGCTTAATAATTATGCACATCTGAATATAAGGCGATTCTCACTTCCAGCCCTTGTTAACTTTTATATATTACTTATAAAATGATTGTATACAAAATTAATAGTAGTTATTAAGATTGATGTAGTTTGGAATTGGTAAAATGTGTTTGAAAAAAAATTTAAGATCAGAATATCGACTTGCCTAATAATTATACACATACTGTATGTGTGAATATATATATATATCACAGACAATAATGTGAACTGCTTATAAATTCATAGTTCTCAAGTTTTTGTTAACTTAAATGTACTAAATGTTTTGCAATAATTTTGAAAAATAAACAAAAATGAATAAATATGACGTCAAAATGTTGATTAAATTTATAGGATATTTGTTTGTTTTCTTTGACAAAAACAACGAATAAAATTCATCATCACTCACCTGCCTCTCTCTATCTGTCTCCAGTCTCACGGTTTTCCTGCAGTCTCACCCTTTTTTCATAACTGACTCTACCTCCATATTTTATATATATCCAGTTGGTGAATTAGAGGGTTCAATGGCAAAGAAAGCATCCAGTATTTCGATGTATAAAGCTGAGAATGTTTCTTTAGATCCCTCAACATATTTTGCAGCGACAGCACAGGATCAGCAGTTCTAAAGTCATGTTTTGATGTAGGACAAGTGATGTGTCTCCTATTACAGGTTCAGTTTCAAAAACAAATGCAATCCATTTGATACAATCTTTTATCTATCTACATAGAAGACAAAAAAAAAAACTCGCGTTACTGAATCGACACAGCGAAACAAAATTATACGAGTTTGTAAAGGCATGAATGTGAATAATTAAAAACAGAATTTTCGTTTTCCGGTGAACAATTCCATCAATCTTACTCGCTCACTGAATTATTAGAATTGTTCATCATTAAGGAACCAGAATTTCATTTGGAGGAAATAGAATCAGAACCACAA